TAATGAACACTTGAACGTTGACGAATTAAAGTCAATCCGTGAATTTTTTTTTAATTTTTTTTTTTTGGTGTCTGATTAGACGTACAAATACACATATAATATTTGACTTGGGGAGAAAGAAAGGGCGGCGCAGGAAGTTTCTTTTAACAACCAAAAAATTGTTTTAAAAAGATTGGAGGAAGTGATGACAGGTTTTGTCAAGTGCTATACCTAATAATGAATTAATGAAGCATTATTCAACCAATTTTCTGTGTGAAATTAAGACAGCTTAAAAATACATTATTAACATTGTAATTAAATATGCTTTTTGATTTGTTCTTGGTGTTCACATTAAGTACCTTAGAGATCCTATAAAGAATTGATGATTCATTTGCATTATAAATAGTCTATAATATATGATTCTGGCAAAGTGAAAACATCGATCAAGAATTAGTTTCAGTTAAAGTGATAAGTTGATCAGGTAGACTAACAAATAGAAGTGCCAAGTACTCCAGTTTCCCCAGCTTATTATGGAGTTCTAAAAGGCCAAGATTTTGGTAAAGATTTTCTGTTCGGTTTTTTTCTTCTTCTGCTTTCCAGGTACGAAAATTCGTATACTCTTTCTCTTATTGGTCGAATTCCTCTGCTTGTTGCCAGTGTGCTACTTGATTTCGAGACCTACATAGAGCGTTGTAATTAAGCCCCGCAAATTAGTGCTATGGTATCTGGCAACTCTTTCATAACCATTTCTAATTACTCCCTCCGTCGTCCAGTTTGAGATTTCATTTTTAGTACAATTTAAACTAAAAATGAAAATCTAAACTGAACAATAATTATGAGACGGAGGGAGTATAATTTTGTCAGTATAATGAAAATGCAGCTGATGAAAGAGGTAAAACAATTTGGGATACTTTCTTGGAGACAAAACACCCGGGTCAGTGATCACCATCTCTTTTTTATCTTGCATATATGGCAATATAGTTTTTAACTTTTTCTTATACCTTTTGTTAATTTTGTTTTTGATAAGTTCGTTTTTCACATTCAAGAATTTACTAAATGATTATTTTATGTATGCATTAGCTAGGTATAGTTCGTTGTTTAAGTGGGATAAAAAAGAATACTTGTGATCTACAACAATATCAAGTTTTGTCAAAAAAAAATTTTTTAAGGAAAAAGATATTGGAAGTATTATTGTTTACAACTTTTTTTGTTATTCTTTTTCCACGCTTAATCTTACATTTTGTGTTCTAATTCACCAGAAGTCTTAGCAAATGGTGGGCGGGAAGCCATTGAGTTTTATCATCGATATATTAAGGTACAAATTAAAACGATAATCTCTTGTTCACAATATTCACTGTTCTTAGTGGGAAAAATTGACGGATCTACCCAAAGTTTTACATGCATCGTAAATTCTACCCTATTCTTTTTCGATTAGCCAATATTACCCTAAACTATCCAACCGTTAGCCGATTTTGTCCAATTTGCTACTTTCCGTATAAATTAACGGAATTCTATTTATTTTAATTATAAAAATACCTTAATAGTTTTAAAAATTTATGAAAAGAACCCCAAAAATTTACAAAAATTACAAAATAGTCTATTTTCAGTTTTTATTTACTTTTTTCTTTTTTTATTTCTTTTTACTATTTTTCATAACCATAAAAATATACTATATGATCTTTTAAATAAATAATTTATTTTTAAACACTACAGTACAAATTTATAGATATACATTTTGTAACTCATGATTGATTTACATAAACATATTAATTTTTTTAATAATATGGCTAGACAATAATGATATTATTCTTTTAATCCGTCTTTTCCAATTTAAAGAATAAGATTTTTTTTACTAAAACTAATTTTTTACAAAAAAATAAAAACATTTAGCATAGATTAAAAAAATATATATCAGTACCTTTTAATTTATTGAAAATTAACTAAACAGACTATAGATTGTATTATCCAATTAAAAAATTATTAAATTAAAATATAGGGTACTGTCTAGTATTTAGGGTATTAAGTTTCATGAGAGTAGATATAAGATTAATTGTCACCAAAGTATTTCTAACCGGGAGAGTGATTTTACCCACGTTTAAGCGGGGTCCACTAAAGGTAAGAGGGTTGCATTGGATGGTTAGGTGATTTAAGATATGAGATGATTAAAACTGTGTTCGAGGTTCGATTCTTACTGAGAAATCTATTTTTTTTTAAAATGTAAAAAAAAGGTGGAGTCCAGTACTGCAGTAGATTTTTTATTATTATTAAAAAAAAAAGACTTCCTGCTAAAGTTAGATATATTAATTCTCAAAATATTATCACAAAATGTTAAACCCTCGCAGTAATAAATATACATATTTTTTATAAAATATTTTTTACCATTTTTGTAAATACCACGAAACTATATTCTTGTGTTGGGCCAACATAGACACGAAATAGGTGTTTTTTTTGTTTTACTTTTTGTCTGTACTTGGCCTTTTAAAAAAAATTTATATTTTAGTTTTGATTTTTTTTAATTTTAAAATACAATCTAAAGTCAGTTGAATTAAATTGTAATACATTAAAGTATACCAATAGATTCTTTTTTAATCTATGTGAATTGTTTAATTTTTTTTGTGAAAAGTTAGTATTAGTTTAAATAATCTTATTCTTTAGATTGAAAAAAATAGATTAAAAAATAGTATCATTGTTGTAAAACCATATTATTAAAAAATTAATATGCTGACGTAAATCAACCATGACATACAAATATGTAATTAAAAATTTGTATATTAAAGTTTAAAAATAAATATTTTTTTAAAAGATTATATAGTATATTTTTATAGTTATGAAAAATAGAAAAAAGAAATAAAAAACAGAAATTTTAAATAAAAACTGAAAATAGACTATTTTATAATTTTTGTAAATTTTTACGGTTATTTTTACAAATTTTTAAAACTACTAGGGGATTTTTATAATTAAAACAAATAGAATCCCGTTAATTTAGACGGAAAATAGCAAATTGGACAAAATCGACTAACGGTTGGATAGTTTAGGGTAATATTAACTAACCGAAAAAGAATAAAGTAGAATTGACGAAATATATAAAGTTTTGGGTAGATCCGCCAATTTTTCTGTTCTAAGTGAACACACATTATTAGGTTGATCTGAATTGCCTTCGTTTTGGGCGAAACGAATTTCTAGGAAGATATACACATCATGAAGGAAATGGGCGTAACATCATTCAGGTTCTCAATATCCTGGTCCAGAGTTCTGCCTTGTAAGTGGTTTTTTTTTTCTCTTAGAAGGATTACTCACAATAAGATTATACTTTCTCCGTCTGAAATTACTGCTCAGTTTGAGTTTTCAATTTTAGTATAAATTGAAGTAAAAGTGAAAATTCAAACTAAATACAGTAATTTTGAGACATGAAGAATAATATCGAACTTTTGAATAGGATTAACCGAACAAATGCGAATTTTAAAACATAAATTTCGCACTTTTTTTTTGGGTTGATAATAGTATTATTTAATTTGCATTTTGTAGATGGTAGAAGAAGCATAAACGAAAATGAGTGTGAAGAAGGGGTGAACTACAGGGTGATAGAATTCTACAAGGACCTCATTTATGAGCTCAAAGCAAATGGTTTGATAACCCTAACCCCCACCCTCCCCCAAAAAATAATTAATTTATGTAAATTGGGTTGTTTTCTCAAAATGCCAGAATTACTAATTGGATATGATTTTGGGGTTGCAGAAATCGAACCTTTGGTTACACTCTTTCACTGGGATCTTCCTCAACCTTTGGAAAATTTGTACAATGGGTTTAGAGACAATAATGAACCTAAGAAGATTGTGTGAGGATTCCTGATCACGGTCATTTTATTTCTAAAGTACAAAATAACATTTAATATAATACTATCGTTTGTATCTTATAAATAAGACCGAGAGAGTAATTAATAATCATGTTCCAATATGAATTTTGTTGTGCAGGGAGGACTTTTGCGATTATGCGAGGTTTTGCTTGGAACAATTTGGCGATGATGTCCCGAGGTGGTTAACGTTCAACGAGCCGTGGAGCTTCGCCATCGAGCGGGTACGCGACCGGCATCCATGCGCCCAGCCGTGGAGGAGGTCATCGGAGGCTGGTCTTCCGCCTAGCCGAGCAACCTCGGCAAGCGATACACCCATTGTTCCAATTACCGACGGCGACGCAAAGAGATTGAGCCATACGTAGGTAGTGGCACATAAATAACATTCTTCTTGTTCATGCTGCTGTGGTCAAATTATACAGGACACAGTTCAAGGTTTTCGCTGTCTAACCCTTATAAACATTTTTTTGCTGACATTTATCTGAAAAGTATTACGAACAATGTTATTCTAACGTTACAGAATGTCTGCTTTAAGCTTTCTTAGACAAATTTTATACATTTGGTTTCTATGTGGATAAAGGAAAGACAAAAAGGTGAGATAGATTGGAATGGCACTTGAGTCTATATGGGCAGAGCCATATTCTCTCATTCAGGAAAGGATACAAAAGCTGCCAAAAGGGTGCTTGATTTCATGTTTGGATGGTTAGTAACTAGAAGAATACTAACAGTAAGAAAATATATATTGCTGGTTCATTTATTAATTAATTAGTTAATTTCACAGGTTTATGAATATTCCAATAACATTTGGTCAATATCCGAATGAGATGCTGGACCGTCTCAACAAACTTGGGCGTCCGCTTCCTCGTTTCGAGATGGCGTGCCAATTGGTGAACAGGTAAAGCCTATATCTGTCTTTTACAAGATTTAAGTCCCAACATTCAGCAAAACTGCTCTTACTTAATCTTCCTGTGAACTATATGAACAGGGACGGAACGGGGGGGGAGGGGGAGCGAGGGTGCCGTCGGCAATTTTTTTAAAAAAAATTACCTTATAATTTTAAAAATATTTTCAGAAAAAAATTTATATATGTACTCGACTCCGTAAACATTTGGGGCTGGTTCCGTCACTGTATATGAGCGACTGAATTGTCACCCGCTCATGAATCAGACACTGTATTTTCACTATCCAATAAGATTTTAATTCCCGACTTTATAAGAAAAACTAATGCAAGACACCAAAGTACCAATAACACATTGCTAGATCTAGAACTAATGCCACGTGTACATAAATTTAATTGGTGTTTTGTTATGCAGACAGAAGTATATTCTATGTGTTAAGAGTGTGTTATCATGTAACTGCTTCTACGTTATAACATTTAACTTTTTTCCAAAATGATATTATGTACCACTTATAGGCTGGAGATCCTCCTGGCTCTATGTGTATCCAAAAGGAATTCGAGAGCCCTTAGGTTCACAAAAAAACACCTATGGAGATCCCATAACTTATATCACCGAGAACGGTAGGTACCTAAATAATACTTTAACCAAAAAAAGAAAAAACTAAAATCTGACTTCAATGCAAAAGCAAAAGTGTGACACTGGCTAAAACACAGGGCATGATGAATTGAGGGATGACAACTTATCACTAAGGGAGACGCTCTGCTTGCCATCAAGCAGAGCGTACTGTGGAGTCCCATAACAATCACCTGCTTGCCATCGAGAAAGCAATGGAGTAAAGTTTACGAACTAGGTACTCTTACATTTTGAGGAATAGCTCCTAGTATGTTTATGAATAAAATTCTTTTACCATGTTCTTTGCAGTAAGGACGATGTGAGAGTGAAAGGATATCATGCATGGTCACTGATGGACAACTTAGAGTGGGAAAATGGTTTCAAATGTCGTTTTGGGACCAACTTCATCGATTTCAATGACACCCTGAAGAGGTATCCCAAGTTGTCTGCTGCATGGTTCAAGTACTTCCTTCAAAAAGATCACAATTAAGGAGCAACTTGGACCAAATCCAAGGAGTAAAATGTGTGTCTTAAGAACAATTCAAGCCTTCAATGGTCCTTTGGTGTTTTCATGGATTTATTTACACTCTGAGATTGGATATGGATGGCATGAATAAGAAAACATAGACAAATTTTCCTCATTTTCTCTAATGCAATCGCAATCAACAATGGAACATACAAAATTTGGTTCCTTGTACCTATATCCTTTGTGCAAGCATATTCCCCTGTTTATACAATGGAAACGTTTTTCCCGTGTCTGAAAAGGCAAAACACAACTAAAGAAGCTAAGGGGAAAGAAAGTTATTGACCTTTTTAGCTGATGATCTTCCTGCCATTTTGCCTCATAAACACGAGGTTGGTTGGTTATCGTGACTTTAATCACTGGAAAGGGGACGCATTAGGGTTAACCACTATGTGCTTAAGCGGGTGAGTAACATCCGTACCACCAGCATGCCTCACGAATTCTGCCGGGGAAAGGAATGTACCATGACACACACACATTATCCTTACTTCTTCTCCCTTGCCGTATTTATATAGTATTCCATCCACTCTCCTCCCATTTGGACCATCTCCTTTGGTAAAGACACATGGCATCTCTTCTAATGTATTCTTCTTGCTCTCTTTCCCTTGATTCTTCGAGGTGTCACCTGATTTGGATGTGGACCCAGCCTCCATTCCAGATGTTCTTCCTGCACTCTCCCTTGACTTTGTCCCAGAGGAACCAGCATCCTCCTTACTGCCTTCTTGTAATGATTTGATGCTGACAGGACTCAGTTCACCACAACTACTGGAACCTGTAATGAATCGGATAAAGAAGATGACGCCATATAACGAGAAATTAAAAAATATTCCAGAGAGTTTATTCTCCTTAAAGTCAGACAACACGCGGAAAAAATGCCATTAGTAGTTCTTAAATCAGTCACACAATTGTAATCAACTCAAAGAGTTGACAATAGCATAGCATGGGTGATCACCAAAGAAATACGACTCAATATCACAAGAGGAAAGGAACAAGGAGATGACAGGAAAATAACAAAAATCTTTCAGGATTAAGAATATGAATTCCCAAAGCTTATTCTCGTCAGTGATGAACATGCAGTTCTTTAAGCTTCATTCAATGTTCGAACTCAAGTGCCTAATAGATATAGCCTAATATTCATCACAATTTTGTAGTCATCATGGTCTCACGCAACTCTCTGAAAGCAAATCCAGCGAGCACTCTTCATTCAGTTGAGTAATAGCACAACTTTTAATTAGCATATACAGCCGTGGTAAGGTATGTCAATAAAAATACACAAAATATTTGGTCCCCTGTATTGTACTGAAGCTATGTGAAGCCCAACTCCAAGCGCAGCACAAATACTTCTAGAGCAGCCGACCTAGCCGAACAAGCTTCCAAATCCCAAGAATTATAGCAAATAGAAACTGAGAAGGGAGCCTGGCACAAGAACGACTTGGTCGACCACTTTAAGGCCTTGTCAATAACAACTTTCTCCAGAAACTTGAATGCCAAAGTATCGGACGGCTGTAATCAATACACAGCTAATCTTCTGAAATACCAGACCCTGTTCGTTTGTCAATATATTTCCTTTTGCACCATCCTCTAATGCCCGTCCAAATTATTGTTTTCCTAACCAATGAGTCATCGATACCTTTTCTCAAGGATCATATATCTGATACAAAGATCACTCAACGCTAAGGATATCTACTACTTGAAGTCCTAACTACATTGCTTAAGTGCTACGATAAGCTTTACTATATAAGTTCCATCAAGTCATGCTTCATGCCCTAAAGTGCCTCTGATTTGTATGAAGAATTGCAGATCACCCTGAGAATCATTCATATGAAGTCTCAAATGGAGATAACATGACCATTCAGCTCTCAGCACATCACCACAATTGCAGCATAAACTCAATTTGCATTATACTGACTTGAAATTATAATATGCCCACTGTAATATCTCACCTCCCAAACAAGAAATAATTTTTCACTACAACACCTCTCCAACCACATCCTTCGGGAAACAGATGGCCGACTATTCTAAATGATGCACCAAATCATTTTTGCTGCCCTAAGCGAGCATCTGCATCAATGTTTTACCCAAAATTATGACCATAATTTGCAGAACCCCACTTTTTATGAAAGCGAAGCAGGGATTCAGGATCCACCATAAAAGCATTTGTTCATCATCTCCAAATAAATCATTGGAGCTGCATACAGCTATTTCTTCCCATTGATAGAATAACAAACTTAAGTCCTGAAAGTAAATTACCATGGGAAACAAAATCCATCTCTAAGAATGGAATGTTTTTCACAGGAAGAATTAAATCCAAATTACAAGAATGGGTCAACTGATCTATTCATAGGATCATGTGTCCACCAGAGTCAATACATATAGAGGCACTATTCTCGTCCTTCACAATTCTGACAGAGAAGTAACAACCTATGTCCAATTCAACCTCAAGTTTCAATAGGACATCAACCATAGTCCAACAGATTTCAAGCGTAAGCAACACAGTACATTGGTATTAAAATCAAAACATTAGTATCTTTTTGACGAAAAAAGCAAAGCTGCAACTGAGAAAATTAAATGCTAAACTACATTTTTATAGGCTATAGATGCAGGGGAGTATCGGTAATTGGACCCATCTTAAATTTCTAAAGCTTGATCTTACTTAAAGGAAAAAGAAAAAAGAAAAAAAAAAATTGAATTGAAAAATGGGAAAACATAACAATTGGCAAATTGACCATTTCACTTACTCCAAAAAGGGATTTTGAAAAGACAAGCAAATGCAGTAGTAGTACCTTGAAGGGCTCTACTTTCCAGTTCAGAAGAAGAACTTCCACCATGTGATTCCACAGATCCTTGGGACGCACCTTGCATTCCACTACCACTTAAATGGCTTCCTCTTCCTCTTCCCGATGCCAAATCAGCTTCGGTTCCAAAAGTAGAAGACTGATTAGCAGCAGCTAATCTTGCCATTCCCAAAGAGGGAGATACAGATGAACCAAACCTTCTTGCAGCTGCCAAGAAATTATCTTTATCCACTCTTCCCCTTACATTTAAATCAATTTCCTTCTTCTCTGAATCTTCCATACTCATACAACTAGAAAGCCCACCACCTCCTCCTCCTCCTCCTCCTCCACCACCACCACTTTCTCTATCAGCTTTCAGAATCCTTTGTTTCTCTGATCTTCTGCGCTTAGCTTCCATTCTCCTCAAAGTCTGTAATTCCTTCCTCTTCCTCCATTCTTCTTCAGTCTCCACAGGAAGAGATGAAGTTCTAACTAAAGTAGGATAAGGCACCACAGGGGGTGAGGAAGCAGCTAAGGAATCATCATTCCTCACAACTGGAAAATATGCAGCTATGGAAGATGATCTAACTAACTTGTTCGAACTCTTATCCACTCCAAATCTTCCTCCCAATGATAACCCAAGATTCAACTCAATCCCTTCCTCCTCATCTTCCTCTTCACCTCTAGCCTCAAATTTACCTAAATCCCTTGAACCACTTCCCATGAATCTATCCAACAAGTCCCTAGAAAACCGCCCTGCACCCAAGGAAATGCTCTCCATTTCAGTTCTGCTGATCATTTTACCCTTATCACTATCGCCCATATCAAACAGGGAAGTACCCCTGATTGAGAATGCCACCACCAAACACACAACGATAACTCTCTGGGTCTCAACTATATCAACACGTACATGCATGCTCAAGAACAGCTCCATGATCGGATCCACACGGGCCCGGATGAAAAAATTGGATCTTTAACTGCATATTAAGTTCGAGAGCTCCAATTTATACAACCTATCTTTTTTTATCCACCAATTCACGCCTACTCAACTTGCCTTGGAGTAAAGATGTAAACTTTCATGGACCCTCAACAACCAACCAAGAAAAAGATCCGAAACCAAAATCTTCCAACAATGAAAAACCCAACAAAAAATAAATATCAAGAACACCAAAATACTCCCCAGGTAGTTCTCAAAGGCGATAAAAAGAATCAGATATATCAAAACAAATGTGCAAAAAAAAGGGTCTAGAAAAGAATGGCAGGGGAAATAAATTAGATTAAATTCCAAAAAAGAACAAACCGGAAAAAAAGGAAAAAAGAAAGGGATTATTAGTATTTGAACGTGACAAACAAACAGAGAGAATGAGAAAGAGAGAGAGGGTGTGTGAAGAAAGTATAATTGAAGCAACAAATCAATGAAAGACGCCCGGAACAGAGGAAAAACAACGGAAACAATGAGAGAGAAAGAGAAGAGCCGTGTGGAAAGACAAAAGTGTCCTTGAATGGGAAAGTACTTAGTTCATTGGAAGGGAGACAAGTGGCAGAAGGGAAAAGGGGGAGAAGGGTGACACGTGGGTCTGACTGAATAGTGTTTCCAGAGAAAGTTGCTGAAATTTTTGTTGTTGGGAAGGAGGAGGAAGGGATTCGGTGTGTTCGGGTGTATGTACTTGTGTGTGTACACATGTTTCATTCATGGGTGGCCTTATGGCCAAAACAGAAAATAGGATTCAGAACAAGTTTGGTGTGAATTGCCAAACTTACCCCTCCATTAAGTCAAAGTTCTATCTTCTCCTCTCTCCAGCCTTCACCCCCTTTCTAGTTTCCCTTCATTTTTTCCCATTCCATTAGATTCACAGCACATTTCACTTTTTCTCGTTCCTTTCTTAAATCTTTCTCCATTCCCCTCCTGATTTAACATACCAATCCACTATCCACTTAAAACTAAGTTTATTTGTACAGATTCGTTTCAACTCAACCTATACCCAAACAGGAGGTGATTCCATCATCAAATTGATTAAGATGAGGAGTCATGGTTTCAAACTTTGTTAGCTCCGAAAGAGATGCTCAAAATAATCCATTTCAATCAACCAATGACATCATCTCTTATGCACGCCTCACTCATTCACCGTAAATTGTTAGTCATCACTTGGGATGCATGTGATTTATCTTTAGATTTGTAATTGTGGAAACCTAGAAGAGTGAGATGGGCAGAAACATAAGTGACAGAACTTTAAAGGTGGGAGATTCTTAGATATGTTCTTGATTTGTCTTTGATTGAAAATGAATTTTATTTGACTATTTAGATTCATTATATTGATTTTCGTGAATGGCGCAAAGGTGATTTGTCATTTACTTTTTGTTTTAATAAGCGGTTAAGAAAGATTAAAGATGAACTTTTGTAGAATATGAACAGAATGTAGTTTTAATATCAGTTTTGAAGTTTTGACTATTTATGAAGAAATGAGAAATTGCAGGCTATGTGAACTTTCTGAAAAATTCAATTTCTGCTTGTGATGGTTTTGGTTTAAGCCAAAGAAAAATAAAATAAAATAAAAAAAGCTACTCAATTTAATTTGATTGTTTAGGTAAGTTTAAATGCGTTTGTGTTTTACAGTTTAGAGACTTTGTGGAAAAAAAAGTCGGGAGAATTTTAAAACAAAAATACAATACTTTTCATGTTGGGCCAGAAATGCAAAAATAATGTAAAGATGCTAATTTGTTAGAACTTCCAAGGGTAAAATTGGCAGTTTATACAAAATTTATTTTGGACCCTATTTTTTGTTATGGCAATAAGGCCACCCATTATCATAAGTTTTCCCTCCCACGTGGGACCTCTATTTTGAGCCCAGTCACCACTATTATTTATAATCACATCAAAGGATGGAAAGAAATTCTCTTTACTCATGGGCTCTCTTCTTTTTTTTGCTTCTATCCTCATCATCATCATTCTATTAATTTCATTATTATGTATGCTGGAGTTCTAGTTGGATCTAGAATGAAGTTTCTAGATTACTACTCTTCTGTACTTGTGGTGGACATGGGTGTTACAAGTTGCACACTACCAATTTGAGATGTCAGTCTGAATGTGAAGTGCATAATTTATGTTTAAATTGTGGATATTTTAATAATAAAAGTGTGTAAATATGTAAATTGATCGTGAATAATAAGAAGACATATGTATTACTGTTTATATCATACTAATAGTACTTAATTTTGTATAATTATCATAGGAATTAGCTATTAAAAAAAGTATTGAAGTAGTAGTTAAACTAAACTGCATTGGGAAAAAAACAATCTGAAATTAAGGGGAGATTAAAGTGCAGGAGAAGTCTAATGACGTCGACCGCACAACAAAACTTCCCCCAATCTCTTCTTTATCTTAAAATAGAAAGAGAACAAGGAAAAATAGGAAGTTTCACTTAAAGGTAGGACGCGTGTCAGGAAAGCGTGACGCATGGAGAATAGACACGTGTCAGGGGTAGTTTGGAGGCATTACAGATAAGCCACGTGGACAGTATCTTCCTCAGCCTCGTAAAGCCGCAACGTTGTCCTCTAGTAGTACCTGTAATGAATGTTTCTTTTTTTTTATTATTTTACACTACTACTGTCTATATATATATATATGGTGTACTCAGTACTGTATCAAAAAATTAAAATAAAGGTTGGATTTTGAATTGAATAAATTAAATATTGAGTCCGCACTAGTAATGTTTTTTTTTTTAATTATTTTCCAAAAACAAGGAAACATAGCTGTCGTCGACGTCGTCGTGTCGTAGAAAGGGTGGATAGTTTAAATAAAGAAAGGTTAGGGCCTGGGGTGTACCATTGGACACGTGGGTGAATCATTTGGCTTTTACTGGATAGTAGTATAATTTTGGATATCGTGATTGGATTTCATATCTTCATATATATATATATATATATATATATATATATATATATATATATATATATATACTAGTGATGTCTGGTCATGTGACCCTGGCCCAATATATCTGTAGATCTTAGAAATACTTGTATCTGAAAAAAAAATATTTTGTATTTGGATTGATATATTTTAAAAATATTTTATAAGTGTGATCACAGAAATGTTTGTATTTGGCATAAAAAGAAATTGTATTTGACCCGGTACATTTTAGAAATGTTTCAAGATTTTAGAAATATTTTATAAGTGTTCCTACTTAAACATAAATAAACTTGATCAAACATATATCTTCAAGTAAATGCTAGACAAAATATAAAAGCATACTAATAAGTTTAAATATTAGTAAGATAATTTATTGATGTTCTCCATTGGCTGTGCCAAATCAATACTTAGTTTTGGAGATTTATAATAGCTTTGTAGTAAGCTTCCTCCAAAGGGTATATGCTTAATTGTTGGAACTATTTCTTCTAAAAGTTTATAAGTAGTAAAATATCAAAAATATGATTTTGAAACTGATTAATTGTTGAAACTGGTTGATCACAAATATCAGATGAAAATAATATAAATTTGCATAGATTTCAATTTATAGCAAAAAAGAGCTCACCTCACCATTGCAAATAAAAAAAAAAAAGAAAGTAAAAGATAGTCCATTAAAAATTGAGAAATTTACTTTTTTCTGTAGGTAAAAATGATGTATAAAAACACAAATAAACGTAGAAACATCATTTCTTCCCTCTTCACCTCAAATTCATAAAAAGCTTCCCCATAAATTAGTTAGAAGAAGCGACCTGAACTATTTATATGATGAGGAACTAAAAAAAGTCCAAAAGCCAAATCCAAAAAAGTATATTCTTGAAAGCTCGAACACAAAAAAAAAAACGCACTTCATTTGCAAATAAAAAATAATAATAATAGTAATAATTGGTCAACTGGGAGTATGAAACAAAATAAAAAACAATTAAACAAAGAAAAAACACCCTTCATAACTGATCATATACGAAAAAAAACCGAGACTCCATAATTAAAAAAAGAAAACCACTCTAATTGAATGAAACATAAAAAAAAAAATTTTAAAAACCTCACTTTGTAACAAAAATATAATTAATCAATTCAATCCAAACAGAACTAAAATCATGCAAAAATTCTAGGCTAACTAACCATATAAGAAATCACATCATATTACCTGACAACGGCTACGGTAGCTGTAACAGATGAACGGATAAAAATAATAGTAATAACACTATTCTTGAACGAGAAAAATAATAAAATAATAAAAGTCAAACAAATGATCTGTAGAAATAAAATCATTTAAATTTTAATACCTATAATGGCACCAGCACAAAGGCCGAAGCAAGATCGATGAGAATCTATTTTTTTTCTTTGTGTTTATATAGAGAGGTAAAGAGAATAATTTTTAAAGTCGAAATTTTATCCGATTAAGATGTAGTTGATCATCACTAATGAAAAGATTGAACATGTTAATAGGAAAGAAATATATTTAACCACATATTCTCAATTGATAATTGATGAGAAATTTGTTTTTTAATTTTTTATTGTGGAGAAAAGATTGATTAGGGAGTCGATTGTCGTGGAGATGGGGATGAGGATTTGGATTTTTTATGAACCCGGGGTTTTTTTTTTTTTTTTGCGAAAATAGGAGGTGGAGGTGGATTTGGACTGCATTTGTCTTTTAAGTCTAGGAGATGTGTAAATAAAAATTTGTTTTAAAAATATCATATGGAAATGCCACATGCATGGTAGTGTTTTCTCTTAAGTGTGGTTTTTGTTTCTAATATAGTACTCCCTCCGTCCCATAATTATTGTCCACTTTGCCCAAAAAATTTTGTCCCAAAATTATTGTCCAATTTGACTTTTTATGGATCAAGTTACACATTTGTCCTTAGTAAAAAACATTATCCATAAAATCTTAGTGATTAAACAATTACTTATGTAGGGGTATATTCGGTTGTTTAAGGTAAAATATAGTTAAGTTTGATCAAAAATAAAATATTTCATTTTAGTAAAACTGGACAATAATTATGGGACGGAGGGAGTAAGATATATAATATCGTGTCTATTCGATCGGTTTTGGTAAGTTTATCTTGTGAAAATTTTGCTTAAACTGGTAAATACGGAATGAATAAGGAGAGATTTGGTATTCAAATAGCACACTAGCAATTATATATCCATCGTGTGATAATAACAATTCTGAAAACTCATTCAGCATATCTTTGCATTTCGTGTTTTTTTTTAACAAATCAATTATGATAATATTATATTTCGTCCGGTCTTAATTATAAATCACAATTTTTTTTATTAATTTTAATGTTAATTTGCATCACAAGAGTACCTTCTTATTTCATTGTCGCGGCATTCATGAAATTTACATCACAAGAGTACCTTCTTATTTCATTGTCGCGGCATTCATGAAATTTGCATCACAAGAGTACCTTCTTATTTCATTGTCGCGACATTCATGAAATTTCATTATTCTCCATAAATTAGAGCATTTTGTATTCCGATCATGTTGTATAATCTAATGTGGTACAACATATGCCACTAAAGTGCACTGAATAATTATAATTCATGTTGTCTGATGAGATGAAAAAAATGTCCTGACATTATAGTAGAACACTATATGTATTGATTAGAAAGAGAAAAAAAAAAAAAAAAATTCCTTCCGATCTTTAATATAAAGTATTTCGATTTGTCCTAAGTTTCACCTAGTATGTATTTTTAATTGGGAAAAAAAACCTTAAAAATATGTTTCTCATTCGTTATATTCTCTTAATTGTTAAGAAATATTTTTAAGATTTTTTGTCAATTAAAAATACATATTAGGTGAAACTTATGACAAATTAAAATGTCTTTTTTTTTCTTTTTTTTTTTTGCAAGGAAAATTTGTTTTTAGATACTTAATACATCATCTTTTTTACTACTATTTTGAATTGTGTGTATTTTGTGTGCTTGAGTTTTTTTTTTTTTTTTTTGAGTAAAGTGCTTATATATATCATTTGAAATACTTATGACTTAGTATCATTCATCCACAAAACAAGAAGGTTGAAGGTTGAGAAGGATTTATATGAATTAGTATCTCTGGTCCGAATAAAATTAACATTGAGTTTTCACAAGTGTATTTTTTTAATACAAATTTTTAAATTTTTTTTTTTTTGAGACTTAGGAAGTAGTAACAAGTAGTGTAAAAAGAAAAAAAAAAAAGAACAAAAGAGAAGAAATAGCAAAAAATGATTTGACCCTATGGAATCAGCTGGTCATTTTGGAAAAGTGGCAAAATTGTCGATGACAAGATTATAACGAGTAGTAGTACTTTATTAGTGGTAGAAGCAGAAGAAATAAGGCGATCATAATTTGACTCCGGTCATTTCGTTTGTCTAAATCGGCTCTCAATCTACCAACCAAAGTCAAAAAAAGACCGGCGAAGAGAAAGAAGAGAGAAGAAGAAGATGATGAATCGTGGAAGAAGCTGGCGTGGAGCACGTGGTCCATAAAACTGGCAGTAATTGGCCCATATGGTCATGGCAGAATTATTTTGTTACAAAAATCAGAGGGCCCCATTTACAAAGAAGGACCAAGTTGCAACTTTTAAAGTTTTAAAAAATAAATAAATTAATTCTCCGGAAAAGAAAAAACTGGTCCTGGGTGTGACACGTATTATTGGGGCTTGGTCCCACATATCTTCTCTCCCCGGATCTGTCCCCTTCCTCGTATCTGTTTTTTATTCGCCATCTTTTCGGATCCAATTATACGCACATTCGGCCCATTAATAGTCTGAGGTAAAAAAAATAAAAAAAGACTGATCACGCATATAAAAAAAAAAATTCATTCATTTTAATTATTGTGTTTATAATGATTAATGTCTCATCTGAATTTCTTTTACTTTTTCTGTAATGTATTTCCCTATTCCAAGAGGAAATTCTCATTCTTACTATTTCATCCAGCTTTTTTCATTTGAAAGTGGATCCTTAATTATAACTTGAACAGAAAATTTTGGAAATACATAATGAAATACTAACTTACTAAAGGCAAGCACCTAATAGCAAACAACATGTTTCCACTATTAAATTGTATTATATTGTTGTGTCTACCGTTGACAATAATGACTAATCTCCCTTGCTCATGATAAGTATCTCAATGGATGAGAAAGCTGGCCAAAAAATTTAAGATTGCTCCATATTCATGACAAAGTTTTGATGTTGTTTCATGTTTTTTCCCCTCTTTCTTTTTGTTTCTTTCTCCCTCTTTCTTGCTGATGTTTTGATTACACTTTAAATTAATAAAACTATATTAGTGAATCCAAACATAAAACTAGCTAAAGCATAACCTACAATAAGAATTAATGCATATTACTCAAAAGATAAAGAAGCAATGATAGTCATGGTATCCTTTTAAAACAATCGGGTGACTTGCATCATCTGGATTATTTCATGGACAAATTTGCAAATGATGAAATTGCCATTCTTTATTATAGTTCAAAAAATGGGAATCATAAAGGAGCCTTAAGAAATAAGCCACCAATTATAAATTTAAACAACATACAGAAAAGGGCCCAAAAATTCTCTAAATAAACCCAGAACTCATAACATATGATAAAACCCCGTAGCTATAAACCCATGCTAATAAACTACTGAAATTGTGGGTACGAAGTAAAATTATTATTTTTTCCGTTCCAAAAAATAGTCCACATTTAGTTTTTAAATGTGGACTATTTTTTGAGACGGAAATAATAACACGGAACTGTGTGGACGAGTCAACATTGTTTCAATGACTAATCTAATCTTAATATTTTAAGTACATAGCCTGTTTCAAATCAAATCTTTAAGTACCTTTTATCGGTGGTGGATTTGTGAGTTAGATAAACCCCAAGTTATATTGAATTTTCCAAAATGAGGAGTAAAATATAGAAAAAGAATGGAAAATGACACAAAAGTTAGGAGATCAATCTCGATAGACCAGGACACGTCAATATATAGACTAGGAGTCAGAAAAGATTCTCCGACACTAACTTTGAGCCACGTGTCCCAACGTTAACTGATAGAAAGGGACTCTCCGAAGCCCCGTAGAGCCGTACTTCATCCAAAGAGGCGGAAACACTGAAAGCACGAGCGGGAAAAGTTGGCCTTACCATTTTATTACAACATAATTGTACCTTTTTCCTCCGGCCCAAAATGAATGTTTTATAATTTTTTCCGTCGTAAAGATTATAATAACAAAACCATTGGCAAACAGAAATGTGTAATAGAGCTAAGTTCCGCTGAAAAAGTTCTCAATAGAATTCATCTTGATAAATGTAAATGAAAACATAAAATAAATTATTCGTCCCAAACCTACTGCCTATATAGAGATGATGTGCGCCAAAATTTCCTACACTAAGGGGGAGGGGAAGGAGAAGGAGAAGGTTTCGATTCATAAGTTGTGTTAACAACAAATTCCTCTCATGTCAGTCAAGATTTGGCAGCTGTCTTTGCACCGTTGCTATTTCCTCCACCACCATTCTGTACCTGCTCATCTTTCTGAGGTCCTCCATTCGACAATTGGCCCCCATTCCTCCCGTTGTTCCTAGGATATGCCTCTCCTCCATAACCTCTTCCATCCCTGCTTCCGCTGTTCCTTTCACCGAATTCTCTGCTTTGTCGGTCATAGCCACGCCCACTATTATCATCACGATAGCTCCCATCAGAACGAATCTCTCCTTTCTCTTGACCTTTGAAATTTCTGGAGCGAAAGCCTCCACCTGCTCCTGTACCATTGTTAACAGTGCATGAGAAACATGTGCATGTTGTTGCTGAAAAGCAAAACCTCGTATGTAAATACTTCTCTAAAAAATCACTAAACATTCACATGCAAAAATTATTATGTCCACCAAAAATGCATTTCCCATGCAATAAACAAATGATATGATAAAGAACAGCACATGTCTGCTTTCCCAACAAGATGCTACAAATAATTGATAAGGAGTACACTGTCAAATCTAACCTCTGGTGCCAGATTTTTTGACCGAAATGCGGGCTTCAGAGCCTTTCACAGTGAGCTTGCGAGCCTGAAAAAAGATGGCATTGTTAGGTAGACAGAAAGCTACCTATTTATGGTTCATTTAACAGTTTAAAGCAAAAAAAGCGGTTTGCATTTGCAAATATATCACTAAGCTTCACTTCCATAAAACAATTCTGTATACACAGTACATACACCATGCAACAGACTAGAGGTGGCACTAAATTTTACAAACAGAAAACAGATACATTTCTGTGTGTGCACGTGTGATCTAACTCATTGCTAAACTCAAAGTCAAAGGTAACCAAACAGGGAAATAAATTTTTTTCAAGCAGTATAAACTATAAATATTAGGCCAAGATTAAACGTAAGCCATATCTATGAACAAAATTACGAGTATATAGACGCACATAAATAGTTAGAAATAGTGTTGAATAGTGACACAAAACTATAAAAGAATGATCGAAAGAGCATGACAAAATGGACTACTTTTCAAAAAATGATGGTGCCCTCCCGAGCACTCACATCGGGAGTTGTCATAATGCTAAAAATTAAGTTTAGTGTGATAGATCCAGCTACAGTACAAGACGTAAAACATCTAGAAAAAGTGAATCAAATATCACCACTATTACATACCTCTACTGCACTTTTTGCTGAATCTTCAGATTCAAATTCCACAAAGCCATAACAGAATCCATCCTAGATAGAGATTTCAGTTACAAGTTAAGGAAACATAAATGAGACATGGTAACAAAGGATATGAATTTGAATTTGGAGGACAAACCCGAGGAAATGTTTTGATCTGAATATCAGATGGCCTAGCTAGGCCAAAGACTTTCACTGCTTCCGCTAATTCATCTTTCGTTATGTCCTTAGGCAGATTTTCCATATAAACTGATCTAGCCATGGAATCTGCAGGTAAATGTTAGACATAACACTTGACTAGATCATTTGAAAGCTTCTAGGAGATAAAGGCATCTAAATTTACCTTCCGAACGGATATTGTTACTGTTATTTTGAATATTGCTGTTATTTTCAGTAAAACTCCGTTCTTTTGTCCCTCTCACAATATTTGCTCTGTTAAAGTGCCTTGATTGTTGCTGATTAAAACTTGGAGCCACCCTCGCTATTTTCGGAGATACATCTGATTGCTGGTTAGAGCTTGGAGCCACCCTAACTATTTTATGACCTTGATTATCAGCAAAAGATGAACCCTTTCTCTCTTTCGCCAGCTGAAAAAAAACATAGCCATTAATCACAGGACATTTTCAGAACTCATTAACAATTTTAAGATATGTTTGGGAAAAGTACAAACCACTGAAGCATATGAAATTTTCTGTCTCTCCAGTTTCTGTCCCTCCAGTTTCTCATCATCAGATACATTAGCTGGGGTAACATTCTTTGTTAAGGTAACTGGTTTTGGAACTTCAGCAGCTGGAACTGTGCCATCTGGGGTTTCCTCAACAACATCTGTTGATTCCGTGGATGTGGACCCCTTTACAGATTTCGGTTCAGCGGGAACATCAATTTTTGGTTCAGCATGAACATCAGCAGGTCCTGGAAAAGAAACAGATTATTAACAACTCACTCTATATACACCTTTAGAGAAAATAAAGGCCATAGGAATATATAAAACGATAGAATACTTGCAGAAATGAACGAAGATTAAAATCAATTGTAACAGATTCTATATAAAACCCACCTGATTCTTGAGCAGAGGAAACATCCGAAGCAACAGAAACACTTTTATCGACATCGTCACTAGCAATTGAAATGTTCAAAACTTCTTGTGTATTCATTACACAAAGGTTGTCATTCAAGACATAAAAGCCAAAGGTACCCTGCTTGGCAAGGAAAAATGTTTGAAGCATGATCTTTTTTACGTTGTCTTTTCCGAGTAAACAACCGATAACTGTCAGAACAATCCCCTCCATCAAAGAGTCTTGGGCATCAGCATTTATAATCTTCACCTCGCACCCCTTGTACTCGGAAGCCATGATTGTTTCCTCGATACCCTGCACAGAGATAGGGGGCTCATGTCATTTTTAAACATGATTGAAGGAACAAAAAGTACAACATCAAACTAATAAAAATATATAAGTATTTTTCCGGCAATGAAAGATATTTCATCTGAACTTTGGTGTGGCAAGAAGAAATCGTTATTAGATGACATGTCTTGTTGCAACATTCGGCATAATAGATTTTAAAAGAAACATAATTACGTTATTAGTTCACGTAATTAATTCAGATCAAACTTTGTGTATACAATTGTTAAGAATAATTAATAGCTCCAGCAAGGCCCATAATACATTTCCATGCATCGATGACATACTTACCTTTATTTGTAGGAAGTGTGCAACTGAGTGCATGGATATAAACCAAACATATAGATTATATGAGAAAGGTTCTGAACATTAAATAATGAAGGAAACAAATATTGAAGAGAGCACAGGCAGCAAACTAAACTGATTGAAGAGAGCGCAATCAAATACAATCCCAAATACAATATGATCTCTAGCACTACCGAAATTCATTTACCTTTATTGTCGTTACAAACTCAGCTCCTGGCCATTTTAGTGCACTTCCATCTTTATAAAACTTGTGCAGCGAGTCAGGATAGTTGCGTAAAATTTCATAATACTGCGCCAAAAATAGATCTGCCACAGTTTTGGCATTTGGCGTAGACGCTGATTCTTGATCCGCCATCTCAGCTTTCGCATTTGGTGTACTCACTGACAATGATTCTTGATCCTCCGCCATCTCAGCTTTCGCATTTGGCGTACTCACTGACAATGATTCTTGATCCTCCGCCATCTCAGCTTTCGCATTTGGCGTACTCACTGACAATGATTCTTGATCCGCCATCTCTGCAAGTGTTGACAAACTCCTTATTTTTCAAGTACAAACAAAAGAAAAAAGAAGAGTAACTCAAAGTTTAACCCAAGCTAAGGACCATAAGACTAGTCAGCAAAAAAATTCTCAAGGCATTAAAGTGGATCCACGCTTCCAAATTGTGCGTAAACAAAAAATTAATCTAGCCAAATCGTTGGCAATTTTGAAACCTCATAAAAAAAAATACAAAAATAAAACCTCCTAGCCGAGGGTCAGGCAATTGAAACCTCATCAAACAAAAAATACAGCTGATGCAGAGCCCAACGTACAACAACAATCTGAACATAGCAGCAATACCCGGAAATTTCTGTCATCAGGATAACTAAACACAAAGTACAATCGACTCAAAATCCACCCAAAAGGAAGGAAAAGAGAAAAGAAAGTTTAGCATTGCAGAAAAAAGGCAAATAGTCGGATCAAAGATCAAACAAAGCCCATCCTTCTGTGCTCAAAGTAAACAAAACCAAAAAAACAAGGAAAAAGAAAAAAAAGAACAGAACTAGCAACGCAGACTTCAACCAACAAAACATTCATCTTATTTCCTATTGAAAAAAATAAAATAAAAATTAACAACTAAAAATCCAAACTTTAGTCATGCAATTCAATGCCCTCCTACCCAAATTGTCTCCTGATCAAACAAATACACGATTCAAGAGAAGAGAAAAAACCATTATTATTAAAAAAGAAGGAAAAACAAACCATCATAAACCCTCGCCCTCGCCATCATAAACCATAAAAAAAAAAACCAACAAAAAGGAATAAACTATCAACATCAACAAATCACAAAAAGGAAAAGTTTTTAGCATTAGAAAATTACCTTTGAACAAAGAGAGACGACGCAAGAAAAAAAATTACAGAAAAAATCGGATGCAAACAGAAGACTAAGAGGCAAGAAGGGTTTATATAGGAAAGAAGAGGGGGTCATAAATTTCGAGATTCGGCAGAGTTAATCATAAGATTTCCTTTTCCTATTAAATGGTAATTTGTTCTGCTAATAACTCTCCCCGAGTGAAGTTGCATCTTCCTCAGTAATTGTACTTGTATTCTACAACAAATAATACTCATCAGTTTGTATATAAAAAAAAAATATATATTATTATTTATTTATTTATTATTTGATGAATGTACTTAACAAAGTCAAAGACCACTGTCAAAAGGATCTTTATCGGTGTTCGTCTTCGTACTTCGTACTGAGTTATAATTGACCGCTGTCTATTTTGGTTGACAGCTAATTGCTTATTTCTTTGAAATTAATTTTTGTCTTTTTTTTTTTTGTGTAGGGAAAAATATGAATAGCAATAATAAATTTACCTAAATTACAAATTTATTTTTTTTTGGATTCAATGTTCATGCATACAGAAATCCAACATCATCATTGAATTTTAAGGTGAAAATATGCTCATTATTAAGTGTAATATTACAAAGAGCATGGCTATTTCTGAGATGTAAATAAAAGAAAATCATAATTTAAAGAATAATAATCTTTTTTGGTACAAAAAATAATAATTTTGATAAATAAATTAAAAAAAAGTAAGTACAAACGTATTGCACTGTATATGTACCGAGAATGTAGTAAATATTTTAGTTTTAACTAGTAATACGATTTCTAATAAAACTAGTAATACGAATTTCACCGTAATTCTGGTGTAAAAGGGGAAATAAAAGTTAATTACCTCGACATAAATGCCAAAAAAAGATTCGATTCGACAAGTAAGTTTTTAATCTCTGGTAAAAAGATTATTACATTATTATTAACTTTTTTTTTTTTTGGAACAAGCCCCAGTATTATGTTTTACTTTGAAGAAAGTCAAAGCAGAGACGAATACTGCGTCGTTTTATGTCGTCAACCTTCTTCTTCGTTCAAAAAACTTGCCAAGGAGCAGGGGAGTAGAATACAGAGCTGGTCCAATAGGGTTCAGGGTTTTTGTGGAGTGTGAAGATGTGTGGAATTGCCGTTATCATCTCAGGAATTCGTTTCGACCTCTCAAACATAGTTCCTGATTACGTTCCACCATCTCCTCAACCTCCGGAACAGGTATTTCCGACCATCTTCTTTTGTCATTGCCTTTTCCATACTGTGTTTTAATGGCGGTCTTCTGTTTACTAGGAAGTAATATTCTTTGCTTCTTTTTTTCTATTTGGTTATAGAGATTTAAAGGAATTAACACTTTATGACTTTTGTTTTGGTGGAAGTTATGGTAAAGATTGTGCTGTTGATGAAAGTTGACTAAAAGTTTCAATTCTTTACATACAGTTCCAACTTCTCAAGCTTATTGCATGGAAGTAAATTATAATGCTTGAATTTAAGAAGTGGGCCCTGTTGTTTCTCACTAAAAGATGTGATCTTTATCGTTTACGTTATACCAAACGAATATCTTTCTTCTTGTATTTTACAATTTGTTGTTTTGAAGTGGATGGTTTAGTGGATTTGTGTTCGTGTAGAAAAAAAAAAAAGATTGAGTTCATTGCATGATCCTACGTTAAGATTGAGATTTGAAGTAAGTAATTTATGATGAAGGTTTGATTTTCAGCATTTGTGGAAGTATAACGATGATTTTTGTTACCAGGTGTTATTTTCTGCCGATGATATAAAAGCGGCATTGAGTAGAAGAGGTCCAGATAGCATAGGAAGCAAGAATGTTTTCCTTAAGTTGGAGAAATTGCCATTCGAAGGAGTCATGCCGGAGATGTCCACAGTTGGGGATGATGATTCACCTTTTGTCATTCAAGAACCTTGTGGTGTAGAAAATGGATGTGAACCTGATAACTTTGGACAGTTGCATTTTATTGGTGCTACATTACAATTAAGAGGAATAAGTCCAATTGTTCAGCCGTTGGTGGATTCCTCCGGAAACGTTCTTGTCTATAATGGTAAGATAAGCAACAAGCTTTTAAGGTGCATCACAATTGTATAGTATTCCTGTGTTGAAATTTATGCTGTGAAATACATAATAGATTATTACTGGTGAAACAACTTACAAGTTGTGAAATTGATCAAAGGGGTTGGATATAAGGAACGACTTATAATAATATATTTGCAGATTCCGTGGTTATCATATGTTAATAACTTTACGCCTGCTTCTCAACTTAAGGGCATTTCCTTCAATAAATTAAACTCATTTAGATCCTGGTTTGTGAGAAGAAGGTTCATGCTTTCTTTAGACATGATCAATTTTGTGTTGCTTTTTCAAAGGTGAAATATTTGGAGGAATATGTGTTGGCAATGACTGCAATGATTCAGAGATTCTGATGAAAATGTTGGGAAGGTGCTGCTCATGTCTCTCCCACGACCACAGTATTAAACATGGTTCTTGTGAAGAAGGGGAAATATCTGTTCCTCAACTTCTCTCCAGAATCAAGGGGCCATGGGCTTTTATCTATTGGCAGGTAACTATAAGTGGTAAGTTTCTAGTCTTAGCTATCTCATGGTGCAGAATATCCATTTTCAGAATGTTAAATCTTATATTCTATGATTTTATTATTGCAGAATAGTTCCAAAACCTTGTGGTTCGGGCGAGATGCATTTGGAAGGAGGAGCCTTCTTGTCCATTGGCCAACGCAACAGGACTCACGTTTTCTGCTGACATCTGTGTCACCTCTTTCATCTGAATGTGAAATATCTGGTACGCAGTGCTTGACTTAAAATGTTCACCATATTTTTGGGAATCCCAGCTATCCTTTTAAAACAATATACCAAGCAGAAAATTTTGTAAGGTATCTTTGAACATCTGAGTTTGAGCAGAATACAAGATGTTGGTTGAATATTATTCTTGTCAATAAATGTAACTTGTGTGCTTACACCTCCAAATTTTTCCTTGTAGATATTGTGTATGCTATCTAACAAATCTTAAGCTAGCTTTTGCCCTCATGGCCAACTATTGAGTATGCATTTATAATCTGTTGTTGATTTTGAAGAGTCAAAAGAATTGGAGAACCTAAACTACTGGGAAGAGCTTCCATGTGGCATGTACAGTTTATCTGTGTGTGTTTCAAGAACAAATGGTTATCATGCTTGTGAATTGAAAAGACACAAGTGGACGGATGCGAATCTTGAAGAACTCGTGCAGTGGGAAAGAATGTCTGTTCATCCAGAGGCAGGGAAGACATGTATTTCCCGTGATTATGGTATGCACAGCATACTCACTCGGTTTCAGCTGTTATATGATGCAATTTCTGTTAGAAGACTACAAAAAAATTTCACAAAATGATTGCTATAAATTTGCTAAAGTGGTATAAACAATTTTGAGCATGTGATGAGATAGTCTCTTTTATCTAGCTTATACAGAACACCCACTGTTTTCATTGGTTTATAATGATTGAGGAATTTCGTGTAGCTGCAATTTTGTCTCAACTGATGCTTCATGTTTGGATGCAGTCCATCTAGAGCCATCACATAGGGTCCTGACTGTTTTGAGGGAGGCTGTGATGCGGCGAACTGTGTTAAACACAACTTGCCAGGTACAAGATATATTATTTCCTCTCTGCTTGTCTTGCATACTTTTTCATAGTACTAGGCAAAGCCACGATAATATGCATCCTGCCTTCCCTGGTAAAGTTTCATTCACTGTCTTCAAAACAGAATGTCTTTTTAACGCAGTATCACTTTTCTCAATTTGGTGTTTTTTCCGCTTCAAATTTGCTGAAGCTTCTTGCCTCTTTGCATAAATTGTGTAGACTGTTTCTGCTCACCACGGACAAGGAAGTGCTCCAGTTGCAGTGCTATTTTCTGGTGGGCTAGATAGTATGATCCTTTCAGCACTATTGCATCAGTGCCTTGATCTCAAGTGTAAGCTACAATTTAGTTGCTTGCTTCAGTTCATAGCCAACATTTTAATAGTTAACCTAAGTGTAAGGTCTTTGATGAAGAGAGGGAGTGAGTGTAGAGTAGTGAGATAGCAGAATGAGATGGAAAAGAAACTTTAAAAGAAAAAATCAACCAGATTAGTTTGGTAGTGGGAAGGAACTTAACTTTTGATGATAGATATTTATAAATATGCAATCAGCGAAACTCCTTTCTCACCAGGTCTCTCTCTCTCTCTCTCTCTCTCTCTCTCTCTTTCAAAGTTGTCACTGGTGAAATTTTACATAGCTTACCATATATTTCTGAATATTGATTTACAGATGACATAGAGTTGCTCAATGTGAGCTTTGATGGTCAGTTTGCTCCAGATAGAATCACTGCCAGGGAAGGTGTGAAGGAACTTGAAAATATTGCACCATCAAGAAGGTCTTCTTTACTTCTGCCAAAATCTGTTTAACATGGGAATGCCTGTTGACATTTTCAAAAAATTGTCAAACTTCAAAGTCATCTACAATTTACAAAAAAAATGTGGCCTTTTGTGTTGAAAATGTAGCTGAAATTTAATCCTGATGCAGATAAATCTTGTAGTTCAGTGTATTGTTGCTGCTTTTTATGATCTTCTCCTGCTTGTACAGAGTTGGTGTTTCGCTTTTGGTAGTTTTTTTAGCCTACCTTTTCTTTTTGGCAACTTACATGTTGAAGGATGCAGGTGGAAGCTGGTAGAGATCAATGCTGATTTACAGAGATTAACTTCTGAAATGAAGCATGTCATGTCGCTTATATCTCCTGCAAAGACATATATGGTAATCTTTTTCTAATAGTTTCTTTTGGCCTTTTGGGGTACTTTCTAGGTCTTGTCATTCTACTAGATAGTCTGTGCATCATATGGATAAAGGTGCCACTTTATGTACTTCTGAGCTTCACAAATTTGACTTTCTGGGTTAAACAAATTAATTTGTCTCATTGTTGTTTGCTTTGATGAATTTATTTGTCTGCTGAAGAAATGGGAGTGTAAGAAAAGTATGAATAATGTATGCTCTTTATTCTAGTACTTTTTTTTCTTTGAAATTGATATTGCTGTTTGCTTTAGGATCTCAATATTGGTTTAGCATTGTGGTTAGCCGCTGGAGGTGATGGATGGATCTATGGAGGTAGTGCTGACAGCCAGTACTCGAAGCACAAATCTGAGGCCAGAGTTCTTCTTACTGGCACTGGTGCGGATGAACAATGTGCAGGATATGGCCGGTACAAAACGAAATTTAGAGAGGGAAGGTTTGCTTCTATCTCTTCCATGGTCTGTGGACCTTGATAAAGTTTTCAATGAAGGACTTTAAGAAATATCGTTATGTTGCACGTGCACAGAATAATAGCGTGAATTCTATCTAAGAGAAGTGAAAGATGAGAATGGAAAAACTAGCTAAGATTCTCAATTATCTAGGCATTAATTTTGCTCACTGCTTGCATTTGTCAATCACCTTTTTTTCTTATGCTGCATTGTTACACCTCAATTTGTTTCTTGAAAAACTCAATTTTTATTAGATCTCAATATTGTTGTGTTCATTGTACTCACCAGTTGGCTTGCACTGCATGAAGAAATGAAGTTAGACATGCAGAGAATTTGGAAGAGAAACCTCGGGAGAGACGACAGGTGCATTGCTGACAATGGAAAAGAGGTATTCTGAAGACTCAAAAAGTTTTTCTTTTGTTCACTTTTGTCCGGAAGCTTATTATAATGGTTAATGGTCAGGCACGATTTCCTTTCTTGGATGAGGATGTTATAAGGACGCTACTTGATATGCCTCTCTGGGAGCTCGCTGACCTCAGCCAACCGAGTGGGATTGGGGATAAAAAGATCTTAAGAGAGGTAGTGATATCTGAATTTGCACTTTAATCTGAGATAGCAAACTATCAAACTCTAGAAGAGAAGCTCTGCAAGTTAGCTCAATTGACCAGTATGTGCACATTCCATGTTATTTATAAATGGAAAGACAGCTGCTGCTGCAGCTGCTCTCTCTCTCTCTCTCTCTCCTGATGGCCTTACAATTATGTTTGTGTCTCTTGGAGGTTGCACGCTTGCTTGGTATATCTGGAGCGGCCGGTCTGCCAAAAAGAGCTATTCAGGTATTTTTATTTTCTAGTTCAGGTCTCGAGTCTGCTTCTTAGTGGCTACGTGAATAAAAGAATGCTCGAGGAAAAGCTATTATTTGAACGTCATTCAAATGCTTCTTGCTTGCTCATCTGACTTTATCCTCTGAAATTTTCAGTTCGGTTCCAGGATAGCGAGGGAGTCTAACCGGATAAATTTTGGAAGCAATCGTGCTGCCAATCAAGCATCTGCTGGAAGTGTAGAGATATACAAGGCCAGGAGCTGAAAATTTAATGGTAGAATGGTGCAAGTAGCTAAGGAGACGAGTCTTTGCGCGAGTTGCTGAAGAACAATGAATCAAGGGATGGAAGGGATCTTTTTTATGGGGATGTTTTCCGTCAAAAACTAGTCTTATAACCACCTCAAAAGCGTCTGTGGCAACTTGATTAGTTATTTTAATTTTTGATTGTGCCTCTTGCTTTGAATCTGAATGTGTAAAACTAAACCTAAAACCGCACTAAAAAAAACCTCAATAGGAATGAAATTGGTAAATAACGAATTTCAAATTTGCTTTAGATGTGCAATGATTACTTTGGAGAAAACAATGACATTTGGGCGAATGACAAGAAACAAACTCCTTGAAACCCTTGATCTGATTCACCCTCTAGTCTGAAAGATTAATATTTTCCATCAAAACTGGTGTTTTCAAAGCCTTCGAACAGAAACGCACTTGCAAAGTACTGAAAACATACGAATGAGAAGGCGATTCGAGAACTTAGTATTGATGACCAATAAATCAATGCAAGACCCGATTTCCACAATCTGGCATAGATTGAGCCACGATCGACCATAAGACACACAAACCTCTTCAAACTCTGAACAGCATTAGCTGTGATTCAAGGCGGCATAAGTTTTCTTAATTGAACAATAAGTCCATTTGTCAGCACGAGGAAGAGGCTAGGGTGAAGGAAGAGATTGCCACTCCTAAATACCAATGAACTGCAAATGAGAGAAAATGGCAAATTCTCAGCGCACTGTCCTCCACCTTACAGAACATCATTTAAACTTAAGCAGTTTCCTCTCACACACTGTCTAAAATTTGAACAATGTTTACTCAACCATAACTACAGTCATATGATCTATAACACTGGACTCACAGCTCTTCAGTGGGTGGGAATTGGTATTAAAAACAGTGTGTTACAATAAATTTAGTCCTTTTTTATATGTATATAAATAATCTATTTACAGGAACTTGAAGCCCAATGGCCCGAGTTACAAATAAGAACAAAAATGCAGAACAATGACTACAATCTTTCATGATCATAAAGAATAACAACATACTACAAATTTATGCTCTAATAATAAAGAATAGGAACTTATAATTTCAATTTCATGTCCTAATAATAATGAATGAGAACAACATACACTATGAAAGTTCCCAGACTGGACAAACTATGAAGATTCTCCACCTCTCTGATATGCAAAATTCTAGCCCTCATCATAGAGTAGATACTCTTTATTTCTTCTTTATGGCCATTGTCCAAATGAGGTCGGCGTCAGAATGTACAGTCACTACATTTTCTCGTACAATATTAGACGTACTAACTAAGCCACCAAATTTCATCTCTGTATTGCCTGAGGAGAACAAACAAAAAAGTGGGTCAACACTAATTGTTGATTATGACTACCAATCAAATAGCCTTTAGCAACAAAAGTACCTATTAGTTGTGTTACAAAAAGATCACCACCAATGTATAAATTCTATGGATATATAAGCGTAATATCGAAGTAACCATAAGAACATCAACACATCATAAAAAATGGGGACTCCTTGAGCAAAGAGAGATGATATGAGTTCAAACAACCGAGCTACTACTCAAGCCAGAAACAAGCATCATCACAATGATTATTGACTATGCTTTTATGTTTAAGAATAAGGAATTCCATATTGAAGAAAACTTACTCAGATTCCACTGGAGGCCAGTTGTTGTGGTGTTTCTTGAAGGCATACCAACAGGAGCTAGCCCACAATGTTGGCCCTTAAAATGGGAGTCGATGTGGATCTCATGCCGATGTGTACAGGGAAGAAGTTGAATAAGGCAGTCGTCATTCAAAAGAATAAGCCGCACGGTTGAAAAATTATATAATACGTTGATATTTCCGAGCTCATGGTCAAATCTTCCACCAAGCGCCCCAACCACGAGAATGCAGAGCTGGAACGAATATCATATCAATCGAAAGAATTAAGCACGGAGTAAGCTTTGCTAGATATGTGGAAAAAAAACGTTCGTCTTGATTTCCCAAGGGGTGAAAGAAGAGACTGAATGAAAAGGAACCATAGTAAAGAAAGTCACTAAACTCATGCTGGAAGAGGAGGGAGGGGGGACTGCAGCAGAAGTAACAACAGTCCCGTACAATATTTCAAAAAGTAAAAGAGCTCTCAATAACTAAAGCTTACATTAGAGTTCTGCAGATCAGGTATATTGTTGTGGATGTACAACACACATTTGTGCAGATCTGTAGTGTCCTGATCGTGGGAAGCATCTACTATTGTGGTCCCCTGCACTTATTTGGATAAAAAACCATGAGAATCATATTTTTGAAGGAATTTTCTGCTGAGAAGCTACAACAAAAATGGTGACACAAAGTTTTAATAATACTGTTTCCTTCAAGAAAGCAGGACATCGATATAACATCATCTATTTAACCTCAGTCAACAAAATTCATCCTTGATACTATAGAGTAAAGCAACAGTTTCAAACTAAGAGCAACTCATCCAGACGGCTAGCTACAGGTCTTTATGGGGAGCAATTATACCCTATCGAAACTGCAGCCAAATTTAGAAAGAATAGACATCTCTGAAGATGCTGACTAAGAGATATTTCAGTAGTACTATCTCCAGTGTATTTTAGTTTCTTCCACAACTTACAATGGGATTCATGTTGAATGTAGTCAAAAGTATGCCCTTTTATCCCCAAAAAAAACCTTCATACAGACACAGAAATACTTAAACTACAAAATAGTAAAGCCAGAACTACAGGATATGAAAAGAATTGTAGATAATACTACATACTGTATATACGGTGTAAATAAGTCATAAGCTTTAGTAACAATGACAGATAGAGCTTACTAAATCTTTATAAAAGTGTACAACATCATCCCTGACTGAATCCATATCTCCCTTTATTGCATCCGGTTTGTACCTATAGAAAAGTACCCAAAAATACATAAATATGCAATCTCGATTGACTAGTATCTTTCAGAGATCAGCACCAGAAAGTAGATATTGCAATATCCAAAGAAAAGGAAACTCTGCACTCCACAATTTTTTTTTTTATGAATAATTATATCCCTACAACAGGGGCCATTTTTAATAAGTTCCATCAACTAAACTAAATGGGAAAAAAAAAGCATCACGGAACAGAGCCCACTGAATCAAATATCCGGGAAAAAAAAAAAAAACCAGAGAGAGAGAGAGAAAGCGCACTTGCGACGGACAGCATGGAGGTCGTCGTTCGGGAACAACTGCGGCATATCATCGTACAACCGGTTAGCACCACCGTCGGCGCAGACGCGAATTCGAGCTGCACCGTGCAAACCAATTACAACAAAAATTACACAGACGTACTCATTTAATTTAATTTTTTTCAAGAAAAACAGAAAAACATCAGAAAAATTTTAAAATTTACCGTGTTCCCAAATAAGAGGAGTTACCCGTGGAAGGCTTTGGTTAAGGATTACTAAGGCATAGTTGGAAGAACCAGCCGGAGTTGCAGCACCGTTTGACTCGACGGCGGCGGTGGGAAGAGTAGTAGGGAGGAGGAAGTCAAACGAATGGGTCATCAAATCCATGGAGGAGGTGGGAATGGATTGATGGTAGAGATGGATGATGGGATGGGTCGACGATGAATCACACCGCTTCTTCTGACCAGCTCTTTGTCCACTGTGTGTGTGCGTGTAGAATTTTTTTGAAAATTTTTAATTAGTGGGGAAAATTTATAGTTATGGGCTTACTATGGCTTTTTGTGTCTTTTAAAAGCTTCCTTGAACTTTCTGTCAAAGACACGTTGACAAATGATTCCAGCTTACTCCAAAAGAGTACTGTACATATACGCATGATTTTTTTGTACAGCCATTCCGATTTGGATTTCGATTTGATATGAAATTGGATTGCAAATGAAGTGATCAATAATATAAATTAAAGAATTTATTACATAATATTGAAGAAGGAATGGACTGTCGAAATTAAGCACGTCTTTAGGGAGTCGAATTTCGCAGCTAATTCACTTACATGTTTGACGGCGACTAGTTTGGAAGGTTTTTTATGGCTCACCGAACCACCTACGGGATTAAAACTATGATTGGATCATATAATATTATTGGCGTTTTGTATCAACGGATTGTAATCGTGTAGATTTTTTTATACATTTATCTTCTTCATTGTAAAAAAAAAAAAAGAAGAATTTATTACATATAAGCTTAGAAAAGATTAAGCCTATAAATATGAACTTGTACAAGTAGAAAACCTTAGTCCATCTATAAGTAGAAATCTTAGTACAAACAAGCTTAAGTCGATTTTTATAAGTAGTAGTAAGTTGACTTTGATATGAAGGGATAATTGTTATTGTTAAAATTGTTGCTAACATTATATTCCCTCCGTCCCATGATTATTGTCCAGTTTGAGTTTTTATTTTTAATTTAAATTGTATTAAAAGTGAAATCTCGAATTGGACAATAATTTTGGAACAAAAGGAGTATTACGAGTAACCACCATAATCCACATTTTATTTTGGCTGAATTCATCCGCCAGTAGCAATTGTGGAAAGCAAAGAACAAAATCCTTTTCCGGCAAAATCACCATACTATTTTCTAAACAGGTTCTCTAATAAGGAAAAAAAAAAAAAAGAGGCTGTGCGTAAGTGCGTTTGATTTAAGCTTAACAATAATAAATAGTGAAAGTTTCTCTAGGTAATTTTTGTAATTTATTCTCATCAATAAATAAAAAAAATACTGTAATACTCCTAGTGAAAAGTATGTTAAATTTTAACCCCAGAAGATTTCAAATTTCACACAGTAAATACAAAAACAGAAAACACTGTGGTAAAATGCCAGCGAATTGATCGGGTAAAGTGACATTAAACTTTACAAGCTCGGCGAGCAGAGCATCCATGGCCCCTCCACTCCCTTAAGAATCAGATCCTTTTGACATTTTGAACATATTATCAGCTTCTTCTTCGACCCCACTTTGGGGGCCACTTTCTCCATTGCCCAGCTCATGTGATTTTACTCGAACAACAACGAAGGAATAATAAATGGACTTTTCCCCTACTTCCCGACGTACGAGAAAGCCCCCTCCACCACCTCAACAATCCGACCTTTACTCTACTGTAGTCATCCACCATCATAAAAACGACGAAAACCCAGATGAACGATTAGACCCATCTTCTGCTGCAGACATTTACGCCACTATGGTCCGCAAGGATGATGATGAAACCGACGACGATTCGCTCCCTCCTCTGCTTAAACGCCTTCCCAAAGATTTCGGTTTGGACCCAACTATGAATTCCGAAGATGACGACGCCGGCGGCCTGTTTGATGCTGCTTCTTCGATTTCTGGTACCATGATTGTTAAGAAATCTTTCAATTCTAGGGGACCCTCTTTTCTGGATCGGACTGGGAAGAGGAATTTTGATAATGCGGCGTCGTATAGGCGGAGATACGGGGATGAGGAGGATGATGATGACGAGGATGGTGATGGGGTGGCGGATTTTGGGACTTTTGTAGTGAGGAAAGGGGTGGAGGAGGATGAGGATGAGGAGGAAGAAGAAGAAGATGAGTTGGGATCAGGGACTATAGTGCGGAAGACGGCGAGGAGGGCTGGGAAGAAGAGCGTCGGAGGTGGGACGATGAGTCGGGTAGTGGCAAGTATGCAGGCGGTGGGGGAGATTGGCGGGAAGCAGAGGAAAGTTGGTGGTAATGCTGGTGGCACGGCGGAAGACGGCATTGGTAATGGGCGGTTAAGGGGCTATGGAAGTGGGAAAGTGTCTACAAGTTCGATTCCGGATAGTGTCACCAAGGAAGACCCGTCAACTAAGTATGAATTGCTACATGAGCTTGGTAAAGCTTTTTTCTCAATACTTTGAGCTTCATCAGTGTATTGGGTTTAGAATCTTACAGACTGCTGCCTGAGTTGTGAAGCTTTAGTGTTTTGCTCTTTCAAAGTTTGGTCTTTATGCTATTTCCTCTAAATGTTGGAAGGGGTTATTTACATAGATTTTCAAGTTGTTGCTTTCAAAGTTTGATCATGCTAATAAATTGTTGCTTTCATTTTGTAACCTTATTTGTATGGAAATATTAGTTTCTTTTAAGCTATATTTTTTGTTAGGTAGGAGTTGTTGAATTTTATGGACTCTCTGGTCTGGCAGTTGAGAAAGTGTTTGTATTGTTGAAAATGCAGGGAAGGGATCATATGGGGCTGTATATAAAGCTCGTGATAAAAGAACTTCAGAGTTGGTAGCCATTAAAGTGATCTCATTGAGTGAAGGGGTATGCTTTTATGTGGTTATTGCCTAGTCTTTTGAGGCACGATTTTCCAATATGCTGTTGCAATTAATCCTTGCAGTCTTATACATATTTATTAGGAGGAGGGGTATGAAGAAATTCGTGGGGAAATTGAGATGTTACAACAATGTAATCATCCAAATGTTGTCCGTTACCTTGGGAGCTATCAAGGCGAAGAGTATCTATGGGTATGATTCTATTGCTTAAAAGCTCTTGCCAAACGTATTCGCAGTTCTTTCCTTTCAACTGCAAGTAGTAGGAAAATGTTTTGCTTTTCTTTATACTTTACTAGTTTGTTTTGCCTGGGATGAAATGATTGGGATCAATTCTATATGCTCTAAATCTAATGCGAGTCGACTTGTTCACAGATAGTAATGGAGTATTGTGGAGGTGGCAGTGTTGCAGACTTGATGAATGTTACTGATGAATCATTGGAAGAGTATCAAATTGCGTTTATATGTAGAGAAGCTTTAAAGGTAATTCTGAACTTTTGTCCCAGCATGAAAATGGCCATGCTGTGATTGTTGTTGCTGAAGATATGGTTCTCTTGGTAGCTGAAACTGAAACCTCTCTCTTTTCTCTCTCTTTCGTTATTGGTTCTTGTTTATCCCCTTCCTCTGTTCCTTGCATGGGATTCCTTATATGTTTTGAACATGCTGATTGTTTGTCTTTTTGTTTTCTCCTTAATCCTTTTACTCTCTATCTACAATTGAGTATGCCATTTTGTTACGATTTTATTAAAGATTTTCCCTTTTTCTTTCACAGGGTCTGTCTTATTTGCACTCGATCTTCAAGGTACATAGAGATATTAAAGGTGGTAATATCTTATTGACCGACCAAGGAGAGGTCAAGTTGGGTGAGTAATCATTTTGCAGGGCGCTGGTGCCCTTAATGTCATTAACTACAAATAGTTTTCTCTGGGATCTTGTTTTGTGTAGTACTTATCCATGTCTGCTTTATATGAGTTGATGTGATTAACGAGTGATCAGATTAACTTTCTAGATCTTTTTCCCTTTGGTATACTCTATGGATTAGATGTTTCTTGATTGTTTGCGTGGAATTGCCATCACTATTATGCTTATTATAAAGCTATGTTAACTAGTACCTCCTCCACAATTTTCCCCTGATATGAGCAGGTGATTTTGGGGTTGCTGCACAACTTACAAGAACCATGTCCAAACGCAATACGGTAAGGGCTTCATGACTTGTATAACATACTGTGGGAAGTTCTTAAACTTTCACCTTTGTAACTGCTTAGAAGTTGTTTTTTATTTAGATTTATCAGTTGTTAATAGGAAAGTTTTCCTTTGAAAATCATTTAATTTCAGTTTATTGGCACACCCCATTGGATGGCACCTGAAGTTATTCAAGAAAGCCGTTATGATGGGAAGGTAATTTATTTTTCTCCTTCCTGTGTGCTTTTCTTGGCCGTTTTTCATTATTCCACTTTCCTTTACTATACTCTATCGGCAAGTAGTTATCTCATGTGTTTCCTGAATATTCTCATTTCAAGGTTGACGTATGGGCTCTTGGAGTTTCTGCAATTGAAATGGCAGAGGTATATCTTTCGATTTTAGCTAGTGGTTTTTTTTCAGTAGAAGTTTCTCTTTTCTTGTGATTGACGTCCACTGTGCTCCAGTTTTGTTCCTTTTTCTGTAAAACAAGTTTAATAACTGGGCCTTAAACAATTCTATGTAATTCTAGAGGAGTGTGATACCACATAATTGCTGACAATGTGCAACTCTTCTGTTTTCTTCTCAGGGTTATCCACCGAGAGCTACGGTTCATCCAATGAGGGTTAGTCGATGAGTTTGAATTATTTAATGTTTCTGTTGAAGTGATTTGAATGGATGATCCCATATACCTGGGAAGACACTGGGTATATTAAGACTTAGTTTGCATTACAAGGCGAGGTGGGAAATTTGGATTCAAATGGATTTGAATTTGGTTTCATGTTTCTTGTCTGTTATAAACTTTGTTATTTTCACACATAAAAATGGGTGGGAGAAATATTGCCGACTGGGTATGAATTATTTTACCATTGAACTTATGCAAAAACTTTAATGGGATTTCTCTGAAAGAACCAAAACAGAAAATTTGAGAAATCTGACTAACGTGGTGACTTTCATGAATGAATGCTACACATCAATATCTAATCTTACTGTCGTTGGACTTTGTTAAGTGGGTTTACTTATCACCAGAACCAAATACTAAAAGAGTTGAGTTGATTAGGTCCAGTTTTTTTGGAGTTGTAGTTGCCTGATGTGATATTGTACTTTTCCAAATAGGAAGCTACTAATATTGTAACTTCTTGCTTTTAACTAATATTGAGATTTCTATCTGCACTCGAATCGCCGTATAAGTCTTGAGATCTGTTATTCGACTCAACTCAAATTTAGTGGACTTGGAAGATGCCTTTCCTGTTTCTTTTGCATGCAATGCTCGTCTCTTGTTTGTTTCTTGGCCGGAGCACTGTTAAGTTTAGAATTGCTGTGCGCTAAAACCAATAACTGAACCTTTAACCCATTATGTGGGTTTCTGGGCTGTGTGGATCCTATCCCACCATCATATTCTATGAAAATAGATAATTTTTATTGAATTTTGGATATTTGTCTTTTTAAAAGTTTTCTTCTAAGTCTTTCTTGGTCTTCCCATCCCCGCACGTGGAATTTTTGAGAGCTGCTCTGCATGCATGTTTATACTACCATGATCAATTTTTTTTTTCTGCTTTCGTGTTCTGTTTCATCACTTATTCTATCTAGTCTGGTATTTGAGACTTTTGCATACCTTATTTATATTCTAAAGCTCAGGAATCTCTGTTGTGATTTCTGGAGCCTCATGGTTTTGTTTTTCTTTTCTTTTTTTTTGTGGCAGGTACTTTTTATGATATCTATAGAGCCAGCTCCAATGCTCGAGGACAAAGAAAAATGGTAAAATAGCTTTAATTTTTGGCAATGTCACTCATCATGATATTGACTTGATGAAAACCTGGTTTAAATGTTGTGAATGTGGTTGAAATCTTCTTGGTCTAGGTCATTTCATCGATGCATTCAAACATTTGCAGTGGATAATGTTGAATCAGGAACCTATTTTAAAGATTTTGCTTGTTTCCTCCTTTCCCGAAAAATTACTCTGTATTTGACGTTTGGTACTACTTTTTCATCAGTTTTGGATAGAATTTGTCCTCAATATGGAGTGTTATTGATGTAATTACAGTTGAATAATTGAAATTTTTATATCTATATATGTTGTTCCTTCAGGTCTCTGGTTTTCCATGACTTCATAGCTAAGTGTCTTACCAAGGACCCACGGCTTCGTCCAACCGCTGCTGAGATGCTAAAGGTATTAACGGTTATTTATTCCATGTCTGTTTGGGCTTCTGTCATGCGTGGCATTTCACATGATTGTGCCAAATAATTAGTGTGTATATCAACTAGTGGAAGGATTGGTGTACAATAGTTGAGCAAAAACACACATGAAAATTAAGTTGCTGAGTAACTATCCTTAAAACTGTTCACAGTTCATTCAGTTTTTACTTGTCAAATTTGACCGTGTAATGCTTCGGAGATTCTGTATACTTCACTTTCACTGGTTAGCTTACCTTCATCTAAACCAAGAATGGTGGAGAAAATATCAGTTATTCATCAGTTAGCGTGCGTCTCTTCTTTCTTTCTTTTTTTTTTTTGGGGGGTGGCGGCAGTGATTGGGTTTTATTGTGATTGTGTAAATATATATAAGTGCTGATTTTTACTTTGTGTATTCCTATTGCATTTTAAAAGCACAAATTCATTGAAAGATGCAAAAGTGGAGCTTCCACCATGCTGCCCAAGATTGAGAAGGCAAAGCAAATCAGGGAGACTATGGCTTTGCAAGCGCAGAATGTTACTTCAGATCCAGCTTTACAGGGAGATAGTGTATGTTTTTGGATCCTTTTATAAAGTTAATCTGTTTTCTTCTCTTTCCAAGGTTTAAGGCTCCGTATAATTTCCTTTTGTAGCCTTTGTTGAATGATGATTACGGAGATACTGTCCCATCAAAAGTTCAGAATGTTGCTCTTGATTTAGCAAGCAAGGTGCCCTCAGGGAGTACTTTGGGAAAATCTGATGGAGTGGAACCGAATGTTGAAGGTAATCATGTCCAATCATAAAATTATGTTACTCGCACCTCTCTGTTAGTCTGTTACATTATATGTAGTTGGATAGCTTCCGCCTCATATGCTACAGATAGTGATCAGTGACTCTTGAGTGGGTTTGAAACATATTGAAAGAAAACCTTTTCTTTTTTAATTTACGAATTCTTCATCGGTTGGCACCAATACTGGATGCCAATTTAGAGTTTGTCTTTACCCAGTCTATGTTTTATCTTTGTGGTTTTCACTGCATAGGGATGCCTACTGGACAATTTGAGTGGCTAATTTTTCAGGGTTCTTTGTCCAGGTGATTTTGGCACCTTCATAGTCCGGAAGGGAGATGAAGTAGACATGAAAGTTAATGCAGCAGAAAGGTTACCTGGTCTACAACATGGTGGAAGCCCGTCTATTAGTGGCATTCGAGATCAAGCTACAGATTCTGGGTAAGTTCAAAATCTTCACATTGTAATTTGGACTATAGGCCTGCCCTACAAACAGAACAAAAATTTTGAGTCACCTCCTTTTACTTCCTCTTTATTATATTCCGTGCGTTTATGCGAACAAATCTTGTAAATGCGGTCAATTACCTTTTTTAATTATTGTCATTGAGCCATAGCCGTGACGTCACTCAATAGTCATGTCTTTCATTGAGGAAGGAAACTAGAGCAAGTTAGTTTTTCTCTGTTCTGTTTGTTACAGTTACACGTAAAGCAGTATTTCCCTGCAATCTGTAGGATAGTTATATTGGATTTAACACAAATTTGTATGTGTTGGATAGGATTGGGACCCTAAATATGGATGGTTTACCCGTTGGAGGATCCATGCCTTCTGGACAATCCTTAAAAGCATCGTCGTCAATCTTTAGCTCTCCTGAGCAGAAACTTGATTCAAATAAAAGTGCTGATGCAACTGCAGTCGCTGGTGGCATGGAGAGCAGTTTATTTACTAGTGAAACTGTGAGCAGGAAGGCACTGGATAAGTTGTGGTCAATATATTCGGCCGGGAACACTGTACCCATTCCATTCCTTAGAGCAACAGACATATCTCCTATAGCTCTTTTATCTGACAATATGCTTGGAGGTTCACAGTTGGAAGATAGTGGATGTATTGCGGTGGAGGCCATTCAAGAACTTTTCACCAGTGATGCTCAGTTGAAAAAGGGCCGAAATAGACAAAATGAGGTGCTCTAATTCTTCTTCTTTTGTAACCCTTTCTCTGCTTTCCCACCCTCCTTTTGGGTTCATAATAGTGCTTCTCTTACGTTGCAGGTACCTTTACCTCCTAGCGTATTCCAGAGACTTACTTCCAGTCCTACTCTAATGAATCTTGCCCAGGCCCTAGCTTACCACAAAATGTATGATTTTTGTTTTTTTTGCTCAAATAAGTTTGTTATTTTCCTCTCGGGCTTGAAGCTACAGTGTTAAAAATGAATTGGTTGGAAGATCATAACCTCTTCTAAACTGGAAAAGGAGGAAAGCAATAAGATGACAGACTAATAAGTTATTTGTTGCGAATTCCTTCTGTTTGATTGCCTGGATTTCTAGCCTTAACCCCTTCCAAATTTGGATGCTTGCAGGTGCTATGAAGACATGCCGCTTCAAGAAATGCAAGCAGCACAAGAGCAGCAAACTGTCCAGAATCTTTCTGATACACTTAGAACCATCTTAAGATTGTAGTCTCAAGGTTTTTCGGAAGGACTTCCAAGTGTAGCAAATTTTGTTTCCTTCTACAAAACCCTGTGTATATACAGTTATTAGTAGTTACAAGGTTAGACAAACAATTCTGTATGTGATCATCGTTTAGTTTTCGCTTTCCATTTCGAATTCGCTTAACCTGTAAAAATGCAATGCGTTAAATTGTCTATGAATCTTTCCCATAGAGTAATCTTTTACCTAATTCCTTTTTCTTTGAGGGCCAAAAAACTGACTAGTAACAATCAACAACTGAAACCTATATGTACAAAAACAAAACAAAAAAACACAAAACTGTTCGAAAACTAATGTCTTATACAATGTTCCAAGCAACGGTTCTAGTAAATTATTTATTTAGGAGATGATATATTTAATTTATATAACTTCTCTACTAGAAACTTTAATATAATAACTTTATAATAATCGAAATGTTATGAAATAATTATAATGCTTAAAGGGAGAGAGAGAAGGTGATTAAAAGTAAAAATAGGGTAAGAAGCAAAGTAGGAGGAAATTTACTCGTGTATATTTTGGTGCAATTTTACCACTACATAAGCCTCCCATTTATAGTCATCACCCAATGGCAATTTTGTAAATATATAATAAGTAGGTTTACATCAAAATCAAAGCACTATACTTAATAGTATTCCTTGCTTAATGCATGCTCACATTTAATATATATTTTGTCATTCATTTTACAACACTCCCCCTTGGATGGCAAAATTTTTATTGATTACGCTTAAATACTGCTCGTTAAAAACCTTGCCAAAGAAAAACCCAGTGGAAAAAAAAACTTTGGCTAAGGAAAAAAGAGTACAGTACGTAATTTTCTCCCCCCTGGTAATAATATCGATAATTGTTCACATGTTGTGTAGGCGTCGCATACCGATGTTATGAACATGCTTTCTAAAGGTTGTAGTAGGAAGCGCCTTCGTGAAGAGATCAGCTGAATTATTATTTGACATGATATATTGAACATCTATGTCATTTTTCTTGATGAGCTCTTGAGTATATGTGAAGAATTTCGGAGGTATATGTTTCGTTCGGTCATTCTTGACATATCCTTCTTTTAACTGTTGAAGACATGCAGAATTATCCTCATATAAGATAGTTGGACCTTTCTCGACTAGTAGACCACGTGACGTTTTGATGTGCTGTATCATCGACCTAAGCCAAACACATTCTCTACTAGTTTCGTGCAATGCAATTATTTCTGCGTGATTTGAAGAAGTAGAAACTAATGTTTGCTTCTGTGAACGCCAAGAAATTACAGTTCCTCCATATGTAAATACATGTCCAGTCTGAGATTTTCCATTGTGAGGATCAGATAAATAACCTACATCTGCATAACCAACCAAATCTTGTTTCGAGTCATTAGGATAAAATAAGCCTAAATCAATACTTCCCCGAAGATAACGAAATATGTGCTTGATCCCGTTCCAATGCCTTCTTGTTGGTGATGAGCTGTGTCTTGCTAATAAATTAACTGCAAAAGAAATATCAGGTCTAGTACAGTTAGCAAGATACATAAGAGCTCCAATTGCACTGAGGTATGGTACTTCGGCACCAAGAATCTCTTCATCCTTATCAGGGGGGCGAAATGGATCCTTTTCAGTTTTGAGTGTTATGACGATCATAGAGGTACTTAAAGGGTTTTCTTTATTCATATTAAAATGTTTTAGGATCTTTTCTGTGTAATTTGACTGATGTACAAATATTCCATTGTGCATATGCTCAATTTGTAAACCAAGACAATACTTAGTTTTACCAAGGTCTTTCATCTCAAATTCCCCCTTTAAGTATGCAACCACCTCATTAATTTCCTGTAATGTTCCAATGATATTTAAATCATCCACATAGACAACTATAATGGCAAATCCGGATGTTGTTTTCTTGATAAAAACGCATGTGCATAGGACATTATTTGTATATCCCTTGTTTATCAAATAATCGCTTAATCGATTATACCACATGCGTCCAGACTGCTTTAACCCATACAATGATCGTTGGAGTTTGATAGAATACATCTTTTTGGGTTTCACACTTAAAGTTTTTGGCATTTGAAATCCCTCGGGGATTTTCATATAAATATCACTATCAAGTGATCCATACAAATAAGCAGTAACAACATCCATAAGACGCATTTCTAATTTTTTAGAAACTGTAAGGCTGATTAAAAACCTGAAAGTAATTACATCCATAACGGGAGAATATGTCTCGTCATAATCTATTCCAGGTCTTTGAGAAAAACCTTGTGCTACCAATCTAGCCTTGTACCTTATAATCTCGTTTTTCTCATTCCGTTTTCGTATAAAAACCCACTTATATCCTACCGGCTTTACAACCGTTGGAGTAAGAACAATTGGCCCGAAAACATTTCGCTTGTTAAGCGAATCTAATTTAGCTTGCATAGCGTCTTTCCATTTTATCCAATCTTGTCTATTTTGACACTCAATAACTGATTTTGGTTCAGGATCATCATTTCCATTTATAATTTCATTTGCAACTGTGAAACAAAAAATCTCATTGTCACACTCAACTTCATCTCTATTTAACAGTATATTTGTACTGTTATAGTTGATTGAGATTTCTTCATTTATCCTTTTTGTGTTCTCTTCTTGGGAACTTTCTTCATTTTTCATTATCCCAAGAGATATTTTCTCAGGATCAACGTCATTCACAGTTCCCTTCCTTTTTCGAGGATTTTTATCCTTTGATCCCATTGGTCTACCACGCTTCAATCGTGGTTTAGACTCGCTAGTGACTTTATCATCGATTTTTTCTTTCGAAATCTCAATACGAGCGGGAGCATTAGCTGCTGGTATATATGATTTAGTTACTCTTTTTGTGTCAGTAAATGAATCGGGCAATTAATTTGCAATTGATTGCAAATGTACAATCTTTTGAACTTCTGTCTCGCATTGTTTTGTGCGAGGATCAAGATGCAAAAGAGTTGGTTGATTCCATGTAATATCCCTTGCCAATTCTTTCTTTTCTCCCCATAATATTGGGAAAATAATTTCATTAAAATGGCAATCGGCAAAACGTGCAATAAAAACGTCGCATGTTAAGGGCTCAAGATATCTGATGATACTAGCTGATTCAAAACCAACATATAACAAGCCGTCGTCACAACTAGTCAAATAAATTTACCTACTTAACACTAGTATAGCGAAAAATAGGATCGTACCCACAGAGAAAGAATACTAATTACCATGTATAAATTACTCCTATTATTATCTAGATAAATAATGATCTCAAATTTATAAAATTTAAAACTAAAATAAATAAATAAAATAAAAGCAAATAATATTAATTCAAATAATCCGACAAAGAAAACCTAGGACATTGGGTTCACCTACCGAATATTTGGTTTGATTCAATTCATAAATATCTGACTTTTAACATCCATAAATCTCACAACGATTCACCTAATTAAGAACTATTCTCCGTTGTGATATAATTCTCTTACTCTAATTAATCCTATGACTACTGTCGTGACTATAGGAAATAACTAGAGCACATTAAGTACTTAAGAATCCAACGTTGCAAAGGTTGTGTTCCTACTGTTGTTCACTACCTAAGTCCAATATTCCCATTAACTAATATTAATTTTCAACTGTCGTTCCATCAATTAATATCTTTAAACATGCAAGTAGTGGCCAGTTACAAACATGGAATAAAAGTAAGAATATTAAATATTGATCAATGAAAAAATCAAATAATAATGAACTAAATAAACCAAATAAATCCGGTGGCTACATCCAAGCCCTAAGTTATAGAACTTTAGCCTCTAAACATTATTAAAATTGATGATGCAATAATAAAATATTCATAATTTAAAATTCTGAAAATAAAATTAAAACTAGAATAATGGAACTGGTTGGGAGACAAAGCCACAAAAACCGTCCGGCCGCAAAGCTTGTCCAGCCGGGAAGGTAACAATCCCAAAGCTCTCACTCCGAAGTCGATCACCACCGCTGCTACTTGCTCCTAGTTTGCACGGGCAGCAGCCCCTAACAATGATGATGATGATGCGAGAGGAGAGGACGGGGCTGCCGTCGGGTGGCTTTTGTGTAGTTCGGTAATGATGGGAGTGAATCAAGGAAAGGTGATGGAGTAAAGATGATGATTAAGGTGAGATGATGATGGTGTGGTTGCTGCGTGAAGGTGGAAGGGTCTTTTGTCTCAGGTTCAAAGGGGGTTGGTGGTAGGAAGCAGCGCGAAGGTGATAGTGATGATGATGATGCTTCGGTGAAGGTGATGAGTGGATGATGAGTTGGGAAGCAGGGTGGTAGGCTGCTGCTGCGTGGATGATCAAGGTGGAGGTTCGGCGGAGGTGAATTGCAGCGGCAAGAAGGTGGAGGTCGGTGGGAAGACGTAGGATTTTTTTCGGTCCAGTTCGGTTGTAAAAATAAATCCCTAATTCTCCTTTTATAGGCTTCCGTCAAAACCTACTTCTTGGAGAGGAAGAAAACTTGTTTTCCAAATAATATTGGGATTAAAATTCTTACTCAATTCTAATTCCAAATCAACCGCACCATTATCGTTGTTCGGCCAATTTTCCATAAACAAAAAAAATCTAAAATTGCTTGTTTAATCCTCTAATTTTTCAAGTACTTCAATTTCTTTCTTGTCAATTTATCAAATCTTTAATTGTCCATTTGAGTTGCTTTTATCTTCATTTTAGCCCACAATTTCAACAATTCCTCCTTTTGAGTACAATTCCTGTAATTAAAGATAAAATAACATAAATGACACATTTGTACTCAAAATATATTGCAAAAATGACAAATTAAAGATATAATAAATAGGTAAAATATAAGCATATCAACGTATATCCCCAATCTCCTTTGAGGACCCATTTTTGTACGTTGTGGAGGTGAAATGGGTACATATACTGCACAACCAAAAACTCTGAGGTGCGAAATATTTGGTTCATATCCCAAAGCCAATTGCAGGGGAGAGTATTTATGATCTGCACTTGGTCTTATGCGAATTAAAGAAGCAGCATGTAATATCGCATGGCCCCAAACAGAAACTGGCAGTTTTGTTCTCATGATTAATAGTCTAGCAATGAGCTGTAGTCGTTTAATTAATGATTATGCTAAACCATTTTGTGTATGTACGTGAGCAACAGGGTGCTCAACAGTAATTCCAGTAGACATACAATAATCATTAAATGCTTGAGACGTAAATTCACCAGCGTTGTCAAGTCTAACCCTTTTGATCGCATAATCAGGAAATTGAGCTCGTAATTTTATAATTTGCGCAAGAAATTTTGCAAATGCAACATTCCGGGTTGACAGTAAACACACATGTGACCACCTACAAGATGCATCTATTAATACCATAAAATATCTGAATGGTTCACATGGTGGATGTATCGGTCCACATATATCACCTTGGATTCTTTCAAGAAACGTAGGTGATTCATTTTGAATCTTTAACGGTGATGGTCTCATTATCAATTTTACAAGAGAACAAGCTTCACATGGAATTCCATTACTCTAGGGGATCCTTTGTCCCTTTAAGGGATGACCATGTATATTGTCAATAATTTTTCGCATCATTAAAGATCCCGGATGGCCTAATCTTTCATGCCACAAATTCATTACAGAATGATCGAAAAATTTTACTTTCATTGCCATATGTGATTCAATCACATTTATATATATATATATATATATATATATAATGCAAACCATTAGAAAGTGGCAATCTCTCCAATACTCTTGCTTTTCTCGATTCATAAATAATGATATTCAAATATTTCATATTGTTAACAGTCATTGATTGGGTGTCATACCCATTTCGATATATATCATCAAAAATCAACAAATTTCTTGTTGAATTTGGTGAAAACAGGGCTTCATTAATCACAATTTGTATTCCTTTTGGCAATGTGACATTGGCTTTACCAATCCCTTCAATCAAATCTGTTGGACCTGATATTGTATACACAATCGCCTTTGTTGGCTTTAACTCTGAAAAATATTTTCTGTTTTTCAGAATAGTATGTGTAGTGCCATTGTCTGCAATACAAAAATCTCCAACATGCCCTTATTGTCGAATTTCCATGTCAAAACTTCAAACAAAAAAACAATCAAATAGTTATTATCAAGTAGAGAAAATTAAAATTAAAAGTCACAAATCAAAACATAAATATTTTCACAATTATCAAGTTCATAGTCTCAAAAAAAAACATAATGCCATACATTGATTCATAACATTATAAGACCATACAATGATCATTATTATTACAACATCAAGACTACTCATTCAGACATACACTCATACATTGATACCATACACTTAGACACAAGATACACCAATCCATTATTATTACAACATTAAGACCCATACATAATTTTCACTTCATACTGGTGGGGCAACTATTTGCCCTTAATTATCAGCAAAAGTCTTCACTGAAATCCAATGCACTCAAGTTTGTAGCATTATCCACTTGTTCAATAAGATTTGCTTCCTTCTCTTTTCCCTTTGATTCCTTGTAGAGTTGGCAAAGATGTGGTGGTATCCGGCAAACACGTGCCCAATGTCCTGTGCTACCACATCGGAAACATTTGGTCTCGGCCTTCTTCTGCTTATCAGGAATATTTCCTTTATTCACTTTCTTTTTCTGGAACTGGGCCTGTGTTTTTTGTGGGACATAACCTTTTGCATGATTACGGCCAAAATTATAGTTTTTTCCATTTCCACGGCCACGACCACAACCACGGCCACGATTTTCACCTCGTCCACGGTTATTGTATTTTCCAAAATTACTTGTCCGAACAGCATTTGTTTCGGGAAATGCTATTGACCCCGTAGGACGAGATTGATGGTTTCTCATCAATATTTCATTATTCTTTTCAGCAACCATAAGTTTAGAAATTAGTTCATGATACCTTTTAACATTCATTAATCTGTATTGGTGCTGCAGAACAATATTAGAAACATGAAATGTGGATAATGTTTTCTCAATCATGTCTGCATCAGTGACTGTTTCTCCATAGTATCTCAACCGAGAGACTATTCGGAACAGTGCCGAATGATAGTCAGTAACCTTTTTGAAGTCCTGGAAACGTAATGCATTCCATTCTTCTTTGGCGGTTGGAAGCATCACCGCAAGTTGGTGATCAAATCTTTCTTCAAGATCCTTCCATAAAGTTTTGGGATCTTTGACTGATAGACATTCACTTTTAAGAAAATCATCAAGATGTTTTCGAATAAAGATCAATGCCCTTGCCTTTTCCTGGGAAGTGGCATCATCTTCTGTTATCGTTTTCAGAAGACCCAATGATTCAAGATGCATTGACAAGTCAAGTTTCCAGGACATGTAGTTGTCTCCAGTGTAACTGAGAGCATTGAATTCAAGTTTTGACAAGTTCGAAGACATAGTTCTCTAGTAAACAAAAGAAAACATAATTAACATTTTATTTCATAAATCAATAAATAAAACTAACCATTTTCAATAAATATAGCAATTAAAAACAAGGGTAAAATACATATTATAAGTACCCCCAAATGGAAAGTAAAATCTATGCCTTCTAAATTAAATACAAAAAAAGTATGTATACAAACTTATAATATGCAAAAGAGAAAAAGGAAAGACATGTATTTTTCTTTAAGAAATTAAGAAGAGAAAGAAGGAGAATATTGTGAAGGTGTGTAAATGAGATTTAGAAATGAGGTATTTATAGAAAAAAATTTAGAATTTAGTCGTTATGTGCCGTTAATTTTTGTTGAATATAGCCGTTATATATGTACGTATACTATACGTATATAATCATTGTGAAAAACTACTTTTGAAAAATAAATTAATTAAGCAGTTTGAAAATATAAAAAAACAAATAAAATCATTTCGTGAGTTAAACTATAGAATATAAATATGCAAGTAGTCTAATTTTTCATATGATAAATTTATGACTAAAATAAACTTCCTTGCAAGAATAAAAATGAATACTTACGTGGGGTAAAATTCCAACCACAGTAGCAATAATTTCGTGGGGTGAAAACCTTTCCACGTTAGCAATAAAAATAAATAATTGTGTGGGGTAAGAATAACTATGCGGGGTGAAAATCCATCCACAGTAAAATTAATAACTATGTAGGTGGATAATCCATCCCACAATTACAATAGACATAAACAATTATGTAGGGAAAAGTCCATCCACAACAAAATTAAATAAGAATTAAATAGTTATGTAGGCGGAAAATCCATCCCACAATAACAATAGACATATATGATTATATGGGAAAAAATCCATCGATAATAAAATTAAGATTAAGTAGAGAAATTTTACTTTCGCTGACAGTTGAGCGTTCGTGCTGATAACGTGTTCGAAAACTAGTCCAATACAATGTTCCAAGCAAAGGTTCTAGTAAATTATTTATTTAGGAGATGATATATTTAATTTATATAACTTCTCTACTAGAGACTTTAATAAAATAACTTTATAATAATCGAAATGTTATGAAATAATTATAATGCTTAAAGGGAGAGAGAGAAGGTGATTAAAAGAAGAAATAGAGTAAGAAGCAAAGTAGGAGAAAATTTACTCATATATATTTTGGTACAATTTTACCACTACATAAGCCTCCTATTTATAGTCATCACCTAATGACAATTTCGTAAATATAGGTTTACATCAAAATCAAAGTACTATACTTAATAGTATTCCTTACTTAATGCATGCTCACATTTAATACTCCCTCCGTCCCATAATTATTGTCCACTTTGCCCAAAAAATTTTGTCCCAAAATTATTGTCCAATTTGACTTTTTATGGATCAAGTTACACATTTGTCCTTAGTAAAAAACATTATCCATAAAATCTTAGTGGTTAAACAATTACTTATGTAGGGGTATATCCGGTTGTTTAAGGTAAAATATAATTAAGTTTGACCAGAAATAAAATCTTTCATTTTAGTAAAATTGGACAATAATTATGGGACGGAGGGAGTATATATTTTGCCATTCATTTTACAACAAAAACAAGTATATGGAACATTGTTGTAATAGAAAGAAAGTTGCCAAAGGCTGAAAACTACTAATACGGTTTAATTCTTGTTTTCCCTTTGGTAACGAAACAATGCGAAGAAGAATCGCTGACAAGGTTGTGCCATGGTTATTGTACAGCACCGGTGGAACTCGGACCCATTTTCAGCCAGTACCACTCTCATCGGAAATCCACCGCCATTATCACGCACTCGTTGCTCGGCTAACGGATGCACAACGCTACGATACTGAAGAGCTAGAAGTTTCTCGGAGAGCCACCTCGCTTCTTCCTTCTTCCACTACACGGCGGTACTTAAACAGCAGTACTTCCCCCGCCGGAGATCAAGGTACGGTGACCTCCGTCTTTAGAAGACAGAAGCTTTTCCTTTTTCCCTCCATATATATATATATATATATTTTTTTTTTTTTTTCTGTTTGTTGATTTCCGGGGTCTTTGTTCACTATGTGTTTGCTGTTTTGTCTGGCTGAATTGTTTTGCTCTATTCCCTATATTACCCCTTCTTTGCTGAAAAAAAATGTTGATCTTTCCCCTCGTTACCATCCTTTTTTCATCCGCCGATGCTATCATTTGGCGTCTAAACCTAGATAACTGCGGCCGCCGCCGTCCTCCCTGACGTTACAAAATTATTCATTCAGCAAGGCGGCGTCTTGCTCAATGGACGTTGGAACGATGGTGAAAACCGGGGAATCCTCCTCCCCGGACGTTGTGGAATTACCGGAAATATTGAGAGTCTTCGAGACTTCTCTTTCTGAGATCAAATGGAAGCTCAGACCTTCTTCCAAGCGTCGTTTTGAGACGGACATTTTGGCTTTGATCACTGAGATGAGGCCTGTTATAATGGTCGACTATGGTGGGAAGATGCCTGAATTGCAGGATCGGCTTTGTTCTTTTCTCAACTATTGCAAAAAGGAGTCACCTTTTTTTGAGCATTTGAAAGTCATGGTTATTGAGGATATGATATATTTGGTGCATGCCAGAGCCTTTGCGGAGTTCATCCACTCTAGCCTACATTTTGACACTGAGATGGTTTTGATGAACATTGAACAGGACCCTCCAAAGATAGTGGCGCAGAATGACAAAGACTCGGTTGCGGAAGAACTTGTTTCAATTCAGAAGAAGTTTTCTGCTGTATTTGGCTCAAGTTTGGGGAAGAATGATCCCCCTCAACTTGAAGGAGGATATTTAACAACTGATGCCAGGTCCTCTTCTGAGTCTTCTGGGTTTATTGATCTCAGCAGCTGGACTACAGAAAGTGGGGTCACCATTCCTACCCTTAACGGATGGCTTCTTGGTTATCCAGTGGTATATTTCTTTAGTAAGGAACATATCGAGGATGCCATTTACAATCTCTCAACCAAGTGCCTTAATCTGTATCAAATACTCATTATCAGGAGTGGCACGTCTAATGGCAGAGGATCTCGGTGGGAAGAACTAATGAGTTTCTCAGTTCCTTATGACCAGAGTGTGGAAGGAAGCAGTGAGCCATGGGCCAAGGCATTTTTACTTCGTATGCAGACAAAGATAGAAAGGTGCAAGCATGTTTGGGGATCTTTAAGGATGGAAGTTAGCAGTTGTTATCCACAAGCAATTGCCTTATAGTAACAGTGGAAAGGGTGTTAGATTGAACAAGTACTCTCTTGAGATTTCAACTTCCATTTGAGCATAGATTGTTGGTTATCTATTTATGTTTTTATTGTAATGATGAGCGGGAGAGATCTGAGGAGAGGTGAGTGGTGTGTTAAGAAAAGAAAAGATCAGCTTTTGAACAAATAAGGGCAATGTGACATTGATATTTGCCTTTCTCTTTGGGCTCGATGAAATTTGCCTGGCTGCTATATGTGACATACACTCGTGTTTTATTTTATAGTAGATTTTTTTTTTTTTTCAAATGCTCTTATTAATGGAAGAAAGTTGTTCTGCTAAGCATAGTGGTTAGAACATCAGAACAACTTGGTGTATGAAAATTTTGTGATGTTGAGCAATATATTTACCAAAGATGATTCATGCTCCAAAGATGCCAATTCCTCGTTTTTGGGTTGTGTTAACTTTGCAGTGACCTTTACATCTTAAAAGGCAGAGGGTCGGCCGTATTTTACTAAAATGGCATACCTAAGTGCTGAATGTGGCTCTTACAAGGGAATAGAGGGGGTGGAAGGGGGTGAGATGGCAGGGAATAATAATGTAACAGATTAAACCATTTCTTGTTCTCTCAGGTGGAGTTAGTTTAATCGTTATCAGTCCAAGTTATTCCTTGCTTTTGAATAATCCTTGAATTGCAGATGTTGAGATAGAACCGATTGATGCATGGGAAGAAGAAGATGAAGAAGTTGAATCCAAGGTATGTGCGAAAACTTTTGGTATTTGGTTTCTGATACAGGTCGCGAGTCATATTTTACAGTTAATAAGTTTTTTTCCTTCAAAATCCAGATTGGCGATGGTGGTGATGGAGGTGGAGTGGTTTTTCAGAACTGTCGTTGGGGAGAAAGGGCACTTGCAATAGCTCATGAGGTGCTACTGCAATTTGGTGACGACTTAAAGCTTTATGCTTTCAAAACCTCTCCACAAGGATATATTTACGTCAGACTTGATAAACTGACAAATAAGTAAGATTTTTCTTGCATTAGATACTGTACAGCTGGAAATTTCAGAGTTGAATGAGCATTTACTTATGAAAATGTTCAGAGTAAACTTCATTGACATTACAGAGTTTACTTCATCTTTGTGTTGACCTAAATCACCTTTCTCGTCAATACAAGTTGCAGTCATATTTGTTGCGCTTGGTTCTTTTTTGATCGGAACATGATCTATTGAACATTTGTCTTGTTTGATCTCCCCACTTTTCTCCGGTACCTTGTGGGAAAAGTTTTGTTATCTTGAATGATATTCAGGTTCTGAAATAGTCCAGTGATCATCTGGTGAAGAAAGTACTACTTTCCAAATGTCCCTTTTCCGTTCTAGTTGTCTTAATTTTTTGAATCTTCGGCTAGTACTTTCTAAAACATATGCATTATACTATGGGAGCATATTTAATATGTTCTTATCCTGACAAGTTATCCTTAAACTGCCTGTCTCTTTGCGTAGGTATGGTTGTCCCAGCATGGATGAGATGGAATCTTTTAGTAGACAATACAAGGGAAAGCTAGATGAAGTGGGAGCTACTGGAGACATCCCAGATGATTTGGCTCTTGAAGTAAGTATATATAACTTAAGTCACCTATTGTTCTCCATTTGCATACTTGACTTTGCTCTGCAATAAAACGTAATGCGAGTTCACTGTTATTCTTTAAGGTATCATCACCTGGTGCTGAACGACTACTGAAAGTACCGGACGACTTGAATAGGTTCAAAGATATGATCATGAGAATTAGCTACATCGAAAACCTGGAGGCACAATGTCCAGAAAAGGATGGAGTACTTCTACTTGACTCAATTGATACTGAATCAGGCTGCTGTGTTTGGAAGTTGGCTGATGTGAAGGAAAATAGAGACCCTGCAGCGAAAGGAAGACCAATGAGCCGTAAAAGGAAAGATTGGAGATTAAGACTGCCATATGACATGTTTAAGCGGGTAACTCTGTACCTGGATTACTAACTGTAACCACTTGTCGCCTAGATTCCTCATTTATTGACTCAATAGATTCAATACAACAGTAAAGATGTCTTTATCTCGTATTTGGGGTCAGCTTAATGAATTCCATCTTTGTCTAAATGTATGATTCGTTAAGTTAGATTTTGGTAACCTCGTCGGTGTTTTTGAAGGGATCGTTTTCCAACGTTCTTTGAATCCAAATCTTTTACCCTCTACAATCAGGAATCAAATTGTGAGAACATGATTTTATCTTTTTCTCTAGGGTCCTATATTTGCTTCTGGTTGTTTGCTTTCTAGCAGAACAATACATTGCATGCATCTGCATTAGCGGATGAACAGTTAACATTCATATGGACATAGTTTCTTGAGGACCCATGTCTTGTTACTGTACATATGTCTAGAATTATTGCCCTCCATAACTAAATTATTGTGCAACTGTTTTGTATTGTGATGCACCAAATCAACAAAACTAAACAGAACTTTTGTTGTCCGGTGGACCGTAGACAACAACAGCACAAGGAATGGCTTGCTTTGGATACCTATATAACCTTAGCTTGAACCATCCCATAAATGCCTCTGCTGCCAGAAATGCCACCAAATTTGTGGGATCTATTATGAACCACAATTCCTGCATCTCCTCTTCTTTATGATGCTTGATGGATAACTTTAATTCAGGCCACTTCCCATGTTATTAGTTAACATCACCATTTTGTTTGCTTTGACAAGTGGCAACAATGGTGTAACATGTTAGAAAACCTAGTTTCAAGTTTACGCCATGTTAGAAAACTCAGATATTCAGATCCTGTAAAATTCAGTCGGTGATACTACAACTCAGATTGTAACTCATACAGTAGTAGTATATTACATTACATTATTAATGTCTGCTAAATAATGTAATGCTTACTATGTTGGAATTAGCGATGATTATCGGTTTAAAACAAGATATCATAAGTTCTTTTCATCTCTTCCAATGGTTTGGGACCACTTAGATAGAGGTTTGAGAGAAGTTTCATCCATCAATTCTGCGACATCTGACATCAATCAACTTGTTATCTCTAGATTAGACTGGCATCTACAACCTAATGGTGTTGTAGTTAAACAAATACGATGAACTCTCGCTATGCAAAAGCATAATTTTATCAACACCGTTGCCTGAGAGGGAACATGGATTGCCTCATTTTATAATCATAATCACATACTGATGTAATTGCTGTCACGAAATTTTCTTGGATCGGATACTGTTACGGTGAAATAGAAAAAGTAGGCCATTTACGATCCTTGGATCTAAATACTGCCATTTCTACCATGATTTCATGGAAGATGAGGAAGGCAAAGAAAAGGGTTGGCAAGGGATGAAAAATTTCTAGCAAACATTAAAGGGAGATGGGTTCATTTTGGGAAAAACTAGCTGTGTGTTGTTGCCACAACAACAAGAATTCAATTCGAAGAGCACAAGAAAACAAAACCAAAAGATCAACATCAAAGAAAAGTGAAGCAGCACAAATTTGGCAGGTCCTTGAAGCTACAGGACAACAACTCTCTATGCTTTTAAGGAGGATTATGGTCCCAAAAACAAGGCAGAAACAACACACACTCACACTCACACATTGATTCTTTGTTGCGATACAGACTTTTTCGTCCATTATTAATTGGCAAAATGGTTATTATTAGTTGCACAACCCGCTGTGATGAAAAGGGTATTTCAACTGTCCCTTAAGGATATCATAAGTCCTCTTTCGAGATTAAAAGACGGGAGGATTGATTGAGGTGGTAAGGGTCGAGATTATAACTACTAGGTCAATGGTTCAAATCTCGCTGGAAGAAACTCTGTCGGATATATTTTTCTACATTTTCCAGATGAAGCAAATTGGATTGTAGTGTGAAAGATTACAACAAATAGCGTTTTAGACGTACTGGAGTAGAACAAAAAGCACCCCGAGAAGTAAAACTACCAATGCCAAAACTTTGCTGGACCACCCAAAAATTCAGCTCTATCTGAAAATGAAGAAAATATCTTACCTATTTTTCAGCTACAAAAAAGTTTGTCTTGATTGTTGATAATTACTTCTCAATTTGTACACTCAAAATCATTCTAGTGATGTAGCTTAAAAAATAAGCAAAACCAATTTTATGGCAATCAATCACACACACACTGAAGATGGTAAAAAAATGGGAGATGGGACTTTGATTTAATATTTGGTTTTGATTATTTAAGGATGGTTAAACCTAAAAGTAGGAAAAAGAAGAGAGAAAAGAGAAACATGATTAAACATGCTTGTCCTGATTAAAACTCTTTGCTAAGGTTAGACAGAGTTCGATTGGCCTTCCAAAAGTTGAGGAAATGATTTGTACCAAATATCATTTGAGTATTACTATTTGGTAGGTTCGGAAAAAGAAAAAGGCACTTTAGTTTATGCCTACAACCATTTTTTTTGTAATGTACCTTAAGGCTTAGAAAACATTCAGAAAACAACCTGTTCTTGTTGTTGTACAGACCATCATCATCACCAAAGAAGACTGGTATTAGAACTAGATCTTAAACAAAACCCATTCAGGGACATCCTGGAAAGATACAAAACGGAGATCTCCCAAGAAATGTTCCGCCAATATTTGTAAAGTTGCAATCTTTGGTTACAAAATCAGATTAGATGAGCTTTAACTTGTACTTCTTCCGTACTGAAATTATTGCTCAGTTTGAATTTTTATTTTTAATTAAAAAATGTACTAAAATTTAAAATGCACATTGAATAATCAATTTGGGAGAGAGGAAGTAGTTTCCTTCTCAAAGTGTGTGAATATAAAGGTTAGTAGACTTTTGGGCTACTGTTATTATAATAACTACTTGATTCTAATAAACTTTGTCTTTTTACCTGAATGATTAGTCAAGGATGACAAGTACGAGTATGAATTGATGGAAGAGTTCTAGAAGTTTTACTCTGAAATTGGCAACTGAAAGTAACTTCTCTGTACGCAATCAATTCTCCAATTCTGAGATTGATCAAGACTAGAACCTACGAACTTTGTGACCTTAATTTTGGTAGATATTATATTATGTAGGGGGAGTACAAATGTACAATGTAATGATCACTTATAACTGTTCTCTTCTAACTTTAGCCGCAATTCCTAATATAATGTTGCAAGCTGTAACCAATAAAAGTGGTTCATTGTTCAAGAAGTAATGGTTTGTACATTGGATTTAAACTTGGAATATGCAAGGTGCAACTACAACCTAAGATGTTATGTCAAGCTTTTGGTTGCTTGTAATGATTTGACTAATTATTATCAATTACGATTTCAATAATTTTGGGACAATCGAAATATCTGTGAATCAGTTCGATCACTCTCGTTCTATTTCAGACTTTTTCTTTTCTTTTTCGTGATTTGAGCTATTGAAGGCCTATCAGAATCCTCAACCCTAGGTCACATTCGTGTTGTTAAGAGTCTCACACAAAGTAATCATCTCACACCTTTTAGTGTGATTAACCTTAAATGGTTTAGGGTTCCTGTTTCTGCTCTCCAATGGAGTTAATCATATAGGTAAGGCTATGGGGAATGAGTGTAGGGATGGTTAGGATAATGATAATGCCATATATTCCTAAAAAAATGGGGGTATGCAAAGGCCTTGATTTGTCATTTAGGTGGGGTTTTTGATTAGTTGGGAACCTTTATATAATGCATCTACAGTTTGATATTGATTGCTTGAGATTCCAAACTTCTCTTCTTTGATGTGTTTGTTCATCATTATTTTCTTTTACCTTTTCCTTTTTTTTATTTTTTTTAAATTTTTTGGAGTACCATTTTTGGTTTGGGTGGATGGTGGAGGTTAGATGAAACAGAAGAAAATGATGGGGGGTTGATAAAGATACACAATTCAATAGAAACACCCCAAGATAGGTGACATAAAGCTTGTTTTGTATGGACTTGGAAATAGGGTTTTATACTTTTATTGGATTGAAATAGCATAAATGCCTTTCATACAAATGTGTAAGACATCCAAAGTCATCAAAATGAGGGAACAATGATGAAAAAGGGAAAATCCCAGTCCTACAAAAACATTTTCACCAAGTCGAAGGAAAAAGGGTAGTGATCAAAAGAATCTTATTATTACCAAAAAGAAAAAGGAAAAGAGGAGAGGAAAATAGAAAAGGCCACATTAGAAAAGCAATTTCAACAGTCAAAAAAACCACTGTTAGCACATCACATTTGGATTTTCACTTTTATAAGTTAAAAATTCAATTATCTATGATTTGGTTATTCTGCAAGTACGAGTTAGTGTGGACACCAAAGCACTACCAAATCATGTTTGTCTACTGCATTTTTTAAATTTTAATTGCGTAGAATAGATTCTTTGTCTTACAATCGTATTTTATAATTGAGATTTATACACGATAAATCTAAATAACAAACACAATTTCATCAATAAGATATAATTTGATAGACCAAAGTTGAGATAGATTGATTTTTTCCTCCAAGTACCTTTTTTTTTTTTTTTTGAACTAATACTATAATTTTATAACATGTTACAATTGAAATTACACATTTCCGTAAAGTATATTCTCTTAAGTTGTACTCCATCTCCTTTTATTGTATTAATTTTTTTTAAAAAAAATAAAATAAAATTATTCGTTGATCTACTTCAAGGCATTTTTGGTGATTGGTATTTAGCTAAGATGGACGTTGAAGCTTTTGACTTCCAAGAAAATAATTGATTAAAAATACCAATTTGTCACCCAAACAAACTCTTCTTCCTCTTACCTTATCTCATCAAAATGGAATCACATGACAAGAAGAATAACAATAACCTATCACTTATTAGGTACAGATCAAAACTATTCAGAAAAATAAAAATTAATAATTAAAAAGGACCAGTCACAGATCCACATTCTAGTCTTTCAAGATGATCAAGATTCCAAAAAGGCAAGATTCCATTAGTAATTACTATGCCACCACCCATACTGCAATAGCTACATACATAAACATATATGTCTAGACTATAGAGGGTCCATTAGATGGCTTTAGGGGGACATGCTCCTTGAAAAAATTACATATATTGATAAAGCAAAAAAGAGATAAGTCATATAAGGTTCAAAAACCATTATCTTGGTGAAAAAATAAAAATAAAAATGAAGATCACAGAGTAGAGGAAACAGGGATGACTAACATTGCAAGATAACATAAATTAAAGGGGAAAAATATGGCCACATTAGATTAATATATACTTTGTTTGAAGAGTGCAAGTTACTAAAACACAAATCATACATCTAGTTGAATAAGTAATTACCATGTAATCTGTAATCTACTATGTAGTGATGCACTAATGAAAAGATAATGAAAATCCATAACTACCCCAAAAGCACATTAATGATACTACACATTAAAATCGATAAAATATACTCCCTCTGTCCCAAAATTATTGTCCAGTTTAAAATTTCACTTTTAGTTCAATTTGTACTAAAAGTGAAAACTCAAACTGGACAATAATTTTGGGACGGAGAAAATACGTATATATGATACTCGATGGTTTAATCGATACAACTATAACGATTGCTAGTTTATCAATAATAATATTAACGTAATTTTTTCAGCTGAAGTAGTAATAACCACCGGGACACAAGATTTAGACAAAATTATAGTAAATGATATAAAAAGTAATATGATCAAAATTTAGTTGTAGTTGGTACTTGGTAACATAAAAAAACCTTACAAAAATGTCCCATTTAAGTAGTATTTTCTACCATTTCCTTACGAAAAGATTATTGAACTTGTTATAAACCGAATATAGGAGGAATTACTATAAACACGGAAAAAAGAAAGAAGAAAAAGAAAAGAAAACTTTTTTACAAATGTAACAGAGAAAATATAGGGGAGAGAATCTAATAAAACCTTATTTCATTCTTTTGTTTTTGTAAAATAATTTTTTTCCACTCTCTTTTCATCAGTTATTAATATAATATCTCTGACAAGAGAGGGGTCTTAGAAAATTTCATCATATATATATATCTTGGCCTCCATTTGCAAAGAGACAGTTTTTGTGTGTTTTGTCACGATCATTGGATGCACGTGTAAGCCCAGAAGGTTATAATTCTTCTATTCTGATTTCTGGTTTCTGATTTCGGATTATCAGTCGGGTTTTTTCTTTTCTGTATTTAATTCCCAAAACCCAAAAGCCAAAAATGAGCACACAGCTGATTATATATTCTGCGGATTATGGCCTGTAAACTAATGCTAATAATTTACAGTGTAAATTTAATCCTAATTGTTTATATATAAATAGTGTGTGTTGTTGATACCCATCTGCTTCCACCTTCGTCAGTTTCTTCCTCCTCTTCTACCCTCCATCTCTCTCCTACTTTGTAAGCCTCTGCTTTTTTCCCTTTTTTTTCCCCCCTCTTCTCCATTTCTCCCTGCAAATTTTGGTTCATTTTTTTTTCTAGTTTATTGGAAAACATAGCATACTACTGATCTTCCTGTTAGTATGCTGTAGAATTTCAAGAATTTTGTTGTGTATGTTTCAAGTTCTGATCTTTATGAGTGGGATTTTTTTCAGTGTGGTGTAATGTGAATTGGGAAGGTGTTTTTGATCTGGGTTTTGTGAGGAAAGTTTGTATCTTTTTGCATTTTCTCTATTTGCATGTATTGGAATTTCTTGATAGGATTAATGGGTTCTTGATCCCTTCTTGATCAACGTTTTATTTCCTTCAAGACTTTGATACTTGAACTCTACATGCAGTGTTTTATCAAGATTTCTTAACTACTTGTGTTTGTTGGGTCTCAAAGCTTGCATTTTGGTTTTGATTTTGTCTGTAGAATCAGTTTGGTGCTTATAACTTTTGGTGCATTAAGGCAAGATTTTTTTTTTTTTTCCCGTCCAATTGTCATTTTCAGTCATGATCAGCTACAATTGCGTGCCTCTCTTTATCTTTAATTGGAAAGGTTATAGCTAACTTGTAATGCGCGATTTATAATTAGCAAAATTGATGTTATATATTTCATTTGGGTTGATTTTTGCTCCTGTTGTTTTTCATTATGCAGTGGGGCTGAATTCAGTGTGTTCTTTCAGAATCATGGCTCTTCCTGGGGTTAAGAAAGATGGAAGAGAAGTGAAAATTTATGAGAATGCAGATGAACTGAGCACTGATTTGGCAGACTATGTTGCGGAATTATCTGAGGCTTCTGTGAAGGAGCGGGGAGTCTTTGCTGTCGCTTTGTCTGGTGGCTCTCTCATCAGTTTGATGAGGTATATAAGCAGTTTATTGTCTCTGTGGGTCTTTGATTATCTCCCCTTTCTTTATCTGATTCAATTGTTTTGGCAGTAAACTCTGCGAGGCTCCTTATAGTAAGACTGTTGATTGGGCAAAATGGTATATCTTTTGGGCCGATGAACGTGTGGTGGCAAAGAATCACGCAGATAGTAACTATAAGCTGGCAAAAGATGGGCTTCTGTCTAAGGTAAGCTTTGAGCTGTTTGAAAATTTGCATATCCCTTTGTCCACTTGTACGGTTGGTTCATCAGAAATCTCTCAGCATCTTCTAATGTATATAGAGTCTGATTCTGCTGAAGCTGGTTGATATTTTATTTTCCTTGTAATTGTCAATTAATTAAGTGAATCTGATTGCTGACTACCACCTTTTCTTATCTCTATTTGGTCCTTTGGTTTTACTTAACGAGGGAGAGCAATTCTTTTTTTGGTTGCTTATTTGGTTGAGTGAGTAATTATTAGCTGTATGAAATATCTGAAAGGGCTGAAAATAGACAAATTGATGCACATGTCTAGATCACTTGCTATCAGGAATAATTACATCAGGGTGTTTGTGCTAACAATGGAATGGTTCACACTGGTGACGAGTGATTAATCTGGGTAATTCCTTGCATCCTAGTGAAGTATAGTATCTGAAAATCAGAGTTCTGGAGTCCGATGTGGAAGTAGTAGGTTTTATGAATTGGATTTCTTTAGCTTTCGACAAGTGTCTGTATTATCTTTAAACTTCAGCAAAATGGAAGGATTCAGGTTTTTGGTTCTCACCCGGTGTAATACTATTCCTCAGGATATGTAGAACATTGCAATACTAATATCAATTTTTTTCCCTTAAGCTGTCATGTAATGTTCTTTTTTTCTAGCCATTACTGAGATTTATCAGGACCCGGAGTATGAGTCTTCAATAGGTATTTATTGCTCTAGTATTCTTCGGCATCCCAATTGGAATATAATATGGACAATTCTCTAGGGCTGCTGGTTATTAATACTTGAGATGATCTATCTGGATAATGACAAACTTACCAGCAGGTTATGTCCTCGGAAAATGTATAATGATCTTCATATGATACTCTTTATGTGTTAAGGATGCCCAATGTAATATAACATACTCACCGGAAGGAAGATGGCGAAAGTATCCCTGGTCTTGATATGAATACAAATTGGCCTAATATAGAACATGAACTGATCAATAATAGTTACAATGAGGTTCATTAAATTGTCCCATGCAGTCGTATTGTTTATCTTGGTGCCAGATCGACGTAACTTTCTTTTTTTTCTTTTTTCTTTTTTCCCCTTTTCTGATGTAAAGTCTTTGAAAACTTCTATTCCTCATCCTGAAGTCATGTTGTTTGTCGTTTATTTATTTCTTGTCCGTTCTACGTGATTCAGTCGTATGCTGTTTTCTTTCAGGTGCCTTTTGTTCCCAGTCATGTACACTCTATCAACGACACAGTCTCAGCTGAAAAAGCCGCTGAGGACTATGAATTTGTCATCAGACAGCTTGTGAGGACACGTGTGATCAGTGTCTCCGATATCAGTGACTGCCCCAAGTTTGACCTAATCCTGTTGGGAATGGGTCCAGATGGGCATGTTGCATCCCTATTTCCCAATCACCCTGTGCTTGAGGAAAAAGAAGAATGGGTGACTTTCATCACCGATTCTCCCAAGCCTCCACCAGAGAGAATCACCTTTACTTTGCCTGTAATCAACTCAGCCTCCAATGTGGCTGTGATTGTCACTGGTAGTAGCAAAGCAGAGACTGTTCATTTGGTAATTGATGATGTTGAGCCTGACAAACCGTCATTGCCTGCAAAGATGGTGCAGCCAACCAAGGGGAATTTGGTTTGGTTTCTGGACAAGGAAGCTGCATCAAAGCTTGACGGTTCAAAATTTTCCCAGTAGGGCCTGACATTGCTTGCCGAACTGTATGTTTGTATGTAGTCAAGGATATGCAACGGTTGATTCACAGCTTCCTTTAGGGTTCTTTGATGGTTTTATTCCTTCTATTTAGACAGTTAAAAGGGAGCTCTTAGTGTCGGATTAGTCGCCTCCCCATTTTTTGGCTTGCATATTTCTTGGAGGGGGTTTCTTAAGTGTGATTATGCTGTTGTTAGAGAAAGCAATAATAATGGATCTTAACCCAGAACAAAATCCTTGTTTTGGTGACGTTTAGGAATACTAAAAGGTCAGAAATTGCCTTGAAAGCCAGAGTTCTGATAGTTATTCTTTCGCAGATAGTTTAATAATCAAAACGATAGTCGCAATATCATCAAAAAGCTCATCGGAGCTACCTCAATCGGTGTGATAGCACTTTTCTATGCAGATCGTGCTGGTAGACAATCACGTTCCTAACATAGTACCAATGTTGCACTAAGAATTTTACAAACTCCATGAACTGAGGTCTATAGCTACGCGCCAGTACCATTAATGAGTTGTAACAAGTTTGGACCAGTTCTTCCATTTACCATTTAAACATCAGATCCATCTTGCTCTACCTGATTAAAAATTGTCATTTTCAACGAAAATGGACTTCCGTGGTGTATAGCAGCACTGAAACAACCACTTGAAGTAAAAGTATGAATCCCTTTAGAGTGAGAGGAAGAGTAAAAGGCGAAAAAGATGAAACTACTAAGCGCAGATGCCGGATTTTACATCAATATAGGTTACAAAGGGAAGACAGCAAAAAAGATCAACGTGAGGAAGAAAACATACTCACATTGCTTCTGACAAAACCATATAAAAAAATCTACAACTACCGGAAGATTGAAATGTTACATTAGGGGGAGCGCATTTCAAAGACTAGTTAGAGGAGACCTCCCATAATATGGAAGATGGAAGGACAATTGCTACAAACAGTATCTAAAAGGATCAAAACTAAAAGTGTGAAAAAGAATAGTTTGAAAAATTAATCAATATTCACTTTACATAACGGCAAAAATGTATGGGATGAACCGGCGGAGTTCAGCACCATCAACGAACAGGCACCAAAGTTCGATATTCCCTTTCTGTTACAGATCTTATGCCATGGGAATCAGGGATCACATCTTCTTCCATACCTTCTTTAGCAGGGTAACCAAGTTTTCGTGCCTGTAGCCATTGATCCATTACTCCACAGCTGATAGCATAGTTGACGGTGCGCTCCAAGTACTTTTTATCAGTTATAAGATGTGGCTGGACTGACAACATCCTCAGGATACCTGAACCATTATGAAAGGGAGCAAATGAGATGCTGGTTACAGGTACTTCAATAAAAGAGGAAAAAAAAAAAAAGTTTTGAAGGTTCTGGTATTTATGTAACACAGATTGCCTAATGATTCTACGCTTAAGATAGTGCTCTTATGACCGAAGATTATTCGCAAGTTAGAAGATCCCATCAAGAAATTCCATCGGCAGAAGCAAGGCACTCTTCAAAGTTTGTAAGAACTAAAATCATTTTACAAAAAATACTAGGGCGACTCTTCAAAGTGGATGCATAACCAGCAATGATATCTTAAGAGCCACAGTCACTTAACATCTACATTAATGAGATAGGAAAAAGTTAAAAATGAAGGAGATTCATAATTACCTGCGACAATACCATCACCAGATGCAGACATATCAGAAGTATAGGGGGTAACGGGTGGATCCTCCATGCCAAGAACAGAACCATTGTGCTCCTTAGTGTAGTAGTGAATCTTTGAAGTCCCATTTGTCACAAATAAAACCTTAAGATTTTCATGCCAAAGTGGAGCAAGCACTTCTGGTGGATAATGAATGAATTTAGTCCTGTCATTGTCCTTAGTGTCAAACTTTTCAGTTGCCTTGATATCGCAAAGAAACTCAAGTTCTTGCTTGGTGACTTCAATAATATCTGCAAGATCCCATGCTTTTCGTATGAATTTCTTAGTCTCTTCAGAGGATTGCCATAGAGGTAATGGTAGATTGAGATCATAAAAGATAACCCCTCCCAATTTCTTTGAGACCTTGATGGCATGCATAGTAGAGGCTCGCATGTCCCGGTCTAGAAGAGAGAAGGTGTTGAAGTAAAACATCTTTGCCTGCACAGAAGTAATGGAATCAAACAATGAATCCTGGGTCCATTGGAAGTCAAATTACCAGCCACACAAGTGACATGGAAAATGCAACATTTTCTCATGACAATTTCTTACTGCATGTTCTAAAATAATACCATACTGAAGATGCAGGAACTGTGAAATTTTTCAATTATCTCAAGACAATAATCATAGTCACATACCAACTAGAAAAAAAAATTCATTAAAGTATATTCAGGTAGCAGTTGGCTCTCCTCAATCACTGCCCGCAACAAAGAGCCTAGTCTTGGAAATTCCTTCTATGATTTTAAACATCTTTTACCAGAGGCTTGATACAAGTATTACAAATTCCCATGAATGGATGGATTTTCATGTTGCTAAGAATTAATGGAATAGGGTATCAAATGCCAACAAATTCATATTTTTGAAAAACTAAACAAACAATATAATGTCGAATCAGCAAAGCTATCCCAATTCTATCTTACTTTGTGAAAAAAAAAAAAAAACTACAAGCATTTCATGGGAATTTAGATTCTTTGAAGAGCATATCGATGTTCATCAGAAATTGTGAAAGGTGTAGTGCAGAATATTCTTACCTCTTTGAGGACATCAATGTTAATCTCAGACTTAGATAATGAATCCTCTGGACATGATTTGACACAAGTCATCCGCAAACCACCCCTCTTACTCATTTTCATATGTGATACAGCTGTGACCCTTTTAGTGTCAATACGAATCGACCTCGTCTGTACATTGTTTATGTTCAAAAAGTATAGCAAAGACTGACCGTAGTCATCATCTCCAAGTTTACCCATAACAGCAACTTTACCACCCAAGCATGCAAGTGCCACGGCAACATTACTGGCACATCCCCCCGGAGACCTAACAAATTTCTCAGGATCCCATAGTACATCCTTATGTCTTTCATGCCATTCATTATCTATAAGTCTGTTGGCTCGCCTTCCAGATGGAATAAATGCATGCTGTGTAGCCCCAAAACAACAGACAAGAGGTGGCCAACTGTAAGTATAGCTAATATCTTCTCCCTCATCTATTTCAAGATCCATGTCTTGCTCATTGCTATCGTCATCTCCATCTGTCACAAATGCATCCCCATCCTCATCACTAGACACAGCAGGACTTTCTTGATCCACAACATTATCAATCTGCTTCTTTGTTCTTCTGCGTCTTGTCACCTTTTTCTCTTCTGTTTTCTCCTCGGGGGCAGTAACTGTATTTTGATCTGCAGGACAAACAAAATCCAATTGTCAACTATAAATTTAGAAACAAATGCAACTGTGCAGTGATATTGTGATAAGATCATTCTTGCATGGAAACATTTGCACCTTTCTTCCTGGTACGCCGGAGTTTTTTTGATTTCTCACTTTCTTCTGAAATAGTCAAATTCTCCTCATCCGTAAGTTCTCCATCCGTGACAGTCACAGAACTATTCTCTGGGTCTTCAGTCCCTGCCTTCTTCCTAGTCCTACCGGTACTTCGTTTAGGTTTTCGACTACTCTTTGTTTCTACAACATCAATATCTTCTGACACTTCATGAGCTAAGGCCTCTTTAACTTTTCTCTTAGAGACAGCTGCAAGAGTCCATTTGTTCCTCATTCCAACATGGGGAAGTTCTACAATCCCCAAAGACGGGGAAAAATTCCAACTCTGCCACCTGCAAATTATATTGAATACTTGGTTCATCGATTGAAATGCATGTACCTTTTCATTGAAAACTGGAAAAAAAAAAAAAAAAAAACTACTGTAAGATTTGAGCAAGAATTAACTAAATCAGAAGGCTACATCTTCCATTTCTGGCCCTAATTTTCCTTAATTAAGTAAACCCAGAAGATATGACTACAATTCACAACATCCTTCTTAAATGAACATGGCCTCAGAGCCATGAAAACTAATTAGGCAAGGATTGGAGCTGAAGCTCATTCAAAAACTTATCTTTAAGAAACTACAGGGTGAAACTCTAAAAAGGAGTAATAGACTGCACAGCAAGTAGAGCATAAATGAAAAAGACTTAACAAAATGAGAAAGTACCTGGGCAGTGAAGAAAATTGTGCAAAAGATAAAGAGGCCATTTTCAGAGAAGAGTTTGAAGAAAGGCCCTTCTGCAAACCCACAAAGCTCTCAAAAATGACAATCTTTTGGGGGTTTAAGACCATGAAGCAGGGTTTGGGGCTTTTGGTAATATCGCACTTTCTCATTTGGATAAGAAAGGAAAGTATGCCTTTAACTTATCTTTGTTGCTAACTCGGTTGACTAAACTACCCCTCGTTCAATCTTCAAGGACTTGCGAGAAATTTCTGCTTCTGCAGTTCAATTTTGCCCTGAACTGCTGACTAACCAAACAAAACCCAACTTTCATCCATCCAATTCCCCAGTTGAACCTTTCCCTTTTCCTCTTATTTGAAGCTACTTGGTGGGTTCTTGTGAAGTTGGCATGGTAGTTCTTACTCTTGGGAAACAAAGGCTTATTAAAATTGTCAACTGTGTAAAAAGCTTCAACCTTTAACTTTGTCCTTTTCTTTCTGGGTTGGCTGATTGATTCTATACTGTTTGAGAAGTATCAAGTGGGTTATTTTGAATATGCGTTCATCACATTGGACAAATTGAAAGGTACTGTTTGAGATGAATATTTGCAGGAGATTGGATTCAATCAAATGTAGTTACGAAGGAGGTATTCTTGGGAGAGGTAATCACTAATCCCTTTTTGCCTTTTCTGAGTCTGATATTCCTGTCAATTACAATTTTCTTTTTTCCTTTCCTTTTTTTTTTTGGAAGGTATTTATAATTTCTTTCTAACTTCATGGCCTTCATGTGTTGTTTTTTCTTTACCTCTAGTGTTATATTCACCATTTCAGGAGATTTTTGTGTTGTTGTTTATCCAAAGTTAGGGTTTTGAAGAGAGTTTCTGTCTTTCCTGTTTCTGGAATATGATGAAGTTTTGCATTAACCTTTCAAGTCGAGTGTCTTTAATTTGGAGAATGAGTTTGTTGATACCTTACTTTAAATAATCATCCTTTTTATGACAGCATGCCGTTCCTTTTTCCATTCATTTCCTGAGGCTGTGGAGGTTCATTCCCAAGAGCAGGAGGTTGTTATTGCTTTGGGAAGCAATGTTGGTGACAGACTTAACAATTTTGATGAAGCTTTACATGCAATGAGGAAATCAGGAATAGAGATCAGGAGGCATGGTTGTTTGTATGAGACTGCGCCTGCTTACGTGACTGATCAGCCTCGCTTCCTCAACTCTGCTGTGCGAGGCATCACGAAACTCGGTCCTCATGACCTGCTGGGAGCCCTTAAGAAGATTGAAAAGGACTTGGGTCGCACTGCTGGGATTCGATACGGTCCAAGGCCGATTGACTTGGATATCTTGTTTTATGGAGGGTTCAAGATAAATTCTGATATTCTTGCTGTACCACATGAAAGGATTTGGGAAAGATCTTTTGTCATGGCTCCATTGCTGGATGTACTGGGCACAGATATCGAAAGTGACACAGTTGCTTGCTGGCATTCATTTGCAAAACATCCTGGTGGACTTTTTGAATCTTGGAGTAAACTTGGTGGTAATTCGCTTTTTGAAAAAGAGGGGATGATGAGGGTTTTACCAATTGGAAATCGCTTGTGGAATTGGTCGGAAAGAACCTGGGTAATGGGCATTGTTAATTTGACTCCTGATAGCTTCAGTGACGGGGGAAAATACCCCTCAGTCGAGGCTGCAGTTTCTCAAGTTCGTTTGATGCTGTCAGAAGGTGCAGACATCATTGATTTTGGTGCACAATCGACACGTCCAATGGCTTCCAGGATTTCTGTTCAGGAAGAATTGGATAGACTGCTTCCTGTCCTTGAAGCTGTTAGACAATTGCCAGAGATGAAAGGCAAGTTAATCTCAGTGGATACATTCTACTCTAAGGTTGCTTTGGAAGCAGTCAAATCGGGGGCTGACTTGGTGAACGATGTATCTGGTGGACAGTTAGATCCTGAAATGCACAAGGTTGTTGCAGCTCTCAAAGTTCCCTATGTTGCCATGCACATGAGAGGTGATCCTTCTACAATGCAGAATAGTGAAAATGTGCAGTATAGTGATGTTTGCAAAGAAGTAGCATCCGAGCTATGCTCTAGGGTTGGGGAAGCTGAGTTATCAGGTATTCCTGCTTGGAGGATTATTATTGATCCTGGCATTGGTTTCTCTAAAAAAACAGAACAAAATCTAGAGATTCTCAACGGCTTGCCAACCATTCGAGCTGAGATTGCTAAAAAGAGCCTAGCCACATCCCATGTTCCTATGCTTATTGGACCCTCTAGAAAGAGATTCTTAGGAGAAATCTGTGCACGTTCTGCTGCATCCGAGAGGGATGCAGCAACTGTTGCCTCCATAACAGCTGGAATTTTAGCGGGTGCAAATGTTGTGAGAGTTCACAATGTAAAAGACAATGCAGATGCTGCTAAGCTCTGTGATGCATTACTTCAAAAGAGAAGAGTTGTTTCCTAGTCAGAAATGCAGTTGCTCATCTCTTACCAATAACCAAGTTTAGAGCTGCCACAGAAGTTTTGCAGTTTTGTGATGCTTTCTAAATTGGTGTACAACAGTACCTAGAGGTGTTTATTTTGTTTTCCTCCTGGAATATTTGGACTGACTATGCCTTGAATTTTGTTAAAGCTTATATTATTCAACATAATATCGATAGAAATGTTTTATTGGCTCAACTATTTGTCAAACTCGTTAGAAACGTGGGATGTGGAATACAGACACAAACCAATTTGTGAAAATATTAGATGACAGTAAAATTGATACCTTACAGCCTCACAAATATGTGGCCAAAAAGTATTCCTTCTCAATTTTTCCAAAGATTAATGGGTAGCTAAGCACTATAGGTAACAACCATCGTATGATTGATTCATCTCTCATTTAACAAACAGCAACTCAAATGCTCAATCCCAAGTCATCTGCTATTACTAACTGCTTTTCACGGCTTCTGCTTCAGCCATTCGCATAGGGTCACTCCCATTAGCTGTTTCATCATCCTTTTCACCCTCTCGTTCCTCAGCCATCTTTTTCCTATGCAACTCTTCGGCTGCTTCCATTGCTGCTTTTTGCTCTGCTTGAAGCTTCTGCATTTCCTCTTCCTGTTGCTGTCTTTCGAACCATGTGTCCGCATCAGCCCAAACTGGACAGAAGAGAACAAAAGAAATGTTAGCATATTTGAACGTCTAGCAGTTTCCATCATCCAGAAATACAACATCAACCAACTTCAGTATACATAGATTCACAAATTCACCAAAGAACCAATAAAATATATTCATCAAGCCAAAATAAACACGGATGATTTAACTACTAACAAAAGCACACTAAAAATGATCCACAACAGAGAATTTTTAGAGTACCAAGTCAAGTTATATTCTGAAAGTCAGCATACAATTTACAGCAAAATGTGCCAGTTCACTGTAAGCAACATTACATAAGGCGAACAAAACACTGCCTCGGATGAAAGATTTACCCATATCATTTCAAGCAAGTAACCTCATCTTCTTCATTCTAAAGGATTGCAGCATATTACCTCTATCTACATGGCATCAGACATAGAATCCATAAATACAGTCGAAAACAATATAAGCCTACTTAGGGTCTCAAACATCAACCTCGCTGTTCAAATTGATTCTACAAATGTGATATGGCAGAAAATATGCAGTTCCTAGCCTGACTAGTATGAGCATGTGAACATTTAAATCGACATTACGAGAATCCTAAGTAAACAAGCAATATAACTTTGCGAAAACCTTAAATATAAACCAAGTGTGGTCACTGGTAAATCTGATATACTGTTCAAAAACGAAATTATCAAAGACAGATCAATCATTTCAATGCAAACGGCTACTTAACCACTGGTGTCAATTCATCCAGTTTGGTATCTCCAAATAATTCAAAAAATGGACAGCTTCAATTGTTCAATGGCGGAGCTCGATCCTGTTGGGTTTACATTAATTAAGGCGTAGGCCAAGACAACAGATTGCAGGAAAGTGGTACTTCAATTAAATTCTTATAGTTAAAACAGCTCCAGAATAGGAACAATTGAAGGGTGGAACTGTACTAGGAAACCAGAAACTACCACAGGATAGAGAATGGGATAGCTTAGGAAACAATAGACATTAACTCCAAAATTGAACAACCCAAAATGCCAAAATGGATTCTCCAAACTTTGGAAGGGGCAGTGGTCAATATACTGATTCTATCTGGTATATACACATATTGAAGCACTCGGACGAAAAATGGTTTCCAAAGATTATTGATCAACCACACACACAGCCAACCGAACACAAAACCTGAGCCACCCTTAAACCCTAACCAAAACCCTCCAAAAAATTAAAACCCCATCCTCCATGGCAAGAGAATTGCTTGAAAACAATACCGAATTGATAAATAAACTCAAAATAAGTTAAATTGAAAGAAAGAAATAAAGTAAATAATTGGAAGAGAACGCTTACTTGGCTGGGCGGCCCAACCCTGTTCACCACCCTTAATCTTCTCAGGGAGGGCATAATTAACAGTCAAAACACGACCAAAGAGCTCAGCTCCGTCCATATTATCCATGGCGGCGGCGGCATCTTCCCTCTCGAGGAAAGTAACGAATCCAAAAGAACGGTGCTTTTGAGTGGCCTGATCCAATGGGGTCTTCACATCTTTGATGTCACCAAATGGGATGAAAGCCGCGTGCAGTATATTCTCGGTTACTTCCTCGGCTAATCCTCCCACGTACAGCGTGTTCTTCTGCACTGCCTGATTCATCATTCTCTTTCCACTAATTCCCTTTTCTTCTTCAGCTTTTAATGGAGTCCGATGAAGGATTTTCTGGGGCTATATTATTTGTTGAGTTGGCTCGAAATTTTATTTATATATTTACTTTTTGTTTTGTGGAAGAAGGGATTTTTAAAATTTTCCAAACTACAATCTGAATTGGAAAGTCGGTGAAAATTATTTAAAAAAAAAAAAAATTCTTTCAGAAGGGATAATCATATTTAAAATTAAAAGAAAATTAAATCAACCATACCTTTCAGCAATAAATTACAAGAATTGAGCTACACAATCCGATAATTGAATTATTGAGCTATAATTCGATGATTGATTATTACAGTCTGGATTGAGTAGTAAATTACAGGGATTGAGCTATAATCCGATGATTGAGTTGTTGCAAACTGCCATAACGATTTCTCAACCCAGCAAGGAAAATTATAGAATCACTTCCTCTAGTTTTATTTGTTTTAAATCGGGTCTAATCAATGAAACAGTACGGAAACTTCTAGAAGCATGGTTCAGATCAAGATGCACACCGATTTGAAGATTATTGGAACATTCAACCCAAAAAAGAAAGAAAAGACATTGGACATTGGAACAAGTTTAAGTAGGCCTGCTTAAGAGGTCCAAAAACTAGATTAGAGAGGGCTCATACAAATTCAGAATCTTGCACCAATCTTTCGTCGTGATCTTGGTAAATAAATATTGCTGCTGTTGTAAGTGCAGCTCGGATGAGTCGAAAAGCTCAACCCCGAAAAATGGGATTAATTATCTATAAAATTCTATAACTCAATCTGTTACAAAAAAAAAAAAAAAAAAAAAAACCCAAGACAAAAACTTTTTTTTGAGTTTGAAGGAGGATCCAATTTGTGTCACTTCTTCCGCCAGTACAAGAAGCCAACCACCATAGATACACCCAAAGCAGCTACTGGATAAATCCAGTATTGCTTTGTGAACTCTTCAATCTTCTTGGGAAGTTCAGAAGCTTGTTTCTTTGAAAATATTTTCATTCTGGGAATGGCTTGCGAAGATTGGTCAATCTCCCGATGCAGAATTTCTCCATGAGTTCCCTTGCGCTTTTGCTATGCCCAGCATCCTCAAACTCATCAGTGGCGTCTTTTCCTACAAGAATAACATTACAATCATACATCAAGAGCACGTTTCAAAAGCGGCAGGCATCACTTGTTATCACATTCTACCATTTCCTACAATCAAACGAAAGCTTTGAAAGAAGAAATGAAAAGAGCAGGTTCACAGTCCCATACCAGTTGCCGTCAATAAAACATCATCTCCGCCAGGATGTTCATCTAGATATGCCGAGACATCATAGACCTGGCAGCGAAAATAACAGCAAATTGACATCAGATCATAAAAGAAGACAGTCTCAAAAGAATATAAGCAAAGCTGTAATACATAATATCATAGCTACTTCTATCTTAATCCGGTTCAAATTGGAAATGAAAAAGTACAGTTTCTATCACAAGAAGAGCTGCATACATGAATATGAGGTGCTGCCAGCATTACATTTACTATGGATCTTAGGATATTAGGTTCTAAAGCTATTTAATCAACAACTAACCCAGTGTCTGGATTCAAGTAACAGCATAGCTAAACCAATTAGCAGTTGCAGAGTCCAAAATCAACTTAGGCTTGCACTCAGCTATCAGAGAATTCACTATGGAAAAGCCAACTGAAGAAAATACAAAAGTAGGAACTCAAAGTCCACATTTAAAAGCAATTAACAAACCACAAAAGTATACAGGCATTAGAGTATAGACTAAGCAACAGATCAAGCCTTCTCTACGCTGCTGTAGATCTTATCAGCAATCACTATATCAAGGGGATTAACAGCCTATGTGCAATACATATCCTCATTCGAAATAACTTTACAACGGAAAATTCATCTTCATAATGTGGATGAAAACTGCGGATGAGTTTTCAGACATATCATTCTCCGGTTACAAATTAAAAATGGGAGAACGGGATCTAGCGAGAACAAGAAGATAAATGAAATGCGTTTCCTAAATAACATAAACCAAAACTCCTAAACACTCAAAAAGCTGTTCATTCACATTACACTCCCTCCTTTAGGCAGATGACCCTTAAGGCGATGATGTTGAATTGCACGTACAATGACTCCTCTAAAAGTGATTAGCAAACTAGATTCTCAGAGTCCGAAGTTACCTTCACCAAAGATGATGATAACAAATAGAAACAGCCATTAAAGCAAATATTTGGCATCAATAAAATGGCATCCACGAAAAAAGAAAGAAAAAGTGTTCACGGTTCTCTGAGTCATATAATCAAGCAGAAGACGCTCCCCAGAAAAAGTGTAAATCGCAAACTATTCTACTAGATCAATAAACCAAATACGGAAAACCCAAAAACAATATAATAAACCACAAAAAAAAGAATTCCATACTACATAAAATTCACTGCGTTGATACTATGCATTAACAATTACGGAGAGTGTAAATACAAGAAAAAATTTACCTTGCCATCAATAACAACCCAGCAATCCTCCTTGGTATTGTGCAGAGCAGCTTCTTCCATGGTGTAAATCTCTGACAAAGTTGCCATCTTTATCTTCTTTTTCCCTCTTTTCTCCTGATGGGTTTAACCTGGGAGAGAAGAAGGGCTTTTGGCAGTTTGGCTTACCGTTGTTGTATTTTGACGCAGTTCAACAAATTCGTCAATCGTTTTCGTCGACAAGGGGTAACAAAAATCTTAAGAAATCGTGCCGCTTCTCCCAACGCTTTTAACCTGGGTGCGGAAGAAAGACAACTGTCTAAAATGTTCTCAAATCGTAACTCTAAGAAACGACTTTGACCATTAAGAAGAAAAAAAAAAAAAAAAAAAAAAGGAAAAAGAAAAGAAAGAAAAATTTTTTAAAACGTCTCCTCCTTCCTCCATTAATCGGACCTCCGGCATCCTTTCCCCTCCGGCTTCTCGGACGCACCGCCGCCTCCGGTCGAAATTGAGTCTACTCTCTAATGTTATGATTTCAAATGGCATCCAATACGAAGTCTTTCAATCCCAACAAGCATCTTAAAGAACAGTTACTCTTTCTTCTCATATCGTTGTTGAATTGAATTATGTATGGGGTTCGTTTTTGGTGTTGTTTTAAATGTATTACTTTTATGTGGGAACAGATTTGTGAGCAATTTAAATGGTTCTTCCAAGCTTGAGCTCTTCCTTGTCATGGTTATACTCATTGTAAGAATATATCGTTCCTCTCTTTTTTTTGGCCTTTTTTTGTTTGGATCATTCAAATTCATTCCTTTGAAATTTGATAATGTTTCAATCTCTTTGCACAATGTCGGTCCATCTTGATCTTTGTTGTGTTAATTTCAGGGTTCAGTACTCATACGACGTGCAATTGGCAGCAGGAATATATTTGGTACATTATACTACTCATTTTGTGTTATTATGACTTATTAAGGAATTCTTCATAACTGTGTCAACTGAATAATTTACTTGCTGACTCGTGTATAACTGTATATTTTGTTTTGGGAAAATCTCATCTTATCTGTCTGCGCTCTGTCTTGGAATGGTTTTGCCTTATTGGAATAATTTAGAGGTGCAACCTACCATCAGTGCAACCATTTTTTATATGTAAGGATCTTTTTTGTTTCCCAGGTTTCAGCGCCTCAGAAGGCTTCTCAAAGAAAAATGATGGTGAAATTGTCAGAAACAAGAGCTTATGGGCGTATATTTCTACAATGACTGTAGATTATCTCTTCATTCTTGTTCCATTTGTTTCTTTTCTAACAGTAAGTGACAAGATTCCCTTTTTGTTTTCATTGTCTTGTATATGGAACGAAGGAATGTTGTCTTGAATGCGGAACGATGGCATGTTAGCATGACAGCATTTATAATTGTTACTTCAACTTTAGAAAAAACTTTTATCTTATAATCTTACTCTTTTGGAAAATAGGCTTTCTTTTGTTGGTTTGCAAGGTTGCATGGTTCACATGAAGTTTGAGATTGTGAGACGTTTGTGGCACTGGTTTATTTGATCTATAAGGTTTAAATTTTAGATTTAGACTCCTGATCTTTGATAACTGCCTGTGATAGGTTTTGTCTGGTTGGATATATCTGAATGCTACCTTGGTGATATTCTTCCTGCTTGTCCTTTTCTCAGTTAGAAGGTGAGTTCATATTCCTCGAGCATCTTTTGTTGTGGCATCTACAGTTATATTACATACGAGCAGCAACTAAACATTTATCATTCATCTGTGAAAGTTTGCATTTGCATGAGTAGCAGTTGATTGGTTTCTGGGATTGTTATTTGTTATGAAAATGTATTAATCTTCAATGTAGAATTGGATCTTTATTTCTTCAGGAAGATGGTGTGATTTCTTTTAGGAGACATGTTACATCATACAGGGTACTTATGGTAGGCACCAACATGTTCCTTTGCTATGAGTTTTTTTCTTGATTTAATGATTTACAAAATTTTCGGCACTATTATAATACCTGCAGTCTTTCAGATGCTCGCCACATGTGTGTGTATTTTGGCTGTTGACTTCAAGATCTTTCCTAGAAGATACGCTAAAACTGAGACATATGGCTTTAGCTTGGTGAGATTCAATTCTCTAAAATGGCATCAGATATTTAGCTTGGTGAAACCTGCCTAATATGTTTGAAGATCCTATCTGATTAGTGTCCTTGCCTTCCTTTTCTGTGTTATATCAGATGGATCTCGGGGTGGGATCTTTTGTTTTAGCAAATTCCTTGGTTTCCCGACAGGCACGAGACAATTCCATCACGTGAGTGGTTCTGTTTCCTTCAGTTTATGGATGCTTCCCTCTTTGTTAGTGACATACATGGTTTACCCAGTAAGAGAATAAGCATTGAGATACTTTAGTTGTTAAAAAATGAGTCTTGTATTCAAAACATTATGAGAATTTGAATGCATAGGAGTCTTGTGGTTTTGATATTATTTGAGTCAGTTATTCTCCTGTTTCATCGCCATTGTTTGAATTGTAGTTGTAACCTAATCATATAGTAAAGGTCTATCCTACTTCCTGATCCTAACTTCAAACATGATCTAATTCTAATTGATCTTTCGCCAAAATGATGTCTTAACTCTGACAGAATCTCTTCTACCTAATATCCAAACCCTGTAGAGACCTTTGAAAATGTTGGGTTACTTCTACGACCGGCAAAAAAGCACTAGTCTGCAGTAATTAACATAGAACCTTTTTTTGCAGTAACTGTATTCTTTTTATTTGTCCCTGTGATTCTACTTTAGAAAAAATGAGAGCCTTCCACCTTGCACATATTCTGGAGTCCTTGAAACATATGTTTCTAGAAGAAAGTCACGAAATGCTTGACTCCTTGAAATGTATGTTTCTAGCAGAAAGTCTTGAAATGCCTTTGAAATTTTGTTTATGCTTGGAAATGACATTCGGTTGTGATATATAGGTTTTGGGAGTTGATTAAAATATATGGGTTTATTTATACATGTATATACATTATACTCTGGGATATACGAATGCCTCTGTAAGAGTTACTGCTCAGTGAGTACTGTAGTTTTTAATATGATGCTACATCTCACTCTGTATGTTGCTGAAAATTCTGTGTTTCAGGACATTGAGAAATGTTGCCTACTCCTGCAGTCCTCTAATTCTTCTTGGGTTTGCGAGACTTATTTTTACATCTGGTGTTGATTATCAGGTGGACTAATTTTTCCTGTACCTTTATGCACCATGGTAGATGTAAACTGTTAGCTTATCTGTGTGAAACATCAGATTAAAAATTGGATGCTTAACATATGGTCGGATGAGATATCCATTTTTTACTTTATTCTTCTCCTCTTATTTTACTGGTCGTCGTTGATATTTAAATGATGAATGAAGACCGTTCACTTCTTCCCGCAGGTTCATGTTGGAGAATATGGGGTGCACTGGAATTTCTTTTTCACACTTGCTGGTGTGGCAATTCTTACATCAATAATTAACGTCCCTTCAAGATACTGTGGTCTTTTGGGTTTCTCTGTTTTAGCAGGTAACCTTTCTTGTTTCTGTCTTCCATATCTTTCTATAGTGGTACTCAGGATGCGTTGTTATTGTTACCTGTTGTGGAATTATCTTGTCCATAGAATTATCATTACTCTTGTGCTGTTTCAGGATATCAATTCTGTTTGTCGCGGGGGCTGAATAAGTTTTTGCTCTCTGATGAAAGGGGAACAGACGTTATTACCCAAAACAAGGAAGGAATATTCAGTATGTTTGGTAAGCCACTGAAACAATTTTATATTTTGTCATCACTTTTCCCATGCCCCCAACTGCCTTTCCATTTTTGGGTGCTACGAAATTTGTTGGGGTGGGAATGGAATGTTCAACTTCTTTTTACTGTCCAATGGTGCACATTTTTGTTTTTCTTCTTTCTTTAAAATGCTTGTACAGAGAATATTTCTGTCTGTGTAGGTAATCTTTTGTTCCAAATTTAACATTGTGTGCAGATGTCTTTAAGAAAAATGTGATTGTTCTTATTTTTATTTATTACCTGACAGAATTTTGTCAGGTAACAGAAAATTATGGTTAAAGTAATTGGTTTGATTCTTTTTCAGGATATTGGGGCTTGTATCTTATTGGAGTTCAGTTGGGCAATTATTTTTTGTTTGGAAAACATTCAACTGTTGCATCTAGAAGCAGTAACTGGGCAAGGATCAGAGTCTGGATTCTTTGTCTTCTATTCTGGTATAGTTCATACAATCATCATACATTGTAGTAGAGTGATGATGATATGACTACGTTTCATGGTTCTGATTACTGGGAAGTTTCTGGCCCTCTTAATGTTGCAGGTCACTGACTTTATTTTTAGATCAGTATGTCGAGAGGGTCTCCCGCAGAATGGTAAGGATCTAGTCGGCTACAAAAATATTAGATTTCATATATTGGTAGTGATGCACATCTGTTACCCTTTGGAGAACCTTTTTTATAACCGTTGACTTTAAAAATGTTCTGCAGTGCAATCTGGCCTATGTTGCTTTGGTTTTGGCTATAAATTTACAGGTAAAACTTGATCTTGGTAGAAATTTCTACGATGAAATCTGTTTCAACGCATGGATGGCATTTGATATTAGTCTTCACCTATTTCAGGTCTTAGCCATGTTGACACTATCAGACTTAATACCAGGAAGTAGAATATCCTTGTTGGAAGAAGCGTTTAATCAGAATCTTCTGGCATCCTTTCTTCTGGTACGGAAGGTTATATGTTCTTTTATTTCTTTTTTTCCCCGAAGAAGCTTTCGCTCTCTGTCCATGCAATATCTGGAATGAGTCGCACTCAAACTCTTGTATGTTTGCAGGCAAATGTGTTGACAGGGCTAGTCAATTTGTCCGTCAACACTCTCTTTGTTTCCTCGACCACTGCCCTGGCTATTCTGCTCGCTTATGCCTTTATTTTATGTGCATCTGTTGGATGTGCATACTTCTACGGCTTGAAATTGAAATTTTGGTAGAGAATTTATTTTTTCAGGTATAACCCAGAATGAATTGTTATCTCTGTAAGTAGTGAGACTTTGATGTGATTGAAGTAATGAACTTTAGATTTTAGTTTTAGAAACTTGTGGTGATACAGCTTGTGTGTAATTCCAAACTGAGGGGGAAGAGACACTATGATTATGCAGAGGATTCATCATTCAATTGTATGTATTCTGTCGGTTTCAGAAAAATAGTATCGTAATCTTTATGTGTAGGCGACAAATGACTCTCATCATGACGAAGGAAGTAGATTTATTGAAATCGTCATTGTTAACCCACGAATTAAATTATGAGCTAATTCGTTTTTTTAGACCAAATGATCAAATATCGTTATGGTATAGTTTAGCATATAATAGGATGCGATATAATAGCTTAAGTATTCTTCCTAATTAATACAGATACCATTCTTTAAAAAAAAAAAAATGTTATGGTATAGTTTCTAGCTTCACTTATCAAAGAAATTAAAAACATCACACTCGTAAAAAGGTCTGCAACCTTTCGTCTCTTAAAAGCCGGTTCCAACTTCCGTTCTAAGGTTTTGCTGGATATGAATTCGTCCACCAATCTATCCGTTGAAGAAATCACACGAGGTATATATTTTTCGCTTTTCAAACTCCAAATATTCTCTTTAATTTTCATCAATAGCTTAGGCGTTGTCGGCGCGATTTGTAAAGTGTTTTGATCGGCTCCACAGGCGTATCGACTCTTCATCTCGGCAGCGAAAGCTCCGGTGTTGCAATCAATGGATCGCCGGTGACTGGGAACGAATCAGCGGGGAAGCAAAACTCTTGTCCAGCATCGTTGAATTTCCCAGCCGGCAACACTGGTCCCTCCGGGATGCCGTTGACCGATGATTACATCATGGCTGTATTGAGTGACGACGTCATGGCTGTATTGAATGGGAACACGGTCCTACCTCCCAAATCTTTTTAATTACCCTGCATTAGCGTAGTCGAACTTTCCAATCCTTAATAATTAGTACTCCCTCGTGTCCTTATTATAAGGCATTTTGATAATATATTATACATTTTTAATGGACAAAAATAATTTTAAAAATATTTCATAATAATCAAAAAAACGTAACGAATGTGAAAATATAGTTTTAAGGTTTTTTTGTCAATTAAAAATATGTATTATGTGAAATTTAAAAAAAAAAAAAGAAAGTCAAAATGCCTGATAATAAGGACGGGATGGAGTATATTATTGTATGTTTTTTACTGCGTTGATTTTCATTATTTGATGATGCGAATAATCAACTGAATAATGATTTGCTTTGCCATTGTTGCTTTCACTCGGCATTGATCAAGTCTATGGTAATGGTACTAGTACTTGTTTTTGGTTTGATTTTTTGTTATTAACAGGGCAAATTTAAATCCGTTGCAAAATTTACTTACGATTGGAGTGTTAATTTGATCTCTCGATAACAGCACCCCAAATGCTGTACCTCGAATTTTAAGTCCATCTCAGACGACGAGCACGCGGCTGCAAAGTCGTCGCCGTTTTTAATGGACAAGCAAATGTGAAGGTTGAATTTTTATACTACAACATTTTTCTCTCAATCTCAACTTTGAGTTGAGATCAAACTAGCAAGTTGGAGTTTGGAGCGGTATTAAGTGAGAGTTTGGAGTTTAGACTTTAGACCACTCCACCCAAGTTGGAAAATAAAGAAAATGTAGTCAACACTTGATCACAAGTCTTTGCTTCACAAATTGCACAACCAAAGTCTTTTTTTTCTCCTATTGAAAATTGAGAACCGATAACTCCTTCCATCCCGAAATTATTGTCTAATTTGAATTTTTCATTACTAATATTGTAATGAAAATGAAAATATATAAACTAGACAATCATTTTGGAACCAAGTGAGTATGAACTAAGAAACCGGTAAGGGTAATTATGCTCATTGAGTTTTACTCTAATTACTCGCGCAAAACATAAATTTTTTTTTTTTAAAAAAAAGAAATAAATCGGGAAAAGGGGGGTGCAGAAAAAAGGGAAAATCAGGCGGTGGAAGCACATTGTGGCATGTGATAACCAGGCAATAATTTGGGATGAATGTGACAAGTGTTTTATCTGTATTGCATTTGCATGCAGACCGGATCATTGTGGGAATTAAGTAAAAGGCTTTGGACTTATTCCTTCGTCCCCCGTTAATAGTATTATTTTTTAATTTAAAAAAATAAATCGTTGAATTTGGAGTGTAAAGTATTAAATTCCCGATTTTTTATTTTTTATTTTTATAAAAAAGTTATTACTATTACTTGTACCAATGATTAGAACTTAGCAGTGTGTATATATATATATATATATATATATATATATATATATATATAGGGGATGGAATTTGCTGTCAAACCACGTTGTTTGTATTCCTTCATCGTGTTTTGCTGTCATCCAACATGTTCACGACTTAGTGGTACTTGTGTTCTATTTATTTTCTTCTATTACTCCCAATTATTTTTATTAATCTTCCCCTTTTGTAAATTACTCCACAATAGCATATTACATATACAATCAAGGGGTCAGTCAACTCATGTTTACATCACTTTTGTACAAGTTGTCGGAGATTTACAGTATATTGTTGATGATGAAACTGGCGTGCCCCGAAATCGTCCTCCCCTAGTATTTTATAAGTTTTGGTGGAGGGATATTTTTTTATTTAAAAAAAAAAAGAAAAAGAAAAACAAAGTTGTTGTTGCTGAGTTTGTATAAAACTCACAAATTGTTTAGGCAACTATCCATTAATCTTATTTTTTGAAAAACTCCATTAATCTGATTACGTAATACTTTCTCTGTTCCAAAATTAGTGTCCAGTTTTGATTTTTAACTTTAGTTTAATTTGTACTAAAATTGAAAATCCAATTTGGACAATAATTTCGAAACGGAGGGAATATCAAACTTGTTCATACGCTTCAAAGAGCTTTCATGCTTTTCAAATGAAATGAACTTAAGCTGAGGTTCGATCAGGAAGGAATAAGCAACTTATTGGAAGACTTTAAAAAAATTTAAATGTCAATTCTATTTGGTTAAAAACAACTAACATTAATTTGTCTTGAGACCAGCGTGGAAGCTTTTTATATTACGTCGTCTGCACTGTTAAAATAGTGAATTGAAGGCTGCTAAATTTCATTGACTTATGGTCACCCATCTTAATCCAATACCATCCATGCCTAGTGGTCGATTTGTATCTAGGTTAAGACCATATTATAGTGTTATGCACTTGTCTTAAAATTACAGAATAATTATTTTAAAACAGAAAAAATACGTGATAATTGGGCGTGGTTAAGTTGCTCTTGTATTGAAATGACATAGTAGTTGGTTGAAAAAAAAAAAAAAAAAAGACATAGTAAGGGAAATAATGAATAAGCAATCTGTGTTTTAGGGGGCGAAAAATTTTGATTAATTTTGTACTACTAAATTACAATGAGAAAGAGAATATTCCAAGTACCATGAATAACTATGCTGCCGATGGCAGCCGGACCAATAAAAGATAGCCAATAAATATATGAGATTTTCTATTTTTCCCGTTAAGCTATACTCAGATTTTGTCAGAGAAAAATTAAACTTGTTCAATGAACAAGGAACATGAATAGACTTAATACTAGTAGTATAATTAAGTCAACAAAAATTTAGTTGTAAATGTTAAACTGAAACAAACAATCTTAATAAAAGGAACATGAATGGCATTTAACAGTAAGAATTATTCAAGATTGAATTCACTTGACCGTCATTAATCTGTTTCTCTATTTTTGCTGATATTTGAATATTTTTCCTATATACCATTACCTACCACTCAAAATACATTCACCATTGAGCTACATATTTAGAGAACAGTCAAAAAAAAAAAAAAACTGACATTATTATGATTAAATACTTCTCTTTACTTGTGTAATTAAATAAATAAAAATATAATTTTTTTTGAAATATTTGATAAATCGAACTTCTTATATTGAGACAAAAAGAAGTACAAAATGAGAACTCCCTTTAATTTTTTTCTCTCCGTGTGAATGATATAAATCACTGACTTTTCTTTTTTGGAAAATAGAAACGGGCCAGATGGGAACTTTGTTCATGTCGTTATATTGGAAACAAATGTGGACAGATGTTAATAACAAATCAAACACCCAAAATTAAAAATACTCCCTCCGTCCCATAATTATTGTCCACTTTACTCAAAAAAATTTTGTCCCAAAATTATTGTCCAATTTGACTTTTTATGGATCAAGTTACACATTTGTCCTTAGTAAAAAACATTATCCATAAAATTTTAGTGGTTAAATAATTACTTATGTAAGGATATATCCGGTTGTTTAAGGTAAAATATAGTTAAATTTGACCAAAAATAAAATCTTTTATTTTAGTAAAACTGGACAATAATTATAGGACAGAGGGAATACTTATTTGGAAAAAAATAAAAGACATTTAATTTTCACTATTTACTACCCCCATTGACTAGCAGATTCTGCCTATTTCTTTATTGACTATATTTCCGCGAAAACACCTAAAATTGAGGAGAGAAATTTGGTCTATAAATTCACTCAAAACTCTCATTCTCCTCCTCCTCTTCAACTCACAACTCCTCCTTCTTCTCCTTCTTCTTATTCCCTGCTTTTGAGTTCTGATCTCAAATCCTCTCTCCTCTGTTAACAATGGCAGGAGTAGCCCCAACCCCATTGCTGAAAGATGAGCTTGACATCGTTATCCCAACCATTAGAAACCTTGATTTCTTGGAGATGTGGAGGCCATTCTTCCAGCCTTACCATCTGATTATTGTTCAAGATGGTGATCCTTCCAAGACCATTAAGGTCCCTGAAGGGTTTGATTATGAGCTGTATAACAGGAACGATATCAACAGAATTCTGGGTCCTAAGGCTTCTTGCATCTCCTTCAAGGACTCTGCTTGCCGGTGCTTTGGCTATATGGTGTCTAAGAAGAAGTACGTCTTCACCATTGATGACGATTGCTTTGTAAGTGTTTTATATTCTTTTTTTTTTTTTTTGAACGTTTACGCCTTTTTTTTTTTTTGGTTTTCTATTTCAGACTATTTTTAATTTGGCTTTGAATCAGAGTGCCTTTGAATTTGTGAAAAAATTGGATCTTGATGTGTTTGGGGGCTTTGTTTCTGAAAATCCCTTTTGGTTGTTGTGGTTTTGTTTGAGAGATTTGGATTTTTATTTTCTGGGTTTGAATTCCGCTGATTTGTTGTCACTAGTCGTCGATTGCCCTTGAACAAGATTGAATTTTGGAACTTGATTTGATAATCTTTTCTCGATCATTGTATACTTTTTTGATCTGCTGTGAAATCAGTGTCGGTTTATTAGAGATTAACAGAATGGTCTTGATGTCCATACCTAGACCGTTCCTAGACATTGAATTTGCAACTTGGACAGTCCTCTGTACATTCTGTATTCTGTTATGTATTCACTGACTCTAGAAATAATGTGGTTTGCTAAAACGAAAAAGATTGAATATTTGTCATTAGATCTGGTTGAGGTTTTTAAATTCTTATTTTTGTTTGTACGCAGATCCTTAAAGAAAAGTATCATTACCTGATAATAAATTTGAACTGCCTTTTTAGACTGCACAATGAAATAATTAGTCGCCGGATCTATATTCCATGGTATCACACTGTGGTCCCATGGTGCAATGATGAAACTCCCTTGCATTTGGCTTTTTTAATGTAACTTTCCCTAGTGACTTATCACAAACAGAACAGCTTACCAAGCCAAATTGCTTAATGACTTTTGAATTTTAGTGTTGGCTGTTTAATTTTGTTAATCTGCAAACTTACTGCATCAAGAACTGTTTAAAGTCATTGGTATAGTTTGATTGTTATTAGATACATGTTTTGGTAATCCAAATCTATGCTTTTTTTCTCCTTTTTTCTTATAGCTCTATGTTTGTCTTGACCCCCTTTGATGAAATGTGCAGGTTGCTAAAGACCCATCCGGCAAAGAGATCAATGCCCTTAAGCAGCACATTGAAAACCTTTTGAGTCCTTCTACTCCCTATTTCTTCAATACTCTCTATGATCCTTACAGAGAGGGTGCAGACTTCGTCCGTGGCTACCCGTTCAGTCTCCGTGAGGGAGCTCCAACTGCTGTTTCTCATGGCCTCTGGCTTAACATCCCTGATTATGATGCCCCCACCCAGCTTGTTAAGCCACGTGAAAGAAATACTAGGCATGATTCTCACTATTGACGGTCCTTAAAAGTCTATACTAAATGTTGTATGTGATTATGTTTCCTAATTCATGAGTTCTGCATTTCAGGTATGTTGATGCAGTCATGACAATTCCGAAGGGTACTCTATTTCCCATGTGCGGTATGAATTTGGCATTCGACCGTGAGCTCATTGGACCAGCAATGTACTTTGGGCTCATGGGTGATGGCCAACCTATTGGACGCTACGACGATATGTGGGCTGGATGGTGTACCAAGGTACCAATTGTCTTGCCTTCTGGCAAATATAATTGATAGCTACTTTTTCTCTTGTATGCCATCCAAGCTTGATTTATAAGATGGATTGTAAGATAGCACGTTTAGTTCATAACTCTAGATAATAGCCCGTGCAAGATCGGACGCCTTCGGTGTTCTTTACAAATTAGGGCATGAGCTGACATCAAGTAATCCAATTTGCAGGTTATTTGTGACCATTTGGGCTTAGGCATCAAGACTGGTCTGCCATACATCTGGCACAGCAAGGCAAGCAACCCTTTTGTGAACTTGAAGAAAGAGTACAAGGGTATCTACTGGCAGGAAGAGATCATCCCATTCTTCCAACAAGTTGTGCTGCCAAAGGAATGTACAACCGTGCAGCAATGCTACCTCGAACTTTCCAAGCAGGTAAAGGCGAAACTTTCAGGTGTTGATCCTTATTTCACCAAGTTGGCAGATGCCATGGTGACCTGGATTGAAGCCTGGGATGAGCTCAACCCGTCTGGAGCTGCTGCTGCTGCTGCTCCAGCTAAGCCCAACAATGGCAAAGCTTAAATCAGTGACTCACTTTGGTTCCATTGACCAGATGAGTTGGACAGCATTTTAGTTCCCTTTTTCTTCTTCCTTTTAAAAGTAGTTGGATTTTGACATTGTTGAGATTGCTACTTTGACGCGGCATTGGTAGACTTTGTAGTTGTCGCTTTGTTTAATTTTCTATAGTTACATACTTAGATGATGTGACATTCCTATCTATTGTTATTTTATTTATTTAATAGAATTTGAAGTTTCAGAGCCAATTATTTCACGTCTTATTCAACCAATTTTCTTGCCAAATGGTCATGGTTTTCATTTTTCCCTATCAGTTCATAATGATTTGCATATTCAATCGCGTTCACAATTGTAGACAAAATGTCAAAAAGTTGTATCTTTCAAATGAGAGGATAGTTCGAATATAATGCGTTTTAATTTGGGTGATTTTGATGATTTTGTTCTTTTATTACAATTATAACTATAACTATAATATTCCCGTGTCTTATTTACTGCTACATTTTATAATTTTTTTATTTCATCTTTTTCATTGTCGTTATCATTAATCTTAATCCAACTGCTTTATTTATCTTGTTATTGAAACTTGATAAAAATCCATTTCTTCTTTTTTCTTTTTTCCTTTTTGCCCTTTTCTTTCTGTTTGATGTAAAATCCATCGTTCCTTGATATACCAGACAGGTGGTTTTCGAAGAGATCTATTCGGGAAGTAAACTGCAAACAAGATTGTGTTGATCAGAAAAAGGCTTAAAAGAAACACATGATAAAGATAGCTAAAAGCATCTGTGGGTGATAGCTACAGCTTTTAACACATGTTAATGCTAGTGTAAATGAATCACTTTTTTCTTTTTTTTTTTTTTAAATGAATCATATTTCTTTTCAAACAAAAAAAAAAATCTCATTTAATAAGGAGAAGTCAACAAAGGAGAAGTAGATTGGGATTAACCACTACCAGTTTGTGACTCCAACTCTTATTTAATATTATCATTTTGAGTCAGAAAAAATAGCATATTAAATTACACAAGTGTGGATATCACACCGAGTTAATTTCAAATCATTTCCTTTTCCTATAAATAATTTGTACGAGTACGACTGTGCAAAATTACATATTCGCAAATTTAGCTGGAAAGCTCTTAAGTCGTCTTGTATTTTACATTTGCACTCAAAGCTTCTGAAGAAGCCCTTCTAGGGTTAATGTAAACTAGCAAGTGACCTCCGTTGCTCGCTATAGCCAACCCTGAGTTTGAACTATCGCTGGCAATGCATGAGACGCCGGATCCTGGTAGAAGAAAACAGGATGATTACATGGGTTAGGAATGAATTAAAAAGGTGAACAAAAACTAAGTTTGAAGATTTGGTCCATAAAAGCATGAAATACCTTTTAAATGATGGAGATCGCCAAGTTTCATTCCCGTAGCTAACTCCCACATGTAAACTAGCCCATCGGATCTTCCAATAACTCCATGACCAGCTGATGCACCCACGGCAGCAGCACTGAATAAAACAATACAACGATGATTTTAAACCTTGAAAACGACGAACCAAAACTTTGATGCTCCATTATCAGATTGCTTTTGCTGAGGATCTAATGATATACTATGTACTAACTGATGTTTCTGTATTGGGTTTATATGTTCTTCAGTACTTAACATTCTACCAGCAGAAGTATTAATTTCAAATTCATCGCAGGGAAAAGGATGAGGATCTTAGACCCACGAAATTACCTGATGTCCAAAGGTCTTCCCATAACCACCATGCCTTCAACTAACAGAGCAAGCCTCCAACATCCAACTTCATTCATCTGTGCCCCCCATGATTCGAAGGGATCATCAAACTCAGTATTTGGGACAGTTGAAATTAGAAGCCAGACAGCCCCATCCTCATTATCTACTGGGTGTGTAAGGTGGTTTACATTGCTTCCTGAAAGCCGAACTTTTGTAGCACCCAAGACATCAGTCAAAAGCTCATCCTGGGTATATTCAGTAGGGAAACTCCCTTTTTTTGGCCAGTCAAACAAACAAACTGGAACACATTTACTGATTGGCATGCTTGGAGCAGAGAATCTTGACACAAGAATACGTTTCTCAATATTCCTAAGCACAGAAAGAGAAAACCTAATTATTAGATTATAATCAAGCTTAGGTCCTGAACGTAGACATCTATGTGTAGTGTTATGTTGGCAACACAACTCTTACTCTGGCTTTGTTTCATCATATGGATATGCCAATCACAAAGTTTATTACCAAGTCCAGCTTATAAATGGTACAAAGCATTAAAAATCCGACATCTTTTTTTTTTTTTTTCCTTTTACGTACATTATTGTTACCCTAAAAATTTGTTTGCTATAAATGTCATCCAAGAAACCTGATGAAGTAAAAACATAGAACCTGATAACATTTATAATGATGTGAGACTAAATCACATAAATACTAAAGATGATAGGCATTTAGATAACATTTATTGGGACACGTTTAACAGAAAAGTTGCCATACCATAAGCTAAATTCGCCGAATCCATTGTGACCAATTATCAGGACAGGAGACTGGGGAATCTTCTTCAGCTCCACTAGGTGAGAAGGCGAATTTTCTGGTAAAGGTAGATAGCATCCTTCTATGTGCGCACTGCATTGATAGGTTTCCATAAAAGAAATAAATGTTAATCAAAAGTGGACTGCAACTTTAAAAATGAAAACTACAAGGATACTGAATACAACTTCTGAAGCCAAAATCTCTGAGGAAATTGTATATTTGTCATCATTACGTGATCCATGCTGATCAATGTCTATCAATGAAAATTTGTTTTCAATTCGAACTATATAGAGCTGTTGCAGTTACTGAATGAGAACAATATTGCAATGGGTGAAACAGACATGACTAGAGTTCATGCATTCACCCATGCGCATATTGATTTAAGTTTAATATATACAGGTCAAAAGCCAAAAGCACTCAATTTTAGTCTTGAAGCTTTATCCCAAGTTAAGGAACAAGGAACATCCAGGAAAAAATAAAAATAAAAATGTTGAAAAGCATTCACCTCCATCTTGAATTCATCATCCACAGACACAGCTTCCCACTATCTTCAGTAGCAACGAGATAATTAGGCTCACAAACCAAAATATAACGTACAGTTTGAGCAGTTTTGAGTTTGCTGACAACTGAAATATAGCCAACTTTAACATGCACAATTTTTATTGCATTCTTCTCAACGTGATCTGAACTACATGCTGGGCAAAGACAATTTGTACTACCCTCCCTGGAAACACACAGGAAATCAGCACAATCAAAGTATTAAACGTATGGAATAATCATGCGGAAGAAATAAAACATAAAAAGAAAAAGCAACCTGCAGCAAGGAACTTTTATACTATTAAGTAAAACAAGAGATTGTCCATCCGGAGAAAATTGTATGGCCGAACTGTCCGCTGCAATCTGTTCAGAAAAAAGGTATCATTTCAAGTAAGCAGAGCAACTATAAAAATTACTGCAGTGAATAAGGTGACATTTATATCCCACCTTGTTTCCAAAAGCATCTTCAGACATTGGAATGTTAACTGATGCATGACCAACAAAGACAGGGCTTCCACTCTTTTCTCCAGTAACTGGAGTGCGGTAGACAAAAAGAGTTTTGTCCTCTTGCGACATAGAGCCAGATACAACACAGATATAGATGTCATTTCTTACCAACCTCAAAAGAACAGAAGAGATTGGCATGGGGTGGACATAGCATACAACAAGCTTGAGAAGATCTGGAAGCAAACTTTCATGCTTCAGATTTCGATTACTGTCCGCAGTTGATTTGACTTCCCCTTCCTTTTTCTCATGTATGTTATCAAAGCAGTTTGATTTTTGATTCAGAGAATCGGATTCAGGCACGACAAGATCAAGATGATCATGGTTACCATCTTCAGGTTCCTTTCCAGAACATAAAGAATTCTTGCTAGAGTTAGTGAACTTATTCTCTTCATTGCAAAAGGTGGAACCAAAAGAAGGTTTGGGCACTAAATTGTAACCCCCTTGAGGTCCTTTCAACAAACTACGATCTGTTGAGCAAGAGATATTTGACTTGTCTACTTCCACATCAACCGTGTCACTTAGACATGTTTCAGGAAAAACAAAATTTTGTTCATCTGCTGCTGCATCAGGTAGGTGTGGCTTACTATTTACATGACTCCCATCGTCATAATCATCAAAGCTATCTGGGACAACTGATTTGATCTGACTACAGCTATCACGATTCATATGAGAAATCTGTGTATTCTTGTTCTGGTCCCAAACAGGATCTTTTTCAAATGCTTTGGCTGCTCATGTGACACAAATACCCACAAGGAAGAAAGAAAATTTAGTTAGTAAAATACAACTTTTGCACATGGCTACCGGACCTTAAGGGATATCAAAAGATAAGGTTGCAACAATGATACTGAAAAACTGTAAGATAAAGAGGTTATAAAGTACCAGGAGATGGAACTGTCCCAATCTTCATGTTGATGGTGGTTGAGGGGATAGTCACTTCTGAAGCCTTTACATTTTCCTTTTTCTTTTTCCTTCTTGAGAAGGTCTTTAGCAAAGGAATGGCTCGAGGAAGTAGAACTGTCATCATAGATTTTGTTATTTGTTCACCAACTGATAATTCACTCTCATCAAACCCTTGTGAGATAGATGTTCCAATTTCATTTTCTTGTGGAGACTCAGACTCCGTTTCGAAAACAGTGGCACCAACCTCTTTCAGTTTAATTGAGTCTTCAGGTATAACTGATAGTAAAAAGAATGACAAACGTAATCATGATCATTTCCTAAATAAATGAAAGGAAATATTTACTGATGAGCCAAGACATCAAACAGTTCTGCATTGTACTGTGAGTTGAAAAGTTTTGGAAAAACATGATACCTGGAGAGTCATCCAAAGTATCTCGAACGCAAAGTTCACTAAAAGAAACTGTTTTAAGACATGTTCTCTTTTCGTTTTCTTCTTCAGTTACCAAACCATTTGATTGGCATCCTGCTGAAACTGTTGGCTGGTCAAGCTGTTAGAAAATAGGAAAACATACGGCTAAGCTGACTAAGAATCAAATAAGATGGTATAAGACAAAGTAAGATGCTGTCAACCAACTTACCATATCTTGCTTCTTAAGCGAGTAATTGCCTTCCTCAATTCTTGTGGATTTACCACAACTAAGAGGAGATTTTTCTTCTGGAAAACAATCATCATTTTTAAGGTGATCTGGTGCATAGAAAGATTTTGATTGTAAACCATCTCTATCTGAAACTTTACGTTCTTGTTCGTCAATCATAGTTTCCGATTTGGCTGGCTTCACGACATCCCTTTCAGAACTGGTAAGCTCGTTATCTTTGTTCTGTGCAGGAAAGAATGTGGAACATTTGTCATTATCTTTCGCTTGACACCTTTTCTTACAACTTGAAGCATCAGTATCAATTTCTCCATTTAGAAGTGAATTTCTTTTGAGATCTTTCATGCCCACTGATGTTGAATTGGTGACAATCTGTTTCCGACTTCTCCTTCCTCTAACTTGGGGTATTTCCGTGGGTTTGATCGAGTCCTTTGCATGAGAGGAATCCTTGCAAACGTCATACTGAAGCATACTGTTTGCTGTATTAGCACCCACATTTGCCACCAACTCCCTGAGTAACCTTTGCACAAAAGCATTTTTGAACCCGAAAAACTGAAAGGCATTACCAAAAAAAAGGTGCCAAAAGAGAAATGAGCTCGGAGCTTAGATTGCTGGGATAGCTATATCAGTTTAAACTTAGAATTTTGGTTACCTCCATCCCATCTATTTTGCATGAGAATCTCTTACCATGCAGGAACTTTATCTGGGAGCAGCTTTTCTTCTGAAAGCTCTCCCATGCAATATCTGGAGTGTGACCAGAACATGAGAGCCCATCAGTAGAACTTATCTGCAAAAGTATGGCAATCGCGTTGTAAACTCAACAGAATGGATAACATATCCATTTCTAAAGCAGCTGAATAGCAGAAATCTACGCACCGTAAAGAGAGGCCCTTTTGGACCTTCAAAAATTTCAATTCTGTATGTAATCCCATTTTGTGTGCGAACTGCATTGAAGTCAACAGGATAAGGATATCGGTCTTTACCCTGTTAAGATAGACAAGTTATGAAGTGAATCTGAAGACTGAATCCTCAAGCTGCACCATGATTATCGCTTATGCAAGTTGAAGCTCCAATTAAGAAATGATTCATCCATCTCAATTATTCTTTTTCTTAAACAAATTTTGTTTCCTGAAAACTCTCGCGTCAAAGAAGACATTTGATGTTAAGTTAAACCTTTTGAATTAAAAAATCATTCATTCATCTACATTTTCTTTTCCTTGTAATTTTTTTTTCCACTTCATCTCTTGCATCAATGAAGTCATTTGATGTCAAGTGAAATCTCCCATACTCTCATTTCCTTCTAGTTGCTTGGGTAGCTTTAAAGTTCTTCTTAGTAAGCAAGAGTCACTCATCCTGACTAGCAAAATGGAATTCATAGCCTGAAATGCACAAACTAAATCTTTCAAACCAGTCCTACATTAATTCCCAAACATTCCATTTCGCTAAAACATTGAACCTTAGAAGGTGAAGAACATAACAAGAAACAGGCAACACTTACCGCTGGATAAAGTTCAAGGATGCAAAAATTCAGCTACCATCAGATTATGATTCATACTTCAATACATACATACATATATATATATATATGAAATAAACAATCTCCATCATCCAAATTCCATATGGATTTTGAAATTTCTATAATCTTAGCTCTTTGTCAATAACATAATAATCTCCGGCACACCCTTCAGCTTTTCCTCTTTACCGTCAATTCTAATTAAAAGTACAAAAAACATTTCCCGAATTTTCAAAGGCAATTTATGAAAATCGGAGAATCTTTCAAACTCATACTCATCCCCATTCTCACAAAAACCATCAGCTAACATTAAAAAAAAAAAAAAAAGGAATTAAATCGTAATCTCCAAGATAATTCGACCACGGAAAACAGAAATTCCAATATCAATTGAACAGTACAAGTTGAGAATAAAATTAATTTGCGAAAATAGGTATACAGAGGGAAAAAAAATAGATGGAAATTAGAAACGAACCCTAGAAGAGCTCCAGTACTTCTTTTCCCAAGGACCGGAGTAAAGCTTCCCGATGCATATGATCTCCAGACCATCCGACTGCTCCTTCGCATTCGGCATCGGTAGAGTACTACACTGCTCCGGCGTTCCGGTAGAATGTGGTCGTGTGCGAGAAAAGGAAAAATGAGAGGCCAAATTGCAGATGGCGGGAATGATGGGAATATTTCACTCTCTTTATGTGTATCTTTGTAATTTCAGCCGGCGCTAAATTTTGAAAAGAATTTGGGAGAAAAGGCATGGAAAAAAGAAAAGATTACGCCGTTGCCGGGGATCGAACCCGGGTCGTCCGCGTGACAGGCGGAAATACTTACCACTATACTACAACGACATCTTGCGTGACAGGCGGAAATACTTACCACTATACTACAACGACATCTTGCTGCCTTGCTTTCGTAATAAACATTTGCATCGTTGACTTAAAAATTGAGCGAAAAAAATTGTTACGCCGTTGCCGGGGATCGAACCCGGGTCGTCCGCGTGACAGGCGGAAATACTTACCACTATACTACAACGACTCTTTGTTGAGTAGGTAATCGCTTTTAGAATTATGTTTTTTAACAAAGAAAAAAGGGATTATACACCATTGCGAAATTAGTTGAGCTAAAATCTAAATGTTTGGTCTGAAGTGATGAGATCGACATATTGCGATCCCTAGTAATAGAAATTCTTCAAGTCAATGTTTTCATTTATTTTGGTTGTTTGATTTTGGAGATTAAGTACCTATAAAAAAGGATGAAGATTAGATGATCACCATACAAATTAAAAGATCTAGTTGAAGGGCAAATAATTACATCTAAACTGATAAGTTGAAAGAATTTCTGCTTCCGTTCTAAAAAAAAAAAAAAAAATGAGTCCTACTGATTGTGGAACCAAAAAAAAAAAAAAACAGGTTTATTCATAACTTATTTACTAAAAGAACTGAGGAAAAAGTAATGTACCCCCCCAAAAAAAAAATTGAATAAAAAATATTGTTGAGTATCTGCCTTACAAAATTAGTAGAAACCTTATTTTTTTACGGGTTAGGACTTAGGAGTCGTGGTTGATCTGTGTTCATGCTTTTGAAAGGTTCGAACTCTTTTCTTCTTTTTTTTTTTTTGTGTAATCCCCCTTAAGAAATGGGAAAAATGAAAAGATTAAAGATAAACTATCAATTCGGCATTGAATGATCAAAAGCGTTGCATCGATGGATCTAGGTTTTCAAAGGGTAGGGAGGAAGATGTGTCCAATCAAAGCTTCCAGAAATACATATGAAAGATGGGGGGAACATAGATCAAATGATTGTGTCCAAATCCATATATCATCAAAGTCATTCACACTGCTGTAAAACCAACAGAAAAAAAAAAAAACGGTACATCTATGCATGCATGCAATATTGCCACACGGATTATTGCTCACTGGGCATTTGGCAAATTTCGAAGAGGCAGAGGCAGAGATATGGGAATCTCGTGGCCATTGGTACAATTTAATTCATTGTAGGCTCCATTCTTTCTTCAGATGTGATGATCATGAATTCTACTACTACTTATGAAAGACTTAATTACAATTTCCATTACTCCAAGTTTTTAACAGAGATTGGCTAGGTTAATCAATTGAATTGTAGATTGTACATAAGCCATGTCTGAATTTACTGTCTATTTTTGATATTCAAACTCTGTTTGCGAAACATTTTAATCATTTTTGTTACACAAACACCCTATACATATCTTGTTCTTAATAGCATCCCACACCACTATGTCCTTTCTAAAATAATATTCTCTCTATTTTATTTAATTAATAGAAAAAACGTAAAAAATTTGAGACAGAATATCTAAAAATTTCGATTACCTAAGTAAAAAAAACAAGTGAAACAAACAGGTTAGGCATCTGGATTGTGAAAAAAAAAAAAAAAAAAAGCTCTAGGAAAAGTCGTTTATACCAACAAAGGAAGCTGTGGAAATCAAGTGGGAAAATTGATAGTTTCCATGTTTGGCAATCTAAAAAGAATAGTCCCATCACGAACTAAAGACACAAAACAAAAACAAACCCTACCTTCCCTCCCACCTTAAATTTCACTAGCTGACTATGACTTGTGATTTCAGCTCTTTGTCTCTTCCAGCTTCCCTTCTTTCCTTTTCACCCCTTTTCACCCCATGCATTAAAAAAAATAAAAAATAAAAAAATCACGTGTACTATCCACTATGATCAGCAGCTGGTGACAGAAGAAAACCTTAAAAGCCTTCTATTCATTCATTAATATTGTTGTACCATTTCCCCCTTACTGCATTAATTCAACAGCTTCTGAAAATTATCTGTACCCGAACTTTGAATATCTTTGGTTGGTTGTCGTACGTTGTTTGGTCGATTGCGATCATGACATTGGAGTAAAGGCGTGTACGAATGCATGCAAAAGTTTATTAATTCATCTTACATTTTGCTCAGTTAATTATGAGCAATAGTAATACGTTTTAGATTTGATGATCAATTAATGTTTTCGGTATTCAAACGCAGTCAACTGCATATATTTTGATGATTTGTATTTTGATCTCATTTGACGCAAGTAAACGCTAGCCATCTCTAACCCATGTTACTTCACATGATTATCTATAAACTTTGACGAGTATGTAATCGTTTATCATCTACACTTTCAAGTACTATGCCTTACGGTTGTTGATATTGAAAAACTGGATAACGACCAATTGAAACATGGGAGTGAACGCTGTTACACAAGCAATATGTGTGTACAACAAACATTATTTAAACTATAAATTAGACCCCCACCAAAGATTAAAATAGTTTCTACAAGAATTTTAATAGATCTATTCAACACAAATTTAAATTAGTTAATCCAATAGTTTCAAACATCAGTTATGCGGAAAAATAATTAAAAAAGAAAAACCGTGTGTGCGATATGTTAAATGAATAAAAGAAAGAAAATGATCTCATGCTCCCTTATTCCACATGGATAGAAGGAAATACTTGAACCCAACATATATACCCCATGTGCTACTCTCCTTATCACTAATTGGTTTTGAAGTGGAACTATATGTGGACTTATATGGCCCTTCAAGACGATACTTTGTTGGAAGGAATGAACATTGAAGAGAATTAACTGAACGTTATACTATATAGCTAGTGATCAATCATGACTAAATTTTATCTTTGCTAGCTCCGAGTGGATTAATATACGGAGTATACAACACAAGCTATACAAAAAGAAAGAGAAGTTGACTAATGAATGAATATATGGGTGTGGATTTGCTTATGTAGTACTAACAAAACATGTGATTAAACCAGACTCATACAAGGAAGACACAAACATAAATTGACACAACTTTTTTCCAATCCTTTTAACTTTTATAATTATTGCCAGATTTTGGGTTCAAACACAAAATCTTTTAGGCCGTGCATCTATTTTGTCTGTTAGTAGTGACGATAGGACCTGTGAGACTCATCAAACTCATCAGAGTTGCATTGATTGTGGTAAGTTGTAACCCTAGGAAACTTCATTTCGTTGAAGCTGCAGTAGGCCAGCACTATAAATACTGCTCTTTTTGTAGACCTAATACTATATGAAAAAAAGCCCTAGGATTCCAGTTCCGATATCCTTGAGAAAAACAACCCTTTCATCCTCAGCATCTTTCTCTAACCTGAAGCTCTCTCTTTAAATATCTCTCTATACATACATATAGAGACATGTCTTCTCATTCTTCTTCTTCATCTTCCTTCAACCTGGATGACAAAGCCAACACCATGGATTTGGTCCAGCAATCTGAGCACCTTTGCTATGTCCGCTGCAACTTTTGCAACACCGTTCTTGCGGTAAGATTATCATCATCATCCTTGGTTTCATAAGCTAAACTTTTTTAGTAATGATCTTTCTTTTGTTTTTTTGTTTAGTATGATTCTTTTTAGTAAAGATTTTCTGAATTGCATATTCCTTAGTAACCTAATGATATTGTCAAAGAAACCTAGCTCTTGAAATTCGTATGCTCATGTACAACTAAAAAACACTATGAACATCGATCTATCATTTTCAACCTGCCATTACTAACACATACATAGTTTTTCTTGAAAAAAAAAAAAACACAAACATTGAGAACAATTCTTCATATTTAATTAGAGGGTTTCGTTCTTTTTCCTTTTCAGAACTTTGTAGCTAGAAATTTTGTTGCATAAGTAAATATGTTCCCACATTATTTTATTTTTTTTTCCTCCCAATGATTGTTGAACAAAAAGGTGGGAATACCATGCAAGAGGCTGTTAGATACTGTGACTGTGAAATGCGGGCATTGCAGCAACTTATCCTTTCTGAGCACCCGTCCTCCTCCTCCTCCGCCCCCGCCGGCGCTTCAACCTCCGTCTTTTGATCATCCACCAAGCATTCAGGTAATAACACACCTCTCTTTCTTCTTGCTTAACAATATTATTATAGTCAAAAGTGTAATTTAAAATTAACTCCTCTGTCACGTTTCATAAGTCGTAAAGAAGCTACTGCTTAGAAGATGTTAGATCTACACATTTATATTAGTTTTTTTTTTTTTTTTTGGTGACATTTGTTTGTTATTATTTTGTAATAAACAGAGCTTCTTCAGTGAATTCAAGAAGGGTCAAACTTCATCGTCTGCCTCATCATCAACATCCTCTGAGCCACTGTCTCCAAAAGCACCCTTTGTTGTCAAACGTAAGTCAAAATCAAAACTTTAGTTATTCTTTCTCTTTTATACATGCGGAAAAGGCACATATATATATATATATATATAGGCAGGCCAAGCTAGTTCAGTTATATTCCTTTTTAGAGCTTTTGATTGATAACTCAATGTGGCCTTGTTTTCTTGCAGCCCCTGAGAAAAAGCACAGGCTTCCATCTGCCTACAATCGCTTCATGAAGTAAGACTAATATCGTTTTTATAACTACTTTTTAATAATTCCCAAAGTGTTATTTTTTGTATAGTACATCTCTAATATGGTGTTTTTTAAAATATTTTTTAATCTTATTTTTTGTGCAAATTAAAGGGAGGAAATCCAACGCATCAAAGCTGCCAATCCAGAAATTCCACATCGGGAGGCCTTCAGCGCGGCGGCCAAGAACGTTTGTCCCTTTTCCGATAAATATACTTTTTTTTTGGTTGAAAATTTTCCATTATATGTTAGAAAAACTTGATTAATATTTTTAAAATTTTAAAGAAGATATAAATTAATATGTTATGCAATGACTGTAGTGGGCTAGGTATATTCCTCACAATGGACCAGCAGGATCGATTCCTGAGAGCAGTAACACCAACAACGTGAGAATTTCGTTATAACTTTAATAATCATTCAAGCCAAGTGTTTAATTAATTTGCCATCTGAATTATGGTTGAGCTGAATTAATTTCTAATCTAATTTTTCAATGTAGATGTAGATGCTGTGGATGTGAAGCGAAGCCTCAAAAGCCGTGCATGCTTATGAATTGTGTAATGGAAGCCAATGGAGTCGTTTATGTTGTCTAGTTGTGTAATCTTAATTTTCTAATCGTGTTGTTCTAATGTTTCTGTAGTGAAGTTTAATTATCGATTTAGTAATGAACTCGTGAACTTATTATTATCTCTATGTAATATATATATGCTTGGATTCCTAGGATTGCATCTCGTGTTTCTACAAACAAGTGATTCGATTCGTACAATTTAGTATGAGATTCATATTCCGAATCCTCATTACTTATGGAATCCAAAACACCTAGGTTTCACTTTTTGTAATTTTCTACTTCTTGTTGCAGAGTCTTATAAATTGAATTAATTAAATTCACATGGTATTCTATTTTAAACTGTTTTTCACATCTATATTAGATTTTAGCCCTGCAATGCACGAATTGCTCTAATTTTGAGTTATTATTGCAAATTATGGAGAACTATATTTCAAGGATTTAAAAAATCAAAGAGTTTATTGCCAAACTACTCAACTCTTAGGATTTTCTCCCAAAATTCGGATAAGTGATGTAAGTTAGACTTATTCGTTAATTTCAAGAGTTCCTTAGCAGTTGGCTGCATTTTTCATTAGTTGACATGATATTATTATTATTAGATTTTAGCCAGCGTGTTGCATGGGTTTAGTTCCATTTTTTTCAGTTATTTTTGCAAATTACAAAAAATCCAATTTTTATTCTTTAAGGTTTGGAAAAATCTTACCCAAACTACTTGGAGTTTTCCTTTATATTTAGACAAGGGATGGAAATAAGTTTTTCTTTTTTTTTTGTTAATCTTAGGAGTTCTTGAACATTTTCCATCAGTTGACCACATGTTTCATTATTAAAATTATCAAGTCATCATTTGTACAGTTGAAATAAACCTTTTTCTTTTTTTAAAATTTTTAAATATTTTTTTATTTTCAGACATCATTTTTATTTATTAGAATAGTACCACACCATCATTTCATTAGAAAAAAGGTTTCAATTAAATAGAAGAAATGATGACTTGGCCCTTTTAATAATAAAAATTGCAGTCAACTAATAGAAAATCAACTGTTACTCCCTCCATTTCAAAATATAAGTGTTTTTAGTTTTTGCATGTAAAGTAAGAAGACAAACATTTAATAATTAATTTATATGTTAAATATCTGTTTTATCCATCATTAATTATTTTAGAATTATAACCTAGACTAGATCAAAAGTAGTTAGTATTATTTATTAGGGGCAAAGTTGGAAAGTTAACTTTTAATTTGTCTTGAAATCCTAAAACGACCTACATTTTGAAATATTTCTCCGAACCTAAAACGACCTATATTTTGAAATGGAGGGAGTAAGAGACTCCTAAACTCAATGCAGATGACTTGTTTCCGTCATTTTGTCAAAATGTTGAGGAAAAATCCCGACAGTATAATTGTTTAGAACTAAATTATATCGCCTGCCTAAGCATTGGGACTAAAACATGGGATTTTTCTTGCAAATTGTGTCAACATTGTAAATATTTATTTTAATTTATGACTAAAAGAATTATTAACAAATAATTGTGGAATGCCATATATTGATTCTTTGATGTTATTGGTACAACAAATGGTGTTACAGTTTACAAATGTATAATGCTGTATAAAGAGAAACCTAGTAGATCACATTATCTGACCTTATGCAAAGTTCTCTTCTACTTAGCATTTGTGGTATGGCCATTGACACCACCATCATTAGTCATTACTCATTTTAAACTTTTTGAGACCATCTGTGAAGTTTACTTTGAATAACACAATACAGAGTTAGCCGTGAGTAACATGTCCTTCTAAACATATATAAGTCAACTTGTGTGGGAGAGTGACCTTGGCTATTATTAATTGTCATAGTAGACAAACGAAAAACAAAAAATCATTTTCGTTATTCTAAATGGGAACATTTTCTCTATTAGGGTATGTGCCATTGAACGGAGGTATATTTTATTTCCAATGCTATTTCCTAAAACTTTGTGGTTTGAATAACAAGAATTAGCCAATTTAGAAAATGTAACCTTATACAATACACAAACCAAAATGTAGCATGTGCATTGCAGAAGTCGTGTTGATTCTCAAGTAGTAAATATTGAATGATATTAAAACTGTCGGTAGCAAATAAGCTGAAGAAAATCATAATAAAATAAATTCAAGAAAAAAAACTTAGTAAAAGTAGGAGGTCATAAATTCAAAAAATAAAATAAAATAAAACTTAATAAAAAGAAGGGGTCATCTAGAAAAAACAACAAATTAATGATGTATAAGACACAAAACTTTGAGTTTTTCGAAAGGTGCATTACGGGCCAATACTGAAAAATATATTTTAAAGTGGAGGAATTCTTACTACTCCATCACAACCGCTATGATTTGATAAAAATAAATTTGAAAATTACAATCGGTTACTTTTTCGCTATTCTAGCTTTGGAGCTTAAATTATTAAGGGCCCAACCCAATTGCAGATTGTGGCCTTAGAAAGTGTCCTCTTTAGCTCTTCTATTACATTTTCTTGCCAAGTCCGGGAAACGTAGTGAGCCGAAGAAATACTGCCCATTTTCCTTCTTTCTTTTTCTTTTCATTTTCTCTTAGTACTAGTCATGTCTGGTCGCGTAATGCACGACTCTGACCCAATATATCTGTAGATTTTAGAAATATTTGTATTTGAAAAAAAAACTATTTTGCATTTGGGCCGATATATCTTAGAAATGTTTGAAGAATTTAGAAATGTTTTATAAGTGTGATCATAGAAATGTTTGTATTTTGCATAAAAAGAAATTGTATTTGGTCCGGTATATTTTAGAAATATTTGAAGATTTAAAAAATATTTTATAAGTGTTATTTCTTAAATATAAATAAACTTGATTAAATATATGTCTTGAAGTAAATGCAAGACAAAATATAAAAGCATCCTCATAAGTTTAAATATTAGTAAGATAATTTATTGATGTTCTCCATTAATTGTGCCAAATCAATACTTAGTTTTGGAGATTTATAATAGCTTTGTAGTAAGCTTCCTCCAAAGGGTATACGCTTAATTGTTGAAACTATTTCTTCCAAAAGTTTATAGGTAGTAAAATATCAAAAATATGATTTTGAAACTGGTTAATTGTTGAAACTAGTTGATCACAAATATGAGAATGAAAATAATGTAAATTTACATAGGTTTCAAGTTATAGTAAAAAAGAACTCACCTCACCATGGCAAATTAAAAAAAAAAAAAGAGTAAAAGATAGCCCATTAAAAATTGAGAAATTTATTTTTTTTCTGTAGGTAAAAATGATGTATAAAAACACAAATAAATGTAGAAAAATCATTCCTTCCCTCTCCATCTCAAATTCATAAAAAGTTTTCCCATAAATTAGTTAGAAGAAGCGACCTGAATTATTTATATGATGAGGAATTAAAAAAAGTCCAAAAACCAAATCCAAAAAAGTATATTCTTGAGAGACCGAACACCAAAAAAAAGCGCTTCATTTGTAAATAAAATAAAATAATAATAATGATAATTGGTCAACTGAGAGTATGAAACAAAATCAAAAGCAATTAAACAAAGAAAAAAACACACTTCATAACTAACCATATACGAAAAAAAACCTAAGACTCCATAATTAAAAAAAAAAAACCAGTCTAATTGAATGATACATAAAAAAGAAATTTAAAAAACCACACTTTGTAACAAAAACCCAATTAATCAATTCAATCCAAACAGAACTAAAATTATACAAAAATTCTAAGCTAACTAACCATATAAGAAATCACATAATATTACCTAACAACGGCTACGGTAGCTGTAACGGATGGACGCATAAAAAAAATAGTAATAACACTATTCTTGAACGGGAAAAACAAAAAATAATAAAAGAGAAACAAATGATCTGCGGAAATAAAATCATTTAAATTTTAATACCTGTAATGGTACCACCATAATGGCCGAAGCAAGATCAATGAGAATTTTTTTTCCTTTGTTTTATATAGTGAGGTAAAGAGAATGTTTTTTGAACTTGAAATTTTATCAGATTAGGATGTAGTTGATCATCACTAATGAAAAAATTTAACATGCTAATAGGAAAGGAGTATATTTTACCACATATTCTCAATTGATGATTGATGAGAATTTTTTTTTTTTTATTATGGAGAAGGGATTGATTAGGGAGTCGATTGTTGTGGAGATGGGGATGAGGATTTGGGTTTTTTATGAGGTTTTTTTTTTTTGCGAAAATAGGAGGTGAAGGTGGATTTGGACTATATTTGCCTTTTAAGTCTAGGAGATGTGTAAATAAAAAATTATTTTAAAAATATGATGTCGAAATGCCACATGGCAAATAGTTGTGCTTTCTCTAAAGTGTGGTTTTTTTTCTAATATAGTAAGATTTTTTTGTTCAAAATCTGTAATAAAATCTATATCTATATATATTAAAAAAGATTTTTCAATCAGACACATAGCTCAAAATTAGATAAGTTAATCCACGTGACAAATAGTTAGATAGTCAAATTTACATCACTCCATCATTAATAATAATTTTTTATTTGTAAATTCATAAAATCTATAAATAACCAATTTTATCCGGTTTACTTTTTATGTCATTAATTAAATGAAATAAATTTAACTCTATTTGTGAATTTATTTATGCAGATAACCTAAATTAAATTAAAAAAAAACCTGGCCCAACCCTTTGCAATGCTAGATGGACTAAATCTCTCCATTATCGACCACCATTTTATTAGTTTTAATTTTCGTTCGAAAACGGAGGCTGCCAAAACTCTTCTTTTCTTATATATTGAATCATTTGCGGGTATTTGGTAGTAATCACATTAATTAAAAAATAATAATCAAAACCCTGTAACAATATCAAACCAAAAAAAGGTTGAATCATTATATATTATAATCTATTATCCTCAAGGCAATTTTTCACTATTATAATATATTTCATTTTCACATGTTAATAGAAGAAAAGTATAATGAGAAATTGAAATTAATTTTATGGAGGAAAAACAAGAAAACATGAAAAGAAAAAGAAATATAATAGTGAAAATGAAATAATTATTACAAATTTTTTTAAGAAATGAAACTTTAAAAAGAGGTCATCAAATTTTGAAAAAGAAAAAAAAAGTGAACACTATACAAACAAGAAAAAAGTGAAGTAAACACTATATTATAAGAGAAATATATAAACAAATTTCTAACAAAAGGTTACAAAAGGTATATAGAGAGAGATCTCGAATAAAAATAAATTTAAAGAAATAATGAGAAATGTTAAAGGAAAGATTTTAAAAATATGATACAGGTAGAAATCTTTAAAGAGAACATTATGAACAATTAAGAATATACTTTTAAAAGAT